CAGTGGGAAAGTTTCTCTCTCCCTCCTACAGAGAACAATTCAATTCATAACAAAAGTTATCGCAGAACACTTCAAATCGAGCAGGTCTAGACCGTACTCCTGACAAAATGATTAACAGAGACCCAACAGGATAGACCCTGGCTGTAGGTGGGTGGCTGTTTGCCTCGACCAGTTGGGGTTAGAGAGAGCGAGAGGGAGAGAGGGGAGGTAGAGGACACAGAGACACCGAGGAACCCGAGCAGAACCCAAACCCAAACCCAGGATAAAGAAGTTCAGTGAATGTGGTGTTGAAGGTGTGGAGGTGGATCAATGTGTCAGAGGAGACTGTGTAGAAGGACAGAGTGCCAGCAGGACAGTCCACATACACTGCTACTCTACCAGAGGAGGAGGAGGAGGAGGAGGAGGAGGAGGAGGAGGAGATTAAAGTTTTTCTGTTATTGTAACAGACAGAGTAAGAACCATCAAAACACTCCAGAGTCCAGGACTGATCATTCCATCCGAAAAAACAATCTATGCTGTTTCCTCTCCTGCTGATTCCTCTGTAACTCACTGATATAGAGACTCCTCCTCTCCACTCAACCTCCCAGTAACAGCGACCAGTCAGACCATTTCTACACAGCAGCAGAGGCCAGTAGTCGAATCTGTCTGGATGATCAGGATATGGCTGATCCTCCTTCACAACTATCACCTTCCTGTTGTTGTCAGACAGTTTGATCTTTCTGTTTACTGTGTTTGTGTCGACTGTGAGTTCACAGGAATCTGATGGAGAGAAAAAGACACAATACAGCTGCAGTTATTGATCTATCATCTGATCATTGATTGACACTTTAATGATGACATCAGAGCTGTGAATGAGTGATATCACAGTCTGAAGATGGTTGAATGTGTGCTGCCTTGTTTTCATGAAGCAAATTAAAAACACACTTACACTTCCTCAGACCTGGTCTCAACCATCGGACTCCAGCAGGCTCCACCCTGAAAGGAGGAGGGGGGTCAGAACAGCAAATCCTCTTTCAGCATGAAAACATGGACATTACATCACTCTCATACACAGAGGTTATTCTCTACAAATGGACTTACATCTTCACATGGAGCACTTATTATTCATCAGCTGATATTCTTTTAGTTCAGTGGAGATTCTTCTTATTGGCCGATTGCTACAGCTCATTAATTTCACTTATTGATGATATATTATTATCAGCATTATATTGACAATCATCATAAAGTTCAGACTTAGTTTCCTCTACCAGTCAGTCAGTAAATCAAATGATTAAACCTGCACCAATTGATTTCTTTGTTCACTTGGGGTTCAGTGAAAACAAGCAGTAAACAATGACTGTTATCTGTCAGAAGTAAAGGAGAAAGTATCTTGAAATTGCTACAGAGCTTCAAAATCTCTGATGGAGGAGGTCGGGTGGATGGTTGGATGTACAAAGTGTCTGACTTTGACACTGCTGTTCACATCTCTGTTTTGGAGCATCCTGGCTACTGTTCCTGTCTGTTTTGATCCTATTCATACCTGAGAGTGTCCAGTCTCCAGTTTGGATCCTCCAGTCCAGCAGACAGTATCTTCACTCCTGAGTCTCCTGAATGATTGTAACTCAGGTCCAGCTCTCTCAGATGGGAGGGGTTGGAGCTCAGAGCTGAGGCCAGAGAAGCACAGCCTTCCTCAGTGATCAGACAGCCTGACAGCCTGCAAACACACAAAACACATTACATAATAAACATGTTCATGGAAAGAGACTGAAACTAAATAAACAATACAGGTGTCAAATCTAATAAACAGATACAATGTTATGTAGGTTATGATTGTATCCATGTTTTTGATCATGAGTAATGTAATCATAACTCGTAATTTACCACAATGGGACTGCAACTGCAGGGTCATCACATCAACAAATACCAAATATTACATAGTGTTGCCTTCATGTGAATCAGAATATATGTGGTCATCAGCTGAACACATCAATGGATCCTGACCTGAGGGTTTCCAGTGTACAGTGTGGACTCTCCAGTCCAGCAGACAGAAGCTTCACACCTGAATCCTGCAGGTTGTTGTTACTCAGGTCCAGCTCTCTCAGACTAGAGGACTGGGAGCTGAGAACTGAGGACAGGACTTCACAGCTTCTCTCTGAGAGGTTACAATCACTCAGTCTGAAAAGGCAATAACAAAAAAAAGCAGTTATTTGAAAAGCATTTTAGTAATTATAAAGAAATTAAAATCTCTCTGGACTTACAGAGCTTTGTTGGAGGCTTTGACCACTGGCAGCAGCCTCAGAAAAGCCTCCTCTGAAGCAGAGTATTTCTTCAGGTCAAACACATCCAGATCTTTTTCTGATGACAGTAAGATGAAGACCAGAGCTGACCACTGAGCAGGAGAGAGTTTATCTGTGGAGAGACTTCCTGAACTCAGGAACTGTTGGATCTCCTCCACTAGAGAACGATCATTCAGTTCATTCAGACAGTGGAACAGATTGATGCTTTTCTCTGCAGAGAGAATCTTCTTGATTTTCTTCTTGATGTACTGGACTGTTTCCTGATTGGTCTTTGAGCTACTTCCTGTCTGTGTCAGCATACCTCGTAGGAGATTCTGATTGGTCCGCAGTGAGAGACCCAAGAGGAAGCGAAGAAACAAGTCCAGGTGTCCATGTGGACTCTGTAAGGCCGTGTCCACAGCACACTGGTGGAAATGTTTTGGTTTCTGTTTGTGTTTAAATAATTTAGACTTCAGGGATGTTGTTTGTTGTTCTGCCAGCAGATTGACTCCAGAGTTAATGAATGTCAGATGGACATGAAGAGCAGCCAGAAACTCCTGAACGCTCAAGTGGACAAAGCAAAAGACATGGTCTTGGTACAGCCCTCTCTCCTCTTTAAACATCTGTGTGAACACTCCTGAGTACACTGAGGCTGCTCTGATATCGATGCCACACTCTGTCAGGTCTGATTCATAGAAGATCAGGTTGCCTTTCTGCAGCTGCTCAAAAGCCAGTTTTCCCAGAGACTCAATCATCTTCCTGCTCTTTTTATTCCAGTGTGGATCTGTCTCAGCTCCTCCATCATACTTGACGTTCCTTAGTTTGGACTGAACTACCAGGAAGTGGATGTACATCTCAGTCAGGGTCTTGGGCAGCTCTCCTCCCTCACTGGTCTTCAACACATCCTCCAGAACTGTAGCAGTGATCCAGCAGAAGACTGGGATGTGGCACATGATGTGGACGCTTCGCGATGTCTTGATGTGGGAGATAATTCTGCTGGCCTGCTCCTCATCTCTGAACCTCTTCCTGAAGTACTCTTCCTTCTGTGGGTCAGTAAACCCTCTGACCTCTGTCACCATGTCAACACACTCAAGAGGGATCTGATTGGCGGCTGCAGGTCGTGTGGTTATCCAGAGTCGAGCAGAGGGAAGCAGTTTCCCCCTGATGAGGTTTGTCAGCAGCACACCCACTGAGGTGGACTGTGTAATATCAGTCAGGATCTCAGTGTTGTGGAAGTCCAGAGGAAGTCGACACTCATCCAGACCGTCAAAGAGGAACACAACCTGGAACTCTTCAAACCTGCAGATTCCTGCTTCTGTGGTTTCAGTAAAGAAGTGATGAACAAGTTCCACCAAGCTGTACTTTTTGTCTTTCAGCACATTCAGCTCTCTGAAAGTGAATGGAAACGTGAACTGTATGTCCTGGTTGGCTTTGCCTTCAGCCCAGTCCAGAGTGAACTTCTGTGTTAAGACTGTCTTCCCAATGCCAGCCACCCCCTTTGTCATCACTGTTCTGATTGGCTGATCTCTTCCAGGTGAGGCTTTAAAGATGTCTTCCTGTCTGATTGTTGGTTCTGGTCTGTCTGGTTTTCTGGATGTTGTTTCAATCTGTCGGACCTCATGTTCATCATTGACCTCTGCAGTCCCTCCCTCTGTGATGTAGATCTCTGTGTAGATCTGGTTCAGAAGTGTTGGGTTTCCTGCTTTAGTAATCCCCTCAAACACACATTGGAACTTCTTCTTCAGGTTAGATTTAAGTTGATGTTGACAAACTCCAGCAAGATGTTCTTTATGAACACACAACAAAGAAGATCATTAAGTAATTAATAAAGAAAACATGACAGTTTCATTGCAATAGAGCATTGCTGCCCAGACTTTGTCATTTCAAGAGCAAAAATACAAATTTGGTGTCTCCCTATGACCCAAACTTACGGGGCTTTCACATCGCCAGTTGTAGTCATTTCAATGAGGGAAAGCGTTTGAGAATGAGGCCATTGTTGCCTACATCTAAGTGCACAGCTTTTGCTCTCAGTTCCCTGTGTTAAACTTCTAAAGGCACCTACGTAGCGGCAGCAGCCGCTATTCAATATGTGTCTTGGGTGAACACTAGTGCAGGTAGGCTGCAAACATTTACATTTATAATTATTAAAGCTACGGTCAGAAGAAAAGGAGTGGCCTCTCTTTGTATATTTTACATTTTTAATATAATGAATTACCATGACCCAATAAAAACTTTTGAGCGACCCATTTTGGCCTTCAAGAATGAGTATGTGAATATATTTTGGTCCATCTCTTGAGACATCAGTAAATGTTTCATTTATCCAGCGTGTTAAATCTTTAGAGAAATCCTCTTACTGCTCTGCAGACGGTCAGCCAGCTCCTCCTGCTTCATTCTCCTCAGGAAGTGCAGTATGATCTTCAGAAATGCCTCTCTACTGCTCTTCCTCTGCTCCTCATCCTCACCGTCCAACCCCTCCTTATCTTCCCTCTGACTGTCTAAGCATTCTGGATAATCTGAACTCAGAACATTCTGGATCTTCTTCAGCTCGTTCTTTACAAAAGTCACAATGTTGTCCTCCAGCAGCTGGAACAGAATATTATATGAATGACTCAATCAAAGGCAAATCATGGAACCAAAGATCAGATTTATGTTGGACAGACTGACAATCCACTGGTCTAAAAAGTGCAGCATGGAGATTATTGTGAACACAATAGATGTAAAAGTAGTTGTTGTACATGTACAGACCATAATGATGGAGTCCAGGTGTGTTTGATGCTGCTGGGCAGACTGACCACTGGGAACCTCTGAGCTCTCCTGGTCCACTCTGTGGAGGAGTCATGAAGAATTAGCTCACATTATGTCTGTCCACAAAGAGACAAACACAAGGTAAAGGTCCATGAAGTGATATTTGGATGTGAACAGTGAATCTGATGACTCCCTGTAGTGGTAAAGGTTTACTAGTCTTGCTGATCCCACTGAGAATCAACAGCTCAGTGTTTAGCTTCAGCAGCTCAGTTTGGTTCAGTCCCACAAGCTCTAACCAACCCATCCATATAGCTCTCCCTCCCTCACTGTACACTGCTGAAGTGCCCTGGTGAACCTCCAGCCGCTCCAGTGGAACAGCTCAGTGTTTGCTTGTATCAGACTGGTTATACTGGGCAGCTCCCAGTGTGAATGTGTTTGACTGTGTGAGTGCGAGGCAGCTGCTGCTGAAAAAGAGTGTTCAGACAATGTACTTGTCTTGTTAGATCTTAGTCCTGCATTTGACACCATTGACCATGATATCCTTTTACAAAGACTTGAACATCTTATTGGCATTAAAGGAACCGCACTATGCTGGTTTAAGTCCTATTTATCAGATCATTCTCAGTTTGTAAATATTAATGATGAAGCCTCCATAAACACTAAAGTTAGTCATAGAGTTCCACAAGGTTCCGACTCACTTTATATATGCTTCCCTTCTGCAACATTATTAGGAATCACTCCATTAATGTTATGCAGATGATACTCAGTTATATGTATCGATCAAGCATGATGAAAGAAAACAATTATCTAAATTCCAAGCATGCCTTAAGCACATAAGAACCTGGATGACCTGCAATTTGCTGATGTTAAACTTCAACAAAACTGGAGTTCTTGTACTTGGCCCCAAACACCTCTGAAACACATTATCTCAAGATGTAGCTACTCTAGATGGTATAATTACCACCGTCAGGAATCGTGGTGTTATCTTTGATCAGGATATGTCCTTCAACTCCCACATAAATCAAACCTCTAAGACTGCCTTTTTTCACTTACGTAACATAGCAAAAATCCGACACATCCTGTCACAGACAGAAATTAATTAATTCAGAATGCTACAGCACAAATACTGACAGGAACTAGGAAAAGAGATCATATTTCTCCTGTGTTAGCTTCTCTACACTGGCTCCCTGTAAAATTCAGAATAGAATTTAAAATCCTCCTCCTCACCTACAAAGCTCTTCATGGTCAGGCCCCTTCATATCTTAAAGAGCTCATAGTACCCTATTACCCCACTAGAACAATGCACTCTCTGAATGCATGGCTACTTGTGGTTCCTATAGTCTCTAAAAGTAGAACAGGAGCCAGAGACTTCAGCTTCCAAGCTCCTCTCTTGTGGAACCAGCTTCCAGTTTGGGTTCGGGAGGCAGACACCTTCTCCACATTTAAGAATAGGCGACGTTCCTCTTTGATAAAGCTTATAGTTAGGGCTGGCTCAGGTGAGTCCTAAACCATCCCTTAGTTATGCTGCTATAGGCCTAGACTGCCAGGGGACTTCCCATGATGTACTGAGCTCCTCTTTTCCTCTCCCTCTCTTTCTGGACATGTCCCACTAATTACTAACTTCCCCAGAGTTTTTTGTGCTTTCTCGTTTTTCAGGTTCTAATGGATCCTGGTGGTGCCTACTGCCCTGGTCCTGCTTGACTCCCACTGCCAATATTCCTGTTGTTATTATTATTATTGTTATTATTATTATTATTATTATTACAAGTCATTGGCATCATCTTCATCATCATTCTCTCTCTAACCTCACTAGGTCGAGGCCACCCACCTAGAGCCGAGGTTCTGCCTCTTAAAAGAGAGTTTTTTCTTTCTGCCTTCGCCAAGTACTTGCTCATGGTGGGAATTATTGGGTTTCTGTAAATAGTTTCATAAGGAGTACGGTCTAGACCTGCTCTATTTCAAAAGTTTCCTGAGATAACTTTTGTTATGAATCGGCGCTATACAAGTAAAATTGAATTTAATTGATTAACATGGTGTCAGAGTAGTGAGTTTCTATAAACTGCTGCAACTATTTGTTCACTTTGAAACTGAGGCTGTTGTAAATTGAGCTGATCAGACACAAACCATCACTGTCCATTTCACAACTGAGAGTCTGATGAAAAGACTTTTAGTTTCATCATCAGTTTGAAATCCTCACCTTTGATCAATAGAGTGGCGGCCATCTTTGAAGAATACAGGACAACCCTTAGAGCGGTCACTCTTCATGGACACACAGCTGGGTTCAGGTTTTTTCCTTCTGATAGAAAAACAGGATAAATTCTGCACTGCACCCACAACACACTGAGACAAAACCTGCCAGTGACTGAATACACCTACTGTAAACAGTGTATTTGTATCCAGGGAGTTCTTGGTTAGGATTTCTATAAAGTCAGTGTTTGATTTAGAAATGTTTCAGTGTATTTATTAAAGTTGTATTCAGTGCAGTGTGCAGTATAGGTGGGGAAATTATGCTGTCGAGTGACCATATCGGTCTAATTAGGATAAAAAGACGAACAGACAGTGAGTTTCTATAAACTGCTGCAACTATTTGTTCACTTTAAGAGGCTGTTGTAAATTGAGCTGATCAGACACATACCATCACCATCCATTAAAAGAGATTTCACAACTGAGAGTCTGATGAAAACACATAATTTTATTTTCATCATCAGTTCGAAAATCCTCACCTTTGATCAACAGAGTGGCGGCCATCTTTGAAGTCTATATAACGATCCATAGAGAGGTCACTCTTCATGGACACACAGCTGGGTTCAGGTTCAGGACAGTCTGGTCTCTGATGGATCCTGATAGAAAGAAATTCATTAAAGCTCACATATTCAGAACCATTCTCACTGAATCAAAGACTTTGTGAAATGATGTATAACTTGAAATGTTTGAATAGAGGGCTGGACAATAAGAACAATGTCTTCAATTACTGACATTATGGACGTGTTACTGAACACAATTTACTGATGTCACAAACTTCAACACACTGTCTGAATTCCATATAATTAAAGTGAGAGCAGATACAACATCTAACCAGCGAGCAATCAGCTCCTAGTCCAGCCCTGTTTGAATACTGACAACTACATACTTTTGCTGAGATAAATGTCTTTGTTTCAAATGGAGAATCAAAGCCTTTGTGACATGGAGAAGAGTCATGGACAGTTAGAGATCCTCATCTCACCTCTGAGCTTTGGTCCTTGTGTCATGTTCCTCACACAGAGTGCTTTTAGAGGGAGGGACTCCCTCCTCTCTGTCCTCACACTGATTCATAGCAGAGCCCACACCTTCACACAGACACAGCAACCTGCTGGGAGAGATCACACATCGTTCCTCTCAGTCACATGACAAACACACACAGCTCTGATTGGAGGAAGCAGCTCATTCAGCTCAATACTTAATACACTCATCTGACAGTTTCCATGGCAAAATAGAAATGTTATTGGCACTTTGAGCTGCAGTACTTTCATAATGCTCTGTAGTCTGTTGGATTGGTTGAAGACTAGAGGAATACACTTCAAGCTGCTTTTTTACTTTTCACTTCTATTTGACTGACTTTGAAAAGCTCTTGTTGCTCTTTTTCCAAGTCTACTATATCCAGTCAGAGCATGCAGTGGCAGCTAGTCCAATAATCCAAAATCAATCCTGTTACCTTGGCAGCTGCTGCTGAATTCACATCCACATCAGCTCCCAGAGACTTTCTACCTTCATCTGTAGAGGAAACACTGAGAGCAGAACTGAAAGCATCAGTCCAATCACTGATCATCACTTATTAAATACTTATTATTATATTATATATAACTTATTATATACATATTTTCTCCTGTAAAAACATCATCTGCTTCTCCACTGATTGGCTGCTTCTCTCTGTTTCCTCTCAGTGTCAGTTGAATCCCTTTGGCTTGTTGGACTGTTGCTCAGACTAAAGAAGCAGTTAGAAAACATGACTGTGAACTCTGGGAACTACTGATGGCCTTTTCTCATCACTGTCACACATTTCAAACTAATCAATTCATGGATCAATAGTGGTTTGTTATTGGATGGAGGAGATGCTGCTTGTTCTCATTGGTCAGTATTGAGGAAGAATGAGAGCAGAAAGCTGACATCAGCTGCTCTTCTACTATCAGTCCACTAGATGGCCTCATGGAGCTGCATTTATCTGACAGCTTTAGTTACTTTTACTTTCTTACTTTTTGACTTTGACTTGTACTGCTGTAGTTTTATATGGTAGGATTTGGGCTGTGTTTTGTTCTTTTGATTGGTTTGGACCAAGCCCACTAACACTTAACTAAAAACTAAAACTAAGTGTTAAAAAATGATTTTAGTTCATGGAAATAAAGAAAAACTTGACTTTAGAGAAAAAGAAAACGAACTCAAACAACATTGTGTACTTGCAAAACATTAAAAAAATTTAAATAAATTTAAAATATACAGACAATTTATTTTTGTATTTTCCATTGAATAAACTTTTACAGTTTATTCTAAACAAATGTTATAACACAGAGTAAAACTTTTTCAAAGTTTTTCAAGTTCAAAGTTTTGTATTTAATAAAAGTTGAGCATCGACTTCCATTATTAAATCATGATTTTAAAAGAATTATACAAAATAACTGAACTATATTTGAAAGACCTGAAGAACAAGCAAACCTCTGCTGAATGATCTCGATCCACAGGCTTCAGATGAGGACATCAGTCGTTGCCATGGATACAGCATAACAAACAGCTGAACCTGTGATCACCTGAGAGTTTGTCTAAAGGGCTTCGAACTGTATTTTTATAACGTACAAATGATTAGAATTCTGTTCATGTTCAAAATCAAAACTCAATACATCGATACAGCCACAAAATACCTATACTGGTCCTTACCTTATAGACTGCTTATTCCATCGTAATAATAATGTCACTGAGTTCATAGAGTCACTGATTAACAGAGTACAAATGGTCATTTGATCTATGAGAGCACTTTGACCAACAGAGGCCTCAAAAAACATTAAATATGAGCCTTTTATAATTAAATAACTGAAGTATCAAAGTCCAGACTCATCGGTCATCAGATCAGACTTCAATCTAACGACTGTATCTGTTTTATAGATTTATAGGTTTTTATTTAAATGTTTCAAGTGAAAGAGCTGACAGACAAACCCACAGACATGGTTCATCATTAGTCTCCTGTCTGATTCATGTATCTGATTCATGTTTGAGTGTAATATTCCTCCGAGCACAAGGGGGCGTATAAAGGCCGAGTCTGGACACAGGAACCTGATTGGACCCAACCCAACACACCGGGTTTGTGCACAAAACTGCTGCTGTAGGTCGCTGTTAACAATGCAGGAGACCGTGTTTGTTATTGATTAGTTTTTATAATAATGTTCAATATAAAATATTCACAGTGTAGTTGAGTTAGGTCTGATATTTTGGGCCCAATCAAAGCTCTAGTTCATGCTCATAAGCACAGATGTTGCTAACAGGAGAGAGGTAAACAGTTTTGACTGGCTAATCTTTAGCTGCTACTGGCTACTGGTTGGGCTGAGTGGTTTAGTCGTGTGCTCGGACGAACTTGTACGTCTTTGTTCAGTATTTTCTTTGTATTTGTTCTGTGTTGAAAACTGACAGACAGACAGACAGGGTATGGACAAAGTATCCTGTTGGTAAAGACTAAATATATTTTTAAATGTCACAGTAATTCAGCTTAAGTGCAGTTATTAAAGACAGGAGATCAACACATGAAGCTACAAAGAGTTTGGGAGGAAACATCAGAGACTGTAATAAATCAAAGTTCACTTACTCAGTTTCTTCCCATGAGCTTCATCACTCTGCTGTCTGGACCAGGTCTGGTTCTTCATCAGTCCTCTGTGTCTGAACCTGCAGCACTCAGCTCAGAAGTTTATACAACTTCATGTGACCAAAGTTTAACTCACAGCAGCTTCTTGCTGCCTCTGACACAATGGAACAAACATGAGCGCAGATAAAGTTCCTTATCACTCCTCAACACTGTTTTTAACATCTGAATTCACCTACCAGGTGACTTTGAATGTTCGCTTTCTAATCAACTTATTTGCTTTTACTGATTATTCCTCTGATGAAGCTAGTGACTTCTGTATTATTAATTTGATTTTATTGTTGGCACAAACACAAACCTTCATTTTTAGTCTTTGAATAAACATTAAAACATGTTTCCATTCTAAGAACAAGAAAGCTTTTAAAACCTTCAATTTATCCACTTACGTACACATCCACATGTATGCGTTCTGTCTTCGCAGTGTTACTGCTCGGGCCCTAAAAATGACAATACAATAGATTTTGCTGGTATCAGAATCACTTTTGTCGGACAAGTGTACAAGGAATTTGATATGTCTAATAAAAAGCTTTCACTTCTGTTATTGATGGGTTCACAGAATATTTTCTGAATCCAATTAATACTTTTTTTTATTTCTGAGGTATAAACTGTGCAAAACAACTCATATTTCTTTATATTTCTTGTGATGTGAAAGACTTTGTGCCTTGATATCACGATATATTTTTCATCTCACCAATTTGAACCTTCACTTTATGCTGTAATGCAAGAAGTTATTTTAACTCAAAAGAATTGTTGAAATGGATGACATTGAACATATTAAGTAACACAAACTAGATCTTTTAAGTCAAAAACATTCTTGATGAAGCAGCTTTTACTAATAACTTTAAGTGACACTGAACTTAGTTTTGTAAGTTACAGAAACATTCCTGATTAAGTATTTTGTTTCTACAGTACAAATAAAAATTGCCAACATTAAGTCAGTACTGAAAATTGATCAAGAATGTTTTTTTAAAGTTAAAAAAATGTAGTTACTTTTACTTAAACTTTCCAATGTAATCAGTTTCAACAATTGTTTGAGTTGAATGAACTTACAATATCATAATATTATAAGTCTATACATTCCTAAATAAAATGCCACTCATATTTACTTTCTCTAATCTATTTAACTGTGTGAATAAAATACAAAGATAAAAATTACAATAAAATGCAATTAAATAGATTTTACAGATAATAATAGTGTTTAATAAAAGCAATAGTAAAAACTAGATAATTAAACCATTCATTCATAAAAAATGTTGAATCTATTATAACTGCATCCTTTTTAACTGGGATTTTTATAAACACTCGTATTCATGACAGGAAAAGTTGTTTTACCTTGTTGTTTTTTATCAATTTTATCCACTAAAAACTTATAAAATATAGTTGTTAATAACTCTTAAGTAGGCTATAAATTATTCTGGCCATTGAAATGAATGCAAACCCCATTAAAGTTATGTATTTAGCCTTTAGTATTGTGTTATACAGACTTTGAAGTTGTGGTTGATATTGAGTGTACGTTATAAAACTTTTATTTTGAAGCCACTCTTATTCAACTTCCTGTTTTGTTCCCGTGAGCGTGACACACCATGCGGCACATGTGAGACGTCACTTCCGACGAATTGTCAGAGCCCGCCCCCAGAAGACGGCGCTCCGGCTTCCCATTGGGGAACACCACCTGTCAATCAAAGGCGGATTTAAGGGCTGTGCCGCGCAGAGACACGCCCACCTAAACGGTGATTGGACGCTCAGATCGACGCCACGCCCCCTGAATCCAACCCGTCTCCAACTTTTCCCTGAGAGAGCTGGAATGAAATCCTGCACAGAAACAGAGAAATTCCCCGTTTTTTCCTCCTGAATCCGGATTTTCTCGTCAGGAATCAGAAGAAATGTTCACACTCTGCTGTCAACATGAGCGGAAGTCTCTCGTGTAGTTTATAACCGTCACATATTCTCACAGGTAAGTCGAGAAACTTTGATGAAAATAGTTTTTTTATTATTATTATTATTAATTAAATAGGAAACAGAGGAGAGTTTTCTGATACTGTTTTATCTGACGGTGTTTTTAATTTATCCTGTTGGACAAATTATCACCCAAACCCGCCAATCAGTGGGTGAACCGTTATTTGGTGAAACAGTGTGAATATGTCTGTTTGCCATTACTCTGACATGGTGCTATATATATATATATATATATATATATATATATATATATATATATATATATATATATATCTGTGTGTTCATGTCAACATGTAGACAAACATTTAAAAACATTCAGTAAATTAAATGTCAGAATAATCTTGTGACATCCAGAAGATATGTGAGAATATGGCATCATTTAAGGTTGTTTTTGTCCATCAAATTGGTAAAATATGTATTAATTGGGTATTTGTTTTCTATTTTCTATATTATTTTCTATTTTTATGATTAATAGTTTATTGTTTTCATGCGAAACAAAAGATTTTGAGGTATTACAGCCACACATGTCAGAATTCAAATTGAATTAGAAAAGTGAAATGGACAATAAATAAATACATAAATGAATAATAGTCATAAACAAAAAGGAATACTAACAAAGTGTACCCAATAGTTATTTATTTAATAGATAATAATAATAATATTTTTCTGAGGAGGAAACGCCATTAAATCTATTTTATTTTTAGTTTAATTTATCAATGTATCTATGATTGACTGTCTGTTTGTGTGACAGCGCAGCAAACAATGAGCACTGATGAGTTATAATCTCTATAAAGGTCATTTTAAAGAAACATTTAAAGGGTCTGTATGAAAGAAAATGAAACCACAACCTTAAAATGTTTAATCCATTAGTTTATTCCAGTATTAACACACATGAACTCACTTTAAATACCTAAACTCTGAGTAACAACAGGCTCCACTGTCTCTCTCTTTACGCTGACTTTACTCAACAGGAAGTCAGACAGAAAGAGACAAAAAGAAGCTCCGAGTCAGGGTTCGGGGGGTTAAACGACCAACCACATCCTCTCATCGTCACCGTGACGACGCCGCTACCGCCAGAGGGGAATAGATGAGTGTGCAGAAAAAATGATATCTGCCCTCGGTTGCAGAATATTCTCACAGTTAAATTAAAAGGAGAGAGAGAGGGTGGTCGTCACAATAAAACCTACAGCAAATTACAGCTTATATTAAAGTGATGGTTGAAGTTAATATCTTTAAATATAAGACCAGATTTAAGGTCAATTATTGGTTTTCTATAGGCAGAATGTCCCTTTACTTGTTTTGTGTTGTTTTGTTTTGTGGGACGGGAGCTCGCTCTCTCTTTCTCTTTTTTTATTTCTTGCCTTCGTCAGTGTTTACCACAGCAAACAGGCAGCAGAAATAAGCCTGTGGAGACCAGTTTATGGCCTTCCTCCACACATGTTTGCAGTCTCTTTGTGAGGAGGCCAGGCTGGTAATGAGAGGTTATTACTCAGAGGAGAAACCCAGGCTTTCTATCTTTCTTTCGTCCTCCTCCTCCTCCTCCTGCTGTTCTCCTCCATCAGAGATCCTCATCCGTCCCTCTCTTCTTGCTCTCTTTCTGTATTTACCGACTGTTTTCCTACGATATAACGCTGGAAAACATGATGCAAGTCCGTGTCCCGGGGAGGGCGTCGAGGTGTTTTGGAGCAATAGTGGTGTTTGGCTGAGCTGAGCGACCCGCCCACTGCCCACACTCGGTCCAGCTGGGTTCGACCCTGGAATATTTCAGGTGGCAAAACAACAAACCCTCTGTTTGTTTTGTTTTTGTCTGTGTTTAGATATGTTTGTGTGGATTTGGGTTGGAGAGATGCGGTACAGTTTATTTGTTTTCAAGTATATAAGTCGGTCGTGGACGTGTATCAGGACTCCCACTACGGGGTCACCAAAGCTTCAGGGAGGGTTGCGAGGCCTTCTTGATATTAAGGAGTGGAAGAAAACTTGCACACAGAAGGCCTATATGTCAGCATTTTGTCCAATTCTGTGAAGAAAACAAAATGAAATTGTAATTTTTAGTTTTATTATTTAAGATCCAAACACAAACAAATATATATTATATTCACAGAGCCTCGTCCTGCATTAGGAAAGCAAACAACCATAGAGCTAATAGAACAATGGGCAAGTATCAGGGAGAAGAAAACACTGAATGTGTCAAAAAGCAAGCCTATTAAGTCAGTATGATTTTTAAAAATATATATATACAATATTTATATAGACAGAATTATATAAAAAGTTCCCAAAAAATATAACTTCTGATGCTGTATTCCCATTCTGCTCATAACTCCTCCAAATCGCTCTTTTACACAACGTCACTTAGTCCGGCGTCGTCAGTTTAGGCAATGATAAAAAAATAGGTCCCTTAAGGAAAAATGTTGGAAACCGCTGCGATACCACGTAATTTATTAGCCAGGATAGAAGTTATGATCTGTTGTACTATACCTCTGACTCTGACAAGGCACCAAAATCCTCAGATATCCCTACAAAAGTCTCCCAGATATGAAATGGATTCTTGTATAAAAATATCTGACTGCAAAAGTGGTTAAATTGAGAGATATTTGTGGCCCATAAATTAAAACAAAAGTGCAAAATAAAGCCAGGCCGAACTGGAGATGATACACTTGAACTCATGTAATTTCATAATGCAAGCTCTGATTGATCCCAAATGCAGTGTGGAAGTGGGCGAGAGGTTCCTCTACATGTCTGAAAAAGCAGAAAGTGAATATCTTGGTGAATTGAGGAAATACAGGACAACAAACACAGAAGGCGAAAATATCAAATATGTCTATGTCTAACATATCTGTGATTAATATGTTTGTTTACTTTAAGGGAGCTTTGGCTGAGATTGTCCCAGAAACATCATCCAGAAGTATTTTTTTAGAAAGCTCTGACTGAGCTGAATCCTGCAATATATGATATGTAACTGCAGCAGGTACAGTCAGAGGTCTGCATTAAGAAATGTATGACGTGTGCCTTAAAAACGTACATGGCAGGTCTGTGCTTAATAGGGAGAAAATACACTTCAGTATGTGAGAAGTTATTGGAAGTAATATAAACTTTAAAGGGTAAATAAACGTTCTGGATGCATTCTGTCAAAATACACTTTTTAAATATGTTTAAAGGTCCAGTGTGTAAGAAGTTTTGGTTTGTCCATAACATGGTAGCCGACTGGAGGATGACTATCTCTGTCTGTAGATAAAAACGTCTCATTGTAAGGTAAAAAAACTTTTGGAGATGTTTCCACCCTGACACGAATAAAACTGCTTAATTTGAAGACTTTAAGATGTTCAGTAGCTGCACAAAAACTAATGAAATCTTTGTCAAAACAAGTCAAGTTCAATCCCCTCGAGCAAGATGGAGAATCCCAACCAGCTTCCTGTGGAGTGGGAAATGAAAATGATATTTTTCCCCACAGGAAACATATAGCGAGGATGCATTATTACGTACATGTGTGTGTTTTCCAGGAGGGTGAGGCGGGATGGCGGAGGGGGAGGAGGCCATGAGCCAGGAGGACTGGAAGGAGAAGTGTATGGTCCTGGAGGCGCTGCTCATGAAGTTCAGAGTGCAGATCATCAAGATTCGAGACCTCACTGCAGACAAGGTTGGTTCAAACTAACTTCACTCTGTCAGTGCTGGAACTGGTGTGGCCAACTGGTGCCAGAGAGGGAAAGTGTCTGTACTGGCTCCTCGAGTCCCTTCCTCCCAGTGGGGATGCAAGGAAGAGACGTGAGAATGGAGGAGTTGTATTCACCAAAAGGGATATCCTCGCTGGTGACCGTGGTCCATACACTGTAGCTAAACTGTTCTTTTTGTTCGGCACTTTGTAGATAAACCCTCAGTTTCACCGCACTTTCCTCATACGTCTTCTCTCCTCTAGTAGCTCCATCAGCTCAGGGAAGCTTCCACGAAGTTTAATGGGAGCATATCTTCTAATAACAGTTTTTTCTTTTCTGTCTCTCAACGACGCTTGCTAAAACTGCTAATGTTAGGTAAAGCGGTGATCAGAGGTTGCTTGTATCCGTTTTAACTGTGACAATCTGCAGATGGTAATCATCAACCTGGTTGTTCTACGTTAACTTCGACTACGCGATCAGTTCATCTGTTTTTACAAATAACTTCCATGCAAGTGATAGACCACTATCGTATCCCTGTTCCCTGTAACATTAGATGAGTGATGTGTGACTGATCTAAATGCATGTACTTGATACGTTGAACAAATATTGATGTCCCAACAAGCACTCGAGTAACCATACCAATCCCTAGCATTTCCAGACTTTTTTTGACTGGGGGGGGCACAAGAGGGGCACTGACTTATACAGGGTTGGCATGAAGTATGTGTCTCTGCTGTCCAGTTATATTTATTGGACCTGAGTATGCAGAAATATTCTAATACACTAGGCGGAAAAAAATACTGTCTAAACTGCATGAGATTAGCATAAAGTGGACATGTCAGCATAGTCGCTACGCACAGGACCCGTTTTCATTCAGATATCCTGAGGTCAGAGGTCAAGCGATCCCTTTGAAAATGGCCATGCTACCACACAAATTTTGCCTTCTTCCCGACATGCTAGCTGACATGTTTGGTGCCAATGGATGCATTAGATCATCTAGTTTCATATCTCTAGCTTTAAGATGGAGCGTGCTTCAGTCTCTGAAAGACATTGCGCCCTCAGGCCCCCCGCACACGTCCCTGATCCCTAGTAAAAGCATAGATGCACCTGATTACTCCTCACTACTCGTGTCCTCCGAGATGAATTGAAGGGACTAATTTCAGGCTGGAGGAGGAAGTATAAATAACTGAATGAAAAGATGAAAAGTGATACCTCTGTTACAATGACTAGTCACCACAGAAAGACAACGGACAGACGATTGCACCAAAGACACGGCCAAAATTAAAAATTAAAAAGTTGTCAACATGTAAGTAGAGAGAGTTGTGGTGTGTCTGGTGGGTACAGAGCACTGGGCCGGCCCAAACTGCTCAGTGGCCTAGATCTGAAGCCGCTCTCCAGGGAGGCTGATTAGAGCTCTAATGTAAACAGCAGTCTGACCACAGGGCTCCGCCACGCACTGCATGATGGGATTGACCCAGCTCCAGTCAATTACAGAGTCAAAGTAAGCTCAGCTGGACGGCAAAACAAACTCCCGGAGAGACTTGGAAGAAAGATTTTCTTTGGTGGGTTTTTGCAGCCCACGTAGCACATGTGAAAGTCTCTGCTGCATATTTCTGGCCTTATCCGTCCTCTTTGACAGGTTGAATTTAACTCTGTTTAAAGCATTTTTCCACTCGACACTATAAAACACACCGTTAAAACTCAGAATAAGACTTTGTGCAACTATAATGTTCAACCCTCAACTTTACCAGCTTACTTTTTCCCCTTCAGTGGTGTTTACTCTGAGTTAGTTAGCAGATTGGAGCTCAGTTGCGTTGTCTGAATTGCGTGCCACTTTCAATTTCAGGTCTTTTTTAACCTGCGTTCACCCCCTCACAGTCTTTGCTCGGCGCGCTGTAATATGTAGTCAGAGCGTTTGTTGTAAATCTGATGAAGAATAGCAGTAATCCTTTCATCTTTGCCACATACGGAAGACCACTGATTTAGTTCCCAAGGATCCAGAGTTCAACCAGAGTTCAACAGTTTCTCTCAAGGACCAAATACTGACAACAAATACTTTTTGGACCACAGATATTATAAGTTAATATTTAGCATCAATTTAATTCCATTAAACCCTGCCGGGTTGTATGAAAACGCATCTGTAAATTCTCCAGTAAACCCAAACTAACTGATCATATCCATCCAAAATCAGACATACATGCAGAGGCAGCATTTATTTAACCATGGCACAGTGTGGAAGCATTATCAAGGTATGCAGCCTGGATCATGATATTTATATGTATTTATTATTATATTAACATGCAGTTATTTCAGGTTTGTTGTTGTTAGACTGACCTCCTGATGCTATGAGCTCATCATGTTAACATCCAGACCCCCGCTGATGTTTTTTTTCTCCGCCGTGGCTCCCACCGCCTCAGCCAGAGATTGTTGTTTTAGAGCTGTGCGGGGGCGCATGAACGTCACTACAAAATCCCCCTAATATCTCATTGTGGAGCTAGCTAATACAAAGGATGAAGAAGGCATTTTGAGCGGTGATTTCGACTGCTGCGTTACTATACGGAGGGCAGTCTGTATAATATGAATGTATAGAGTCCAGACTCGGATCCTACAGCATAATTTGAGAAAGTTTTAGGAATAAATTATCAAACAAATGTGAAGATTCACATCAGTCATAATTTGTAAGAGCAACAAAAGGTCATTATTTTGAAAGCTATTACCAAATTATGGCCAATAACTTTCTGTAGCCCCAAGTCATGTTGTTTTAGAGTAAATACATCCAACTAGTACTGAGTGGTTTTGCTTAAAATTCATAAACTATTCAGCCGAAGATGGTTCATCATACCGGGCGCTCTGATAGCAGCCATGAGTTGTTGCATGTCATTCCCCTTCTCTCTCCCCCTTTCCATCCTAAACTATCCTATGAAATAAAGGCAAAAAGCCCCCACAAATCCCACCTGGCAGAGTCTGTGCTGTTTACATAATACGGAAATGAGATTTAATCAAATGTGACTGGTGGTAAGTAAAGATGGATATTGTTTTGTGACAACACCCTTTTTTTGCCATTAAGATTTCTTTAAAGGACCAGTGTGTAAGATTTAGTGGCATCTTGCAATGGATTTGCAGATTGCAACCAACTTCGCCTAGTTATTTTGAAAATTTCTGCATACTTTGGTCCATAAACAGTGTTAAAATTACATAAATTGTGAATGACTGGAAAGCTAAGACACATACTTCATGCTGCCCCCCCCCATAAGTCAGTGCCCCACTTGTGCCCCTCAGTTGAAAAAGTCTGGACACAGCCCTATTTGTATTACATTTCTTCACATTGGGACTTTAAAACTCAGTTTGTTTGCTTTTAAAATGGTTTTACTTTGAATCACAAATTAATCTGTCTAATTGAGTCAGTTGAAAATGACTCACCATGGATCCGGGTACAGTTGGCAAATTGCTGAAGTCCTAGAAAGTCTTCGGATGGAGGGGGGGGGGAATGAGAGAAGAAAGAGAGAAAAATGAAGCCTTGTGTAAGGATTGAGCTGCCCAAGGGAGGAAATACCCAGTTTAGTAAATAGTGTGTGTGTTGCACAAGAAGTGAGTTGGAAGCACTCAGTGTGTGCACGCAGATCATTTACAAACTGTTCCTAACATAAAGAAAGTGAAAACTTGCGATAGATATGTGTGTGTGTGCGTGCAGCTGTTTGGGAGGGACCTTAGTTTTGGCCGTCGGGGCCTCCAGCTGTAACACTGGGCTACACATCTCATGATGGAGACAAAGAAGCCGTGTGTGTTACATTTTCTGTTCCCCACGTCAACCTATAACACACTTGCTGATCATTTTTGTTCTAACTCTCTGCCTGAGGAAAACCACGAACCTCACCCCTGTAAAGAATGTATCAGCATTTAGAGTTAGGTGTCCAATACTTTTATAACTCAAGACGCTTTATCAACATATTGTTGCAATTAGTTTATTAGTATTTTCCTAAAACAGCTGGGAACTGTAGTGTTTAGCAACCTTTACTCAAACAAGAGTAAATGGTGCATTGGTTAGGGCCTATTTCCAGCTGCGGATTAAGACATGTTTGGTATTTTAGTAAGTATTTACCGTCAACTTTATGATTACATATGGACGTCGTCTCTGTCACGCATACCCATAGCTTTCTGAAGAGCAGTTGTAGCCTGGTTACTGAAAACAGCCACCTGTAACTTAAAGCATTATATCATATATATCGTATTAAGACTCTTTTAATGCAAAACATGTTTATCAACAAGATTATTTTTCTTTTTAGACCAAAAATAAAACTCATTTCCCAATTTTCCTGTCATGAGTTTCCTTTTTTTTTGTATTAAACCTGTGGTAACTGTAGGTCAGCACTCTGAGTCTCGTAGCATCTACAGAAAGGGGCTTTGTGAGCTGGCTGTCTGGCTGCGGATGGAGCGATGGTGGGTGAGGAGGTGGGGAGTTGGGGAGGTGGATGGAGTTCAGGGGGAGGTTTGGCCACAGAGCGCCGGTTGTGGAATTCCAGGAATGGAAGTTAAGCTGGAGTTTGGATCTGAACGGGGGGAATTGACTGCAGAGGTGATAGAGCGGTTTTCAGAGGTTGTGGTCACGTGTGTGTGTGTGTGTGTACGTCAGACGTAGACAGGAGTGTGTGTTCGTGTGTGTGTGTAGTACAGGATATGACACACACACCCAGGCCTCATTCATCCTATATATAACATACAGAATGAGGGAAGCATACACACTTGCACGCATGGTATGACACACAGGAGAATATCCTCATCAGACATGTGTTTATAGCTTTTTATATGTTATGTCTGGTGTGTGTGTGTGTGTGTGTGTGTGTGTGTGTGTGTGTGTGTGTGTGTCTGTGTGTGTGTGTCATCTCCAGCTCTATGCTACAGCATACATGGCCCTGTAATTAACATGCTGTTCTCTGCCAGATGCTATATCTGTTATTGAGAGAGCCACATGTGGTTTGTCGTTTGCGGCGCAGCGGAGGCTCTATATAAAGTGAGTGTGTGCGCTTTTGTGAGATATATTAACCTTCTTCATGTCTGCTTTTGATCCGAACATAAAAGACTGTTCCGTCGGCAAATGCTTTCTCGAAGCGAAAGTGACCTGTTTTGGTAGGTTTTCTGTGTTTCGGTGCAGTTTTTATCAGCATTTGGTCGCAATATCTCCAAAACCAGATGTGAAAAATAAGCACTCAGGTTCCACTGACATAAATACACACACAGGAGAGTGTGGACGTACAGTGACATGAGCTCATAATAGAAAAAGACTCCAGAATCACACTGAAATGTCAAGTGGAACTGCTGCGTAAAGGCCTCGTTCCCACTTTAGGGCGCCGTGCGGTGGAAACACTGAGTGGCTCTGGCAGGGTGTGGCTGCTTTTGGACTGAGCTGGGTCCACTTCTTCTGGTCTCTGGAAGTTAACAGCAGCAGAGGAAAACTGGAGCGCCGCCATGCCAGTCTCAATCATATTTTCTCCTACACGCTTGGAACGTGAGAGTTGGGTGCAGGGCTGTGCAATTAATCGATCAATCTCACACTAATCACAAATCATATCGCATTATCTGTCCAAAGAATCACAACAACACTGTGCAGCCTGAGTTAGGTGAGAGTGTTACAATCTGCAACCACTGATTCCATTAAATCACTACACACTGGTTGGTTCTTAATAAAGCAACGGTTCCTAACCCTTTTCTTCAAGGGACCCCTTTTCTATCATTTAGTAAACATAATATTTATGGATATTTCATATTATATTAAAAACTGAACTCAGTAACTGCAGGAAGTTTGTGTAAAACGGGTGATTTGGAGGAATTTTGAGCAGATTATTTCCTATTTAGGGAACGTTTTATACAATTCTCTGTCTGTTTTATGTATTTCTTTCGATTTATTAACAATCATACACATTTAATAGACTTCTATTTTGACAAATTCTGTGCTTTCTCCTCCCTGACACTTGGTCATTGTTCTATAAGACAATTTACTTTACATATATTGACCTACTGTGTATATCTTTAAAGTTTTCTTGCACGCCTTAAAGGGACATTGTGTAGGAATTTCTCCCATCTAGCAGTGAAATTGTATTTTGCATTCAAACGATTAGTGCTCTTTAGTGCCTCGCGTTTTCAAATGCGTATTGCAACTACGGTAGCCGTTATGTACCAAGAAGCCTACCTGTTGAGGAGAAAGCAGGCAACTTCAGCATCCCTTTGAAAGTCTTTCTCCTTCATTAGCTCTTTCCACCTGGGAAAAGCTACCCCGATGTTTACCCTCGTTTTCTTGAATTCGCCGGTCACGTTGCCTTTTTAATTCCCTTTTTCGCTTTGTTAGTGACTGGTTTCCTTCTCCTGACGCTGGCTCTGACATAAGTATGATCCTCGATTAGTTAGACTGGAGGTAGTGCTTTAGTGCTATTAGACTTTTCAAAATGTGCCGGGGCAATGACAAGTAAGCCTCCATGGACTGATCTCCCTTCTCCGTGTATAGCAGGTATCACATTACTTGACGCTGGCTCTGAGCGATAAGTCACGTTGTGGATTGGCAGAGGTACAGGTAGGCTAGTCCAATGAGGTCCCTCTAGGCATGATTGACATTGATTTTAGCTAATAAAATACTTAAAACACTACACAATGTCCCTTTAAAATCAAGAAGACCTTGCAAGCCCTTGTGAATCTTTGGCGACCCCCAGTGGAGGTTGGGAACCACTGCTTTAATGCAGCCATCGTTTTTCTAATTTCTCATTCAGCTGCATTCAGGTCGTGTTAATATAATTAATTATATTATTAGGAATTATTGTTATAATGTTGAGAAGCACTGAATTTTTTTTTAAATAATTAAAAATAAACTAGGCCCTACTGGTTTTCCATCATTATTGTATTAAATCACAGTCTAAGTTGTATTGAAGACGTCATTAAAAGTCTGAAATTTTAGTGCTGAAGTTGCAGAAATCCTGTGAAGGCTCTGTATTTGCACACAGGTGCCGGCACAGGTAGTTTCCTGCAGGAGCCACTGCTGTTTTAGAGACTGGTGAACTTTATTTTTATATCTGGATCAACCTGTGAATCTTCGGTTCGCTGTTTATATAATTGCTCTACAATAAATGACTTCCTTCATTATGTTCAGGGTCCTATTTTTAGCCACATCCGATTGTCTGGTGTGTCAGCCCAGTTTCCCCCCAAAGGGATTGTTAAAAATTTCCTCTAATTTGTACGTGTGTATGGCACATGTAGCAAAATATTCTAACCGCGGTGGCTGTGGAGTTGCTACGCGGAGGATTTCCATCGACATTCCTACATACTTTCCTTCATGAAGCCACTAAGACTTTTCCTCAGAAGACACTGGTCTCTCTGCTGCTTCCGCCACTTTGAGCCGAGGAATTTCAGAGGAATGTTGCTCATAAAGTCATCTCTCTCCTCCATTCCCACAGGGTTCTTCCTCCCTGTGCGTGCACGCGTCCTGTGTGTACGCCGTGCGTGCTGCAGCCGTGTGACCTCTGGTGTTGCTGCAGTTTTAACACTCTCCTACCAGGTTGCACACACTCCGCTCTGATCTTAGCACACAAAGAGCCGCTTGTGCCTTTGTAGATGTGGCACCTCATCATCATCCTTATGTAACTGGCCGAAGGTGCTACATGCATCACTTCTGCAGAAATAAAACCGCTCTGAGACGTAGGTGTCGGCGTTGTAAACAAATGGAGCCGCTGCCAAAAATAATTGGCAGTTTCTTCTTGCCAATGGAGTCTGCTCTGCATTTTATAGTTAGGGGAGTGTGCTGGATCATTTTTTAGGGCACTGACCTTCTGGCACAAACAGAGCTAAAGATAACCAGTGAAATGACTTTAAGATGTAGATCTTAAAATAAATCTTAAATTAAATAGCACTGCAAACAAACACGCTAATCAATAAGGAATGTAAAGACAGTGATAGACAGTTAAATTACCAAAGTGAAGATTAAAATCGGTGGCACGAAAAATTAACTAGTACTCTTTTTAAACAGCAGATGGCGCCATCTACTTTTTCATTTTTACAAAGAAAAAGGAAATATTAATTATTTTTCACAGTTTATACTCTACTTCAGAAATAAAAGGATTCTATAATTTGATAAAGAAATAAAGGAATCATTTTCAGTCATAATTTGTCTTTAGTCTCACTTTGTTAAAAACATTGTGAGAAAATCATATCATGAGTATAATGACAATTGTTTTGACAGAATTTTCAATCATAATTTCTTGATTTCATAATCGCAATGATGTTCTGTTAAAGCATATTTGATTTTATTAAATTATTGCCATGTGGAGCACCTTTGTAGGTGAATAGTTAGACGACCATTGTTGCATGTAATCCCCCCCTCTCTCCCCCATTTCCTCTCCTGCTGTCTAAATAATAGCATAGAAATGCCTAAAAGTAGACACAAACTGGGACTGTCACAATATCAGATTTTCACTCCACGATTGTGGATTGTGGCAACAGAATTCACGATAACAATAAAATCACAATATCTATAGAGAATTGGAAAAAAAAATAAATAATGTCATCAACTTTTATTGTGTGTTTTGTCTCTTTTTTGGTAAAGCAATTACACTGTACCTTTAGAATAAAAGTGTAAGAGGTGGAGAGAGAGTCTGCAGCCATAATTATACAAAAGTGCACAAAAAGAACAACTGAGTGTAAAGTGAGAACAGAAGTGATTTCACCATGTTATTATATGTGTATTATTAACATGACATCAATATTGTTTAAATATCACCATTATCGTCAATACCGTATATATATAATATATATATACTGTGTATATATTGTACATATTGGCATAACTGCACCATTATCAGCAGATTGTGCTACAAACTGAAGCAATTAGATATAAATCTGCTACTTTAAAAATAATAATAAATATAAATATTATATACGAGGAAATAATTCATGTTATTGTTGTAAAAACATATAAATGTTAAGATACATCCGTGGACTCTGAGTATCCTGCTTGTGATTCTTAACATTCTTCTGAGTCATAAATACTCGAGACCAGCTGCAAAGCATCTGCTCCTCGCCGGCGCAGCGGCGTTATCTCGACTGGTTCTCATTCAGATGTTGCACGCTGCACTTTCTTTGTCTTTATTTGGTGCTGTTGTGTTTGGGGCTGCAGTGGAGTTGATATTTCACCTCCATGTGTAAAGTGAAGAAGAGCTGAGGGGAAATGGAGAATTAAATCTTACTATGTAGAGTGGGAATTGTGCTTATTGATAAGATAAGATATTAGGAGAATAAAATAAATTAAATAATCACAAATTAAAATAATGTGAGATAAATACAATCGTGTGCTCTTCTTTTCCCAGATTCAGCAGTTGGAAACGCAGGTGATCGATGCAGAAAAACGGGCCTTCACCGCTCACCAGCAGGTAACGATGCTAACAGAAGTGTGTATATGTGTGTGGCCATGTGCACATATGTGTGTTTATGCAGTATGTGTGTGTGTGTGTGTGATTCCAGGTGCAGTGGATGGAGGAGAAGCTGAAAGCTCCAGACAGTCCGTCCGGAGACTCGGAGGTGCGATTGTTTCAGCGGTGCCAGGAGCTGCAGGCCCTGGTGCAGGAGAAGGAGGACGTCATCGGCCAGCTGGAGCAGCAGCTAGAGGAGCAGGTAGAGCGCGTGCACGTGAAGAATTTCATCAATGCAACAGATGTAGTGCCAGTGGACGTGGTTTTGTCTGTTTTTTCAAGGTGCAAATTTATGTAGAGGAAGATGTGGCACGCTAACAGCCAGTATTGGAGCTAAAAGACTGGAAAGCAGCTGCTCTGGCAATGTGGACAATAATCTTATACTGTATGTCAGCACGAGTTAAGGAGAGCCAAACTCAAATGGAAACATACCAAACTCTCAGGCCACTGTGGAAAGATCCTTGTAATCTTGTTTAAGGACATTGCACTTGTGTTTTTATACTTGTTCTCAGCTGTCATTTTGGATTTCCCGTCCTTATTGAAATACAATGAGTCCCAAAACTGTCCGCTGTCTTTCTCCAGAAACAGATCCGACTTCAGGACGCCAAAACGGTGGAGGAGAAGGCGGCTAAGATCAAGGAATGGGTGATGCTAAAGCTGTCAGAGGTGAATAATTTATAGCATTTGATATAAAGTTGCCCAAACTGATTCAAAGCACAGTTAGTCTTGGAGTTTAAAAACAGTACAAATCATTCACCTTGGATAATTCCCCGGTTTTATGTTGAAACATATTTATTCTTCAGTTTGAGCTTGAGAACGCAGCACTGAGAGAAAGCAACAAGCAACAGGAGGCTCAGATTGAGGAGTTACACAAACAGGTTCAGGGTAAGAGCCTTTTGTGTCTTCGGTCATCCACTCAAATGTCATTTTATGTCAAATTTTGCTTGATTATGTGCACGTACAAGCAAACACACACATCAAACATGTTTGTGTTTGCAGCCTTTGAGCAGAAGTGCGGGGGTGGTCGAGGAGTCCTCTGCAGACCGGGGGAGGCGCAGCGTCTCAGCAGCCTGACATTTGGCTGTTTCCAGGTGAGGGGGAAGAACCCCCAGGTCCTCACTGGACCAGCACCTTCCCAGAGGAGCCTGAGCACCCAGGAAGAGACCGAGGGCAGAGACAAAACTGGTGAGTCCCCTTAGATTCACAGGAAACAGGACACAGGAAGGCTGAGTGGAAAAATGGAAAGTGACTCAGAAGACCTTTTCAGCCATGAGGTCATATCCTTTGTGTGTTAAGGTTTTCCTGCATTACTTTTTTACCACTCACTGTATCTCACTTAAAACATTGTAAACGTTGTTGATTGTGTTTAACTGAAGGGCCAGAGCTTTGGGAATAACAGGATATCTGGAAATCCCCAGTAACTGAATTACATAAGACTCCCAACCTTTTTCCTTAAGGGACCTTTTCTGTCAACTGTCGACCCCTGATTTAGTCACATATAATGATGTAATGATATAGTATTACAGATTTTATTCAATATATAACAATAACAGTAGAGAACAGCTGATAAACTGCACAATGAACACAAACAGTGATCACAATAACTGCAGGAAGTTTGTGTAAAATGAGAGGTTTTGATGATCAGAGATGAGTTTTACTGATCATTTTTGGAACTTTTTAAATGATTGCTTTGGCTATATGAGTATGATTTTCAATTTCTGCCAATAAATCCTCCCAAATTTTACACACTGGACCTTTAAATTAGATCTTTATGTTTGACTAAAGTAGAAATAAACTTGTAAGTAACCTATCAGCTTCTCAGCTGATTGGTATGAATGTGACCATAAAAAATGAAACTGAGCTCAAATTGAAAACTATATAATGTTTCAAATAGATTTTAGTTTTTAGAAAATCACTAATTTATTTTACAGTTATTACTGAATGTGTTTCATGATCTCCACTTTATTGATATTACTGCTGTTGGATTTGTGTTTTCTCTGACAGAGAAGAGCAGTAAGCTCGCAGCGTCCTCAGGGACAGACGGTGAAGTGCAGAGATCCGATCGGACTCTGGAGGAAGACAGCACGTCTGAGAGCCTGGGCGAGAACGCATGTGGACCTGAGTCCCGTGGCGTCTCCTCCGTGCTCTCCAGTGCCGCATCGGAGGGGGAAGGAGGAGGAGGAGGGTGTGAGGGAAGAGGAGGAGGCGGTCTGGAGTTCAGCCGCCCCGGGAGCGAGACCTACCTGACTGCCTCAGACGACAGCAGCTCCCTGTTTGACGATGACATGCAGCGTGCAGATCGACCCAGCTTCAGCCTGCTGGGCTCCTCAGACGGGGCGCTGGGAGGGTGTAAGGAGGGAGAGGAAGAGACGCACAGGGCCAAGCTGGAGGACTGCACCTCTGAGGAACTCAACAAACGTTTCCAGTCGCAGAGACTTGACTCCTCATCCTCTTCCAGCGAGCCCAACACCCCCAGCCCCATCCTCACACCAGCGCTCACGCCTAAAAGACCCAACCCACCTCAGGATTCAAGGGACAACCCCGCCTCGCCCAAACAGCCTCGCCTGCGGACCCCTGCAGGGTTCGGGCTGATGAACGTGGCTCTAGCCAAGAAACACCTGAGCCAGCCGCCTATCAGCAGTGAGGTGGCATACGGACAAACGCGCAACGCTCTCAGCATGCTGCGCCCCCTCCGGCCACAGGAAACTGACCTCGACCAGGAGCAGGAGGTCAGCATGGAGACGGGCAGGGACACGCCTCCTCAGGTCCTCTTCAGCTCACCTGGTCCACCTGAACCTGGTTCAGGGATCAGCCCAGAGAGGCAAGACTGTGACAGCTCAGCACCTGGCAGCAAACCTCCGACACCGCCTTTACACCGGCTGCCCTCCTGGGTAAGATTATCCAATGACTGATCTAAACTGAGTGTGGATCATTAAAGATGTCAGGTAGAAGTCAATATTTAGTTCACAATTTTATCCTTAAAGGTCCACTGTGTAACATTTAGGAGGATCTGCTAGCAGCAACACTGTGGGTCCGTCATGTTGAACCGCCATGTTTATACAGTAACCCCAAACACAGGCTCTAGATAGAGGAGTTTCCCAGCCACCGTAGTTTCTTCTATACACTTCACAGCCTCTTTCTCACGTTTTTCTTCCACAGGAGAGTCGTATCTACGCTGTGGCTAAATCAGGAATCAGACTGTCGGAGACGTCCTGCTCAGACCCCGCTAGCAGAGGTAAGACGGCGGGAAAAAGGAGGGTAATTCATCAGCAGCTGAACAACGAACTAACTGCACTGTGATCTGTGTTTTAGACCCCTCCCTCCAGTCCTCATACCCTGCCTTTGTAATGTACACATCCCTCATCTATAAAAACATGACCACACCAGTTTACACTACTCTGAAGGGGGTAAGTGCAACTTTACACTGCAGGATGACGCTTGTTCATTCTCATGTTGTGTTTTTGATTATCTGTGTAAGCCTGTACAGGACTGGTTCCCAACCCTTCGCAGGGACTTCTTGAATTTAAGCGTGTAAGATAAAAACAATACATAATACAGACAGAAAGATGTATAAAAGTTCCTAAAAATATCAGGAAAACTCATCTCTGATCAATATTCATAGGAAATAATCTGCTCAAAATCACTAGTTTTACACAAATTTCCTGCAGTTCAGTTTGTGTTCATTGCACAGTTTATCAGTTGTTCTGTACTGTTATTGTTGTGCCTTAAATATAATCTAAATATCCATAATAATATGTCTCTTACTCAGTTTTGAGACTCAGTTTGTAAAGTTGCTGTCTAAAAAAACAAAAGTGCAGAGATTCCCGACATTTCGAGGGCAGTCCTAGTCGTCAGTTTACTCAATGATAGAAGAGGGGTCCCTTAAGGAAAAAGGTTGGGAACCACTGGTGAACAGTACCGATACCACATCGACCAACGCCTCGTCTCGGTCTTGCAGAAAGCCACTCTGCTCAGCAGCAGCCCGTTCTCAGATGACTCCTCCAGCTCTGAGGAGTCATCCAGTTCAGGAGAGGAGGACGGCTCCATCTGCAGCTCTCACACCTCCTCCAGCTCCCGCAAGGACAGCAGCCCGGGCAGCCCGCGCTCTCTCAAGAGAGGTACAACACACACCTACTGGAAGCCTGTGGATGTTTATGAGTCTTTATTACGTTGTCAACTGTTTCCTCTTCTTCTTCTCCAGCTGTGTCCATGTCTTCAATGACATCAGAGAGCGACTACGCCATCCCTCCTGATGCCTACTCCACCGACACAGAGTGCTCTGAACCGGAGCAGAAACTCCCAAAGACCTGCTCTGCAGCCAGTGACAACGGCAAGAGTGTGAGTCAGTGTGTAATGTGTGGGAGATTGATCGCCTTAATGCAGGTGTGGAGAACAAGCTGACATGATGTCTTCTGGGGCGTCAGGATTCAAGTCTTCATAAGTCATAGTGCACAGTGTAATAATACAACAGTAGTTCTACCAGAACATTTATCTTTTAAATCTTTCAAAGCTATTAAATTGATCAGAACTTCAGGTCCAGTGTGTAACATAGTGTGTAATCACCTGAATGTAAGTTTTCATCAGCAGTGACTTACACGACTCCTATAGAGCTGGAAGCAAACATGAAACAGTAAAATAAAGTAGAAACAGGGACGCAAGACACAAACCAAACATCTAGATAGGAGCATTTTCCATTTATCATGTGTTTCACAGCTTGTTCTCATTCCAAGGACGTCAAATACAGACACCAGACTAAATCCTGCACACTGGTCCTTTAAAGGTGTGAAGTTTGAGATTGTATCTGCTAAAAGTCCATATTTAGTTTCTTGTACAATTTTGTCCATAAGTAGTTTCTCTTTTGCTGTTGGAAGGGGAGGTTGATGTGACAGAGTTGCAATCTGCAACCTCACCACTAGATGGCACTAAATCCTACACACTGGTCCTTTAAAAGATTGGAAAATGATTGTGATGATAATAAAGGCAAACAGTGACGTTCAAAATACATTATTTCGTTACTTACCCTTACACATTTACTTTTGTTTATTTATATTCTTATTTCTGTTTGTGCATTGTTTTTTTCCCACATATAAAAGCCTAAATAAACTTTATTTTAGACATAAAGTCAAAGTAATTGGTTAAAATGGTTAATAACCCATGCACTGTGGAGTCTATAAATGATAAGTGTTGTTGTTGTTGTTGTTGTTGTTGTTGTAGGAACCGATGGAGAAGTCAGGCTACCTCTTGAAGATGGTGAAGACCTGGAAGAAGACATGGAAGAGACGCTGGTTTGTCCTCAAAGACGGAGAGCTGCTCTACTATAAATCACCTGTGGGTTTTATACAACATGTTTTTCATTCATTTTGTTTCATTAAATGTATACGTAAACATGTATCTATGTAATGTAATCATTCTCCCACAGAGCGATGTGATCAGGAAGCCTCAGGGTCAGATCGAGGTCAACGCCACCAGCAGCATCGCTCGCGGCGAGGGAAAACAAGTTCTCCAGGTATCCGAACGTCTATTCTAACAAAATGACATGTAGTCAGACCTGGAGGAAGATGATTCTGATTCCCTCGCTCATCCTCACCCTCACTCCTTGTCCTTGTTGTGTAGATAGTGACGGGGAAGCGGGTGTACTACCTGAAGGCGGACTCTCCCAACCTGCTGGAGGAGTGGCTCAGGGTGCTGCAGAGCGTGCTCAGGGTGAAAGCCGCCAGTCCTCTCTTCACCCAGCCGGATATTCGACCCGGCATGAAGGGACTGCTCGTCAAGGTCCAACAGCTTATTAAATTTACCTTTGCACTGAAAAAAATATGATTTTACAAACTGCATACAGGGTTCCCTACACTTCACACAAACACCTGAAAATTTATTAAAATGACAAAATATCCTGGAAATAATCTGTGTTGCCCTGGAAAATTTTTGTTGTATTTTATCCTTTTGACCTGCGTTTACCCTACTGTTTCATGTCAAAATGGCTGCTGTGAAAAAGGTCAATTTGTTTGTGTCCTGTCCTTTACTGTCAAGAAAAACTCATGGAAAATGCCCTGGAAAATGATTTCTTAAAGAGTGGGAACCCTCACATAACTAACCAAGGTTTTGTCTGCCTGTTAACTGTTATACTGTCACTGTGGTTGCATTTCTTCTGTTTCAGGTGAAGCACGGTTACTCTAAGCGGGTTTGGTGTGCTCTGATTGGCAAAACCTTGTACTATTTCCGCAGCCAAGAGGACAAGGTAAGATTTTAACATAAACTCTTTCTTAATATTTACAGGACATAGAGGAAGATCTTTGATGTTTTACCTAAAGTGACGTACTGAAAACTATTATTTGAGTGTGTGTGTGTGTGTGTGTGTTCATGTGTGTGTTCCCAGTTCCCCCTGGGTCAGATCAAGCTGTGGGAAGCCGGGGTGGAGGAGGTAGACCGGTCAAGAGATTCAGACGATGACCTGAAGGCGTGTGGGCGGGGCCTGCAGGCGGCACCTTTCACCATCGTCATCCATCCGCAGGAGCAAGGCCCGACCTACCTGCTCATCGAGTCCCGCCACGAAAAGGTCAGCCTCACTCGATACTGAGTGCCGACCCAATACATGTCTGCTAGAAAGATACATTTATGTTAGATACGTTTTGGGTTTCCGTTGGTTATTTCCTATTTTATTTTGTAGTTTTGCTCCTTTCATGTCTTGTTCTACTTTACTTCCTGTTTTTGGCTTTTTCTGAACCATTTTGGCAAATATAGACTGCCTTTTTTCTCTTATCAAGATCCTGTCTTGAGTCTTGCATTGCTTGTGTTTTTACCAATCATAACAGCATCCTGGAAAGCCTGGAAGACCTGGAAATTTAGACACTAGATTTCCCAGTCATGGAAACACCTGGAATTTGAATAAAATGACCAAATATCCTGGAAATAATCTATGTTGTCCTGGAAATTTTTGTATTTTAGCCCCTCACTCATATATACGTAAACCTATAGGTGCTGCTTTTTTGTTTGAAACTCAACTGTCGGTGGGATAAACATTTTAAAGCAGGTTCACCAGATGTAAAGAGGAACTGACTGCAGTGATCTTTTCTGCATTGCGTCTATTTTTTCCAGAGCAGCAAGTGAAAGTCTCATCATCATCCCCATGCATACAGCCTAATAATGATCCAGTTTCTTGTGGCTGTGGTTTATAAAAAAGAGATTGCCTCCCTGCCACAGATAACGAATGAATAAGAGTGTCTCATTAAATTACCTCTCATTAAGTGCAACTTATCAAAAAGACGCAGTTCAATGTCTTCTTAGTGTTTTTCATGATGACAAAAAAGTTTGCAGTGAATTTAGTGGTAGATTTGAAAACATTTTAAGGATATATTATAACTCTTTATACAGGCCAAAGCTGATTAAAGTTTAAACTAAGAATGTATCATAAGTCCTCACATTGTCAGTCACAGAATGTGTTGTGCTGTTGGTCTGTTTATTTGATGAGCCTCTGGTATCGCTGACATTAATGTGTGTGTGTCTGCAGGACTCGTGGCTGTACCATCTGTCTGTGGCAGCGGGGAGCACGGTGGGTAAAGTCGGCACGGAGTTCGAACAACTGGTGGGAAAACTCTTCCAGCTGGATGGAGATCCAAGTGAGTCCCACTAATTATTTATTTTCTGTTGTGTCTTTAATTGTGCTTTACTAATAGCTGACATGCTAGTTTCATGCATCCCAATCATAACTGCTATAGCAAAAAAACTCTGTTACATACAGAACGAAATTCATTTGATCCCATCATCTGAGCTGTTTACACCACTTGCAGCGACCTTTTGTCTATTTTGTAAATGTTGTAGATGGTCAGACATTCATAGAGCCTGTTAATGATTACATTTCATTTGTTGTTGTGGTTGATACATGCACAGTGATGTTAATTGTACATGCAACACTCTCTTTCCACTTCTTTCACTAGGCTAACGCTGTAAAACAAAATAAATCCTCCCTGATTTGAATTGTTATTTATGAGCTGTGGCCAAGTTACTGTTACAGTTCGAGGAAAACTGTAGTTGATTCGCCGGAGGCTTTAGCTCCACTCACTTGGCTGTGGTGAGAACAGCCAAGGGTGCCATGAAGGAGAGCTAAGATTTCTTATAAATAAATTCTCTTAGTGTCTTAACTTTTTCCTTTTGTATGGAGCACATTTGAACCACAGTCATCTCTTCTGCCTCTTTGTCTTTCAGACTCTCAGAGCTGGAGACATCCTATGTTGTGTTTCAGTAAGGAAGCTCTGACGTCTCCTCTCACCACGCTGCCGTCACAAGCTCTGCAGACAGAGGCTGTTAAACTCTTTAAGGTACACACACACACACACACACACACACACACACATATGCATAGCATTGATATGCAGTTTGGTCCAGGAGCCTCTGTAGATGAGAAAACAGAATGCCCCTTTTGGGTGAAATAATCGCTGTAAATAGTGGTACTATTGGAAGCTTCTGCGTCTCATTTTACACAAATAAAAAAGTTTACAGTTTTACTTCCCCAAAAAACGAAGGACCGTAAAAGAAGAGATCTGTGGCTTTAGGTCATATGCAGAGAGGATAAAAATGGTAAACCGAGGCACCTGGACAGCCAGTATGTGTATCTGTGTCAAACACTCTCGTAAAGAGTCTCAGTGATGGTGGAAATAAAGTTTTTACTGTCGCTTCCATAAAAAAGCTGTTTTTAGAATGGAGTTTGGTGTGGAGCAGATAAACTGAGCTGACCTACCTTCTAAAAATGAACAGCAGAAAGTAAGAAAGGAAGTGGAGATAAAACCAAACTGTTTTCCTCTTCTGTCAGCTCGTAGTAAAAGGTTGATTAATAAACACAAACATCGCATATGCTTCACCACAGCGATGAAATTAGTATACGTCGGCCAGACGACCAAAACAGAAAAATAAGTCTTAACTCCAGAAACAGTGACAGATGTCAGAAATATGAGAATGGTGACACTGATCAACCCCTATTTCTTTATTCTTTCTATATAACTTTAGAGCCCTGTGCTGCACATGTAACTCAAGTAAATCTGTAATCTATCTTAATAACAGATTAAAGTTTCCTGTAGCTTTAATCTAAACAATGTATCACGAGCACAGACTATCTCTCCTCCTCCTCCTCCTCCTCCTCCTTCGTCCCCTCTCTCCTCAGACGTGTCAGCTGTTCATCAACGTGGCCATCGACGCTCCGGCCATCGACTACCACGTCTCACTGGCCCAGAGTGCCCTGCAGGTGTGTCTGGCCCACCCCGAGCTCCAGAACGAGTTCTTCTGCCAGCTCATCAAGCAGACCCGCAGGAGGCAGCCACACGGCCATCCAGGACCCCTGCAGGTTGGCATCCTCACCACACGGTGGCAGCAGCAGCACACGTTGCTGACTGGGAACCACCGGAAGTACAGGGTGTCTGAAAATGTTCCAAACTGTACTTGGGAGAATCTTGTCTCTCCTTTATGTTGTTTACCAAAAGCTTTTATGTGAGAGAAAGTCCTCAAAAGTTCCTCTCAGAAAAGAGGCTGAAATCTACTCCTGCTTTTAACGACCAGAAACTTTCCATCAGCTGTCAACCTGAAGTCACATATGCAATAACCAGATATACCAGAAACACCAGCAGAGGGAGAACAGACAAAGTACAAGTACAGACAAAAACAAATAGATTCCTGTCCATAGAAATACACAGCCCACAATAATGCCACAACAACAATGCTGCAATTACAAGTGCAAGATGCTAAAATAAGATGCTAAGCAGGATTATTGCACGAGGACCAAAGGAGTTTTTAGTCCTCTGTTTACAGATTATAGTGGGAAATTACAGTAAAGTTAGATAAAGTGTGAAGTGTGATCATGTCAACAGGATGCGTAATAATAACAGAACCCTGCAGCTCCTCTGTGTGAACACCAGTGAACTCAGTGAGGCTGATTAACAGAATCAAAGGAGGAACTTCTTGAAGCTTTGTATACAGACAACTTCCTGATCCACCTTATTCCTTCCTTTTTCTATCATTCAGTAATCTGACCCGGTGACATATTTTATGGATATTTCATATTAAATTTAAAACAGGGAACTCAGTAACTGCAGGAAGTTCGTGTTAAACGAGTTTAGAGGAATTTTGGGCAGATTATTTCCTGTTTAGGGAACTTTTTATCTGTATTATGTATTTATTTTTATCATTTGTTACAATCATACAGACTTAATAAGCTTCTTTTTTGACAGATTCAGTGTTTTCTTCTCGCAGACACTTGACCATTGTTCTGTCAGACAATCTACATTTACTTTTCTCCACAGAAGTGAACCAAATGCTGAGACACTGTGTATATGTTTCACATTTTCTAGCACGCCTTAAAATCAGGAAGGTATGTGACGCTTTGGCGACCCCTACTGGAGATCCCTACCCCGAGGTTGAGAACCACCTCACCCATTTATGACTGTGTGTGTGTCATTCTTTAGGGCTGGCAGTTTCTCGCCCTGTGTGTGGGCCTGTTTCTGCCTCAGCACCCGTTCCTCTGGCTGCTCCAGGTTCACCTCAACAGACACGCCGACTCCAGGTGAGAGAACGTTAGCACGAAGAACCAAGGCACTAAACGTCACAAAGGACAACATACAGTAACTATGGAAAACACCGTCATTTAGAAACTACTGAAATGTTATTACTTACATTTTTATATTTTGTAGGTCAAACAAACAACTCCACAGTTATTTTATAAGTTTTTATTTGCACATGCAGTGTATATATAAAGCAGGAGAGGTTTGAAGTCAACAATGGCTCCCCTTTATAAATATAATAAAAAGAGAAAAATATATATAAATACAACATTCAAGCAGCTGAAATACAATATTGATAGGAATGTACAATTATTTTATCATAATAATGTTCACCAGATGAAATCTTATTATTATATTTATCTATAGAGACATTTTCAGATTTTTTTTTTAATAAAGATAATGTTGCAGCTGACACTGACTCCCACCACCCGCCCTGAATATATTTGCTCCATTAATGCACTTCGCTTCGATTTTATCTTGCACATTGAAAATATAATCCTGTGTCACTGTTAACTTGCAGATTCCCTGGACAAGATTTTTTTTGCCTTATTGTACATATTTTATTTGTATATTTGGAGGCTTCTATTCTGCTGTTATAGTTGTAATTTTGGTATTTATTGTTTATATATTTAATTATGTTTTTAAAGCACTCCCTAAGCTCCTAAATGAACATTATTCTCCATACATATATTAACATAGATAAATGGTGAAAACTAACTTGATTTAACATTTAGTGAACTTGTGAAGAAGGTGACGGTATGATGTACACACCACTTATACGCCGTCTCATCGTCTCTGTTCTCAGGACTGAGGTGGGTAAGTACGCCATCTACTGCCAGCGCTCCATGGAGCGGACCCAGCAGAAGGGCGAGAGGCAGGCCCGGCCGTCCCGTATGGAGATCCTGTCCATCCTGCTGAGGAATCCCTATCATCACTCCCTGCCATTCAGCGTGCCTGTTCACTTCCTCAATAGCACCTACCAGGTAACAACAGTTTGAGTCTCTTACATCAAAGCACACAAAGCACACACTGTTAACACACATCCATCCAGTGTTTATCCGTCACGCTCACATTCTTGACTGCTCCACCATCTACCTGTAAGCTCTGAGTCAGGGTTTCCTCTGTAGGGGTGTTTGTGTTTTTGGTCTCTCCCAGTCGGTGCAGAAAGTCCTGACATCATAGCCTAGATGCTTACATAAGACACGTAAAACATAAACTTATGGAAGGACGTAAGTTTGCAAAGCATGGAAAACTACAACTTCATTATTTAGGAGAGAATATGCTCAGGAAATTCAAGTATGTTTCTTCATAATAGCTATTATTGTCCAAGCAAAGTACTGTAAGGAAGCAACACCAGGCTGCTGGAAGCCGATCATCTTTCCTTCTCCTGCCCGGTCCTGCAGCTTTTTAGGATTCTAAAAAGAGAAGCACTTAAACACATCTCTTTAATCTAGAGTATACAAACAAACTCTGCCGAGCAGAACAAACTTTTCAGTATCGCAATAAAACACTTCATCGTTAAAAAATTAGGCATTAAACTGGATTTAAAGTCAATGCTAGACCTACAACAACAATATGACTGTTTATGAGCAAGATATGTCAAGAAAAATGTCCTGGAAAGCTCCTGGAAAAGACTTCTTAAAAAGAGTGGGAACCCTGTCATCTTCTGCATTTAATCACATTCCCACAGGTGGTGAGCTTCGATGCTTCGACCACAGTGGACGAGTTCCAGTGTCGCCTCAACCAGGACACCGGCATGAGGAAGACGGGGCTGTCTGGGTTCAGCCTGTACACTGACGACCCCACTGGACGAGAGCTGGAGCACTGCCTGCAAGGAGGCATCAAGGTGCTTCTTTTTATTCACCAGATGATTATTATATAATATATATATAACGAAGTGTTCAATTTTCTTAACACAAACTTGTCTTCCTCATACGAGCTGCAGATTTGTGACATTATCTCCAAGTGGGAGCTAGCCTCGAAGGAGCAGCACACCGGCAAGTCTGAAAACACTCGGACCGTCCGCCTCACCTACAAGAACAGGTAGAGCCTTTTCTTAAAGGCTTATATCTCACAGAGAAGTGTACTCAGGAATGAATGTGTCTTTAATTTGTTCTAAAAATAGAACACAAGCAAACAGAGGAGGTTCAATTATGTTCCATCCATTATTTCCCAACATCTCTCTTTCTATCTGCTTCTGTTTCACTTTTACCACCTCTCATCTTTATCTTTCCCTCCCCAGACTCTACTTCTCTCTCCAGGTCAGGGGGGAGTCAGAGAGGGAGAGGTTGCTGCTGGCTTATCAGACAAATGAGGCCATCGTAGCGGGACACTTCCCCGTCAACAAGGAGCTGGCTCTGGAGATGGCTGCCCTGCTGGCCCAGGTCTGAAAAGTTAAAAACATCTTTGAACAGTTCGTGCTGCCTTTAATGGAAGAAGGAGTAGCAACAAACTGTTGTATAATTTAACACTTATATGTGTCTGTGTTCAGGTGGAGTTTGGGGATTTTGAGCGTCCCTTCTCGGCTCCTGGATCAGCCCCGACCAAGTCTAACCAAACCCTGAAACAGGTTCTGGAGAGATTCTACCCTAAACATTACCGCCGGACCACATCTGAGGAGCAGCTCAGGTACGCATGATAGTTATACTTCAAACTTTTAAAATTACACAAATCATATTTTACTTGTTGCTGGAAGGAATTGGAATTCAACTGAAAGCTCCCTGCACCAAACTCCCTTTAAGAAATATCACATTTTAACAATTCCTAATGTGTCCTTAAAAACAGGTAACTCTACAAACTCGAGCTACAGGACTTCATTTGTCGACAGTCTTGTTGTCAATTCGGCATCAATATAATCCATAAAGATAAACTGTATTCTGTACAAACTTTAGCGTGTTTCTTATTATAATAACTTACAGAATCTTTGTTTTCCCCGTCACATCTGCAGTCAGTTAAAGTCAAGTTATTTTTCCAACCTTATTGTGTTTATCCTCAACATTTATTAATGAATATGTATTTATTGCAATGTTTGATAAGGACTATATGTATCTATCTGAGATCAAACACAACGCGATCCTCCAGGATAAACGTATCTGAGTGTTTTTTAAGGCAATAACATCGTACCGTATATTCTCCCTCTTTTGCATATGAACTCAGTTATATTGTTATGATCTGCGATCACAGTCATAAACTTTAGTTTTACATGACAGGAAGCTGTTCAGCAGTTAACCCCTTAATTTCCCATCATCATCCTGTCCATGCTCACCCAGTCCAATCAGATCTCTCATGTTGTGGAAACATACAGTGTATATATATTTATTTTGCCAGGAGGAGGTAGAATTAACCAACAGGAGTCTTTGAATGCATCACAACCAGATTCTAATGAACACTGTTGTCCTGACAGATTGTGGTAATCAAATTAATTCCCTCCTCTCAGACAACTGCTGCAGCGCCTCTCCGCCCGCTGGGCCTCCCTCAGGGGTCGAAGTTCACCAGAGTGTGTCAGGATCTACCTGACCGTTGCCAGGAAGTGGCCTTTCTTTGGCGCCAAACTGTTCGAAGCAGAGGTAGGTGAACTGTCTTATCATCAGCCGAGTTATTTGCTCTCACGTTAAAGAAACGATACAGTGTCGAACAAACAAAGGGCGACATACAAACTAAATAAAGTCTCGGTATACTTAACCTCTGAACACACGCTGCAGGTTGATTGAATTACAGTGATTGTCGTACTTGAGATTAAATGTTTTGAAAATTGTCTTGAAAGAATTATAGTCCACCATCTTTAATAAATTTAATCCAAAACATTCAGTACGTCCACGTGGTGTCCCCGGTTCAGTGAGGACACAGTGATATGTCCCTGAGCAGCTGCTCTATTTAATATTCTAATGCACTCTCGTACTGTACAGTCTCACATACATGTATTTATATCATTTCCTGCACGCACATGATTAGTATTAGACCTGTACTGTGTATTCATAGCCCAACTATACTGCTATATATGTATTTTGTGCAATTATTTCTTTGTATACCATGCCACTAGCTCCTGCAATGTTCCATATGCAAATACAACTCTTATTCTCTTATTCTATTTTCATTGTATCTTGTATTTTTCTATTCTGTTTTTATTTCATGTGTATTTTCTTATCTGTCGTGTTGTGTCTTGAGCTGCTGTAGTGAGTGAATCTTATCTTATACAGTTCACTTCAGGGTTGATTTTATGATTATTTTCTCTCTTCCTTTTGTTGTTGGAGTGTATAACATATGCTGTGTGTTAGTATGCCGTTTGCATACTCTTAAATGTGGAGAGGGTGTCTGCCTCCTGAACCAAAACTGGAAGCTGGTTCTACAGGAGAGGAGCTTGGTAACTGAAGGCTCTGGCTCCTGTTCTACTTTTAGAGACTATAGGAACCACAAGTAGCCCAGCATTCAGAGAACGTAGTGTTCTAGAGGGGTAATAGGGTACTATGAGCTCTTTAAGATATGAAGGGGCCTGACCATGAAGAGCTTTATAGGTGAGGAGGAGGATTTTAAATTCTATTCTGAATTTTAAGGGGAGCCTATAATAAATTCTAGCGTCTTATCATGTTTACTTTTTTGAAAATGTATTTAAGATTTATTTATCTCACTTCCTGTTTCTGGTTGTGGTTTTCAGTCCATCACGCCGTCTCCAGAGCAGCGTGTCCGTGTTTGGCTGGCTGTGCATGAAGATGGTATCAGTGTTCTGGAGCACAACTCTGTTGTAAGTGTCTCTGAGTACATGTCTGTGTAACTCCCTGCAGCTGTTGACGTGATTTCTTCCCTTTATTGACTTGATTTTCCTGTTTAAACTTACTGAGAACAGAGGTGGTATTCATGCAACCTGTGAAGATAAGCAATAAGCACATATTGTACGTGGGAACTCTGAGGACACAAGATGTAAACATGAATACAATATATGGGGATTAGTCGGGTGAGTTTAGTTGTTCTCTTTATCAGAGCAGAAACATTATGGTGATATAAATACGTGTGTGTTCAGAAACCGCTGGTGTCCCACCCCTACAAGAACCTGATGACGTTTGGAGGCTGCAAACAGGACTTCATGCTGGTCGTGGGACAGAGCATCGGTTCCAACACGAGCAAAGACAAACCTACGGAGAAACATCTGTTTGCTATGGACGTCTCTAAGGTAAGTGACAGGTCATATTCAACAAAATGAAAATCTTTGCTGTACAGTTCTCCTCATACAGTTTGTTCATGGACTTGGTAACAGCAGTTGACCAGTACTGACTTCACCTGTTAGCTTAGTTTAGCAAGGATACCGGTTTCCCCCTGTTTCAAGTCTTGAGTCCTGAGAATAGCAGTAATCCTCCCATCTAATTCATGGCAAGAAAAGTAAATAATTAAGGAATTTTAAGTTGTTCGATGTCACAAAATCCTGTCTAATAGTTTTAATCTTAAAGTATCGGTATCGTTGCCCCCTTGAGGAACCACTTGTGTGTCCATGACATTAAAGTATTCTAAATTGACAAATATATTGCAAATCTTCAGGTGTCTCGATCAGCAGAAACACACCATAATAAGGGTGAATACACGCACCGACGTCTCTTTCCGCTCTGCTTCCATCAACAGATCAGGGAGATCACCCTCCTCATCTCCAGTTACATCAACAGCGCTCACCAGCAGAAGGCCGCCGCCCACCACCTCTCCGCCCCGGCTCTCATGGTGGCTCAGCCAATCAGCCTGAAGAGCAAAGAGCTGAGGAGCAAGTCCCCGCCAGCCCTGGGACGCCCCAGCAAGGCCCCCACGCTGCTGTGAAAAAACATCCCTGTCAATGACAGCAGCTGATTCCAGTCGCACAGCCCTTCTTTCTTATCAGCCACATCCTGTAGGTTTGTCTGATGTCAGATTAAATTGTGGTGAATTTCTGGTGAGCCTACAGGAAGTGGCTCCCTCCTCCATCATGTTTGGTATTCTTTGATATGACTGACCAGCTGAGGGTCCAGCGGTTCCTCATTCAGGATTTAAGCTCCTGAAAAGTGCCTTCCTCAGAGAGCGTGTGACATTTTGGGTCTGAAACTGGAGCCGTAGGTTGTATAAACAGGGTACAAAGGTGTCTAGAAACAACAATGAGGACTTTTTTTTGGTCTGCCTGATGAATGTGTTGCTTTTAAGTGCTGACTCCAAAGAGAAAAAGTCAACAGCATTTATTGACCGACCGAGCTGAGGTGTCTCATTCACCTGTGTGTTCAGGGTGTGTGGTACGTTCCCTTTTGTAAAGATGCTGATTTAAGTTCATTTTATTATTTCCACCTTAAAAAAGAATGCAGTCATACAGAAGTTGTGTTAAAGACTTGTTTAAATATGAAAATGCGTATGAAGCAACTGCCCGCAGTTTGCAGTGCAAAAGGTGTGAATGACGTTCATAAGGGGAAACCAGTTTGGACCTTGTGTGCTCTCAGTTACTGAATAGCCAGGAGAGTGGTGAAACTTTAATCGTGTACAAACCTTTCAGCAAGATGCCTCCTCCGTATATATCACATGACATTACAAAGAGAGGTGTTATGAGAGGGGTATATAATGTGATTGTGTATGTTCATTAAGAGGAAGAGGGTAAGAGGATGTGGTAATGGTTTGATGAGGGAGAAGTTCTGTTTTGTTACTTATAGAATAATGAAGTAATGAAGCAGCAGATATAATGCCTCCTCTGTATATTTCACATGACTTTACAAAGAGAGCAGGGTTAGGGTATGAAAGAGGGGATAAACCCTGTGTTTGTGTACATTTAGAAGAAGAGGATTGGGAAATGTGTTGGTAATTGTTGAAGGAGGAGAAGTGTTTTCTGTTTTCTTAGACAGAATAATGACAGCGGGGTCAGATATACTGTGGTGACCCATTTAACTGGAAAAACAGGACTTTTTTTTTTATCTAAGGTACTTTTTTCCCCCTCCCAGTATTATCTTAAGCCTGTACAGACAGAGTGAGTATTGTCAGGTGTTATATTTATTTGTCATATGAAATCATCCTTGGAATATAATTATTGCAAGTCAAATGCTTGAATAAACTACAGCAAACAAGCTGCTTTTTTGGATGATCAACGCCTCCGTGGGAAGCTGTAGAAACCATAACACTCCATTTTTTCCTCAGCGTCACCAGAAAGCCGGCGTCCTGCTTCCTCATTGGTGTGAGCGTAACTGACGTGCTGATACCTGCAGCAGGTGCCTGACGGCAAGTGACACACCTTCATTCCTATAGTCTTTCACAGGAAGAGAGAGAGGGAGAAAGGGGGAGGTGGAAGGATATATGATACCTAACTTGTCTGAACTAGTTAGAGGCATGCTTTTGTCCCTGTGTTGCTATGGAGACGCAGGGGGGAGGGGTGGCGGGAGAGAAAAAAGTGGGTGAGGCGGGTTAGACATATAGACGAATGATTGATATAAATATCAAAACTGTGGTAACAAGCCAAACAGGAAGTCTGTATTCATCTCTGTAAAATAAAATGTGTTGCACGTATATACAAAATAAAGTTAAACATCTAGAATACATTGTTCTCATTGCGTAGCGTGAAAAATAAAGAGTTTTAACCTTCAGCGGGACCTCACTGTGGCGTAAAGGTTAAACAGGGACTGCCTTCAGCTACAGCGCAGCCTCAGTGAACGCTGGGATCATGTTGTGACAGGAAACAGAGTTTCAACCTCCTTTTCTGCTCAGTGCCACAACACCTGTTTCCAGTTCCCCACCTCACTCTTTTTATGCTGCTTCAGCGACACTGGACTTTGACTTTTCACCCAACTCCAGTTTCTCAGCATTCGTGTTGTGTACATACTCAATGTGTCCAATCACTACGAAGCCAGAACCTGACCGACAGGTTGAGCGCAATACCAGATGGTTTTCAGACATACAGCTTTGAAATGACTAACTTCCCTCCTTCTAACAGGTGTTGTCATATAGCAAGGTAGTCTCAGGTGAGCCAGTATCACCAATACTTACACATTCCACAGCTCAAACACATATTTCACAACAGCTGGAGGAGATATTGTCTAGATGTTTGATTGAAGTTCCCATTAAAAGGAAAACCATAACAGTGGCATATTCAAAACAAGACTGCCACACCCGTGAACCTCCATTCAGCCGGTCCCATGTAAACAAAAGGCTTATTACTATTAACAAAGCAGCCATTTTACATGAGACAAGCCTTGTGTCGGGTCTGGAGAACACTTTTGAATGTGTGTAAAGCAGTAAAACATTCAAAATGGTGCCCACAGCAACTTCCTCCACCTTCCCATCCCCCGTAAAGTACTTTTTCTCTGACTCACTAGACAAAAAAAACAAAAAAACAATGCAAATAAACCTGCGACACAATCAGTCTTTTAAAATTTTATTAAAAACAATCCAACAAACACATATTAGTAAGAAAGAAACTGTACAATCTATGACATGGAATTTAAAAACCATTCAACAAGTTCTAAACATAAAAATGTGCCAGGCATATTTTTAAAAAGATCTTTATGGCATATAGATTGGATGACGCGTTAGGACTTTACACAATTTATAAATAAAATGGCCGTACCGGTATTGCCAACAACATGGACACAACAAAAACAAAAGCAAGCTGATTGTTCCTTTACAATTTGTGTTCCTCAAGTAAAATGGTGAAAATGGCACACTCCCACTGCAAGAAAAGTTAATCTTCATAGGCTGTGATGAAGAGTTTACATGGGATCCAGCTCTCTCTGCTGCATGATGAAGAAAAAAAAAAAAAAACCAGGTTGTTAAACAGCAGTTTTACAGTAAAAAAGGAACTTTTTGTACCCAGAAAGGAAGTTCATCTCACCTGAGCTTTGTTGTACCGCTGCTTCTCTCGCCGCCTGGCAAAGAACTGCACACACAAACAGAGAATTAGACCTCGAACTGACTGAGAACATTAAACCAAACACAAAAAGGTAGAGAACAAACATGGACTCACCAGGACCAGCAGGCCGGCAACCACAGCCAGCACCACCACCACGATGACGGCGATGATCCCGCCCGACAGGTGCTTCATGGTGAACGTTGGGCCCTTCTCGTCCACATAGTACACCAGGATATTCTCCATATCCAGCGTCTGGCCGTCCACCACCGGCGCAAACTTGTTCCCTTCGTCCTTGAAGAGGGGCAGCACTTTCACCTGCGAGGAGGAGGAGAGGAAAAGGATGGTCAGTCAGGGAATCAACAGCCGTGTATCGTCTATACATAAAAATACAAAACAACTCAACGTACATCTTTCTCCATGTAGTACGCCATATGGGTCAGGTCAGTCTTGCGTTCACCAAATGCCTTCTTCACATCCACCACGATGAGCCGGGCCTCGGGGTCGTACTGCAGGAAGACACACGATGCTTCGTTAGTGGAGTGATTTTTTTTATTTAATGCAGTCTAATAAAAATAATTTCAACCCCCCACTCACCTCGACTTTTTCCACCATGTCTTTGTTAAAGTTCTTGTAACGTTTGTGAATGGCGTCCGCAATGGCACTGTATTAAAGACAAGAAATGACACTTATCTTATGGTCTCTTTTTTTAAATTTATATAAAAATAGGGAATATTAAATAAACTTACGCCTTCAAATTGGCAGGCTTCACTTCCCCTTTCACTGGTTTGTGTGTCAGCTGAAGACGAACCCAGCTGGAGAAAATTAAGAAAAGAAAAAAAAAAAAAAAGGTGAACATCTGAGAGTCGAGCATCTAAAACCTCCTCATCCTCCTCCTCCTCCTCCGCCCCTGATCCTGAAATACTCACTAGGTCTCCACGAGCTCATCGCACTTCATGTTCTTGTCTCCCTTGTCGGTACGACGGACGCCGGCGCTGTTGACACACCAGCACTCCTCAGTGTTGTTGCACTGCTTGGCATGGAACTTGCCGTCGCTCTCGCACTCCGGGTTGTAGATGCCGTCGTTGTCCACGAAGGCGGTCTCCACGGGCTTTCCTCCGATGCCCGTGCGGGTGCTGAGGTTCATGCTGGCTCTGTACATCTCAAGCTTCATCAGGAAGCACTTGGGGATCACTGGAGGCAGAAGCAGAGAGGGTGACATCATGAGGTGGGAAACAAAACCCCCCCGCAGGCAAATGGAAGGAAGTGTCTAAACGTGTCTTATACTTACGTTTATTGCAGTCGATTGTTTGTTTCATGCCTTTGGCGAGGAAGATGTAGCACTGACATGGAGTCCCATCACAGGTGGCCCACTTCATCACATCACATTGACCTTAAGCAGACACACAAGGGTTAAATGAACAGTATCGATATTGATCAATATCAATATGTAATGCTTCTCCGTTACAGTGTGATAGAGTTAGAGAACATAAAGGAGTCCGAGGGGTGTATCAGAGTCTGTAACACGGGCCTGTCAACAGGAAGGGGACAGGTAGACTAGCAGGTTTATCTAACACCTGGGCGTTGGTTTCTCCAAACAGACAATGTCCCCAGAGAGCGCCACTAATCCTCCCCACCCCCACTCTCACTCTACAACCCGAAACTGCAGCAGATTCAAACTGCTTTCAATCCCACAATGCCTCATTAAGTCACTTTAGAGCCTCTAACATTTACTGTGAAGGTAAGGGAGGGAGCTTCAGTCTGACAGGAAACACCACATAAAGGAATATCCCCGCGGTGGTGTGAAGCATTAAAGCGCATTCAATAGAATAAAAAAATCAAAAAAATCACAATTAAGCGACTTCAACTCTTAAACTCAGAAATATTGTATTTTCTTTTTAGCTTCATAAAGTTTTCTATAAAAATTCAAACTACTTACAGCTTTGAGCTGAGGCTGCCGCCGCCAGCGAGGCGAGGACGAGACAAATCCACAACTTCATGATGAAAAATGGATTGAAAAACAAACCAATGAAGAAATAAAAAGTAAGTTTCCTGTCGCTGGCTTTCTGTCCGCAGAGGACAACGATGGAGGAAAGAATGGCGACTGAGCGCACAGGCTTCCCTTTTTCTCTCTGCAGGTGTGTCTCCTCCCCCTCTTCCTCCTGCTCCTCTTCCTCCTTCCAGTCAAACCTGTTTGAGGAGACTCACCGAGCGCGAGCACTCAAAGGTAAAGGAGTCAGAACAGACACGAGCGCCACTCAAAGTGAAGTTATCGATGTAGAGCTGATTATCGATTATAAATCCCTCTTTTTCTTTAATGTTTGTTGTTTTAAAAATTAATATACAGAGAAATAGCCTCATGACGTCACGCTCATTTGCATAAGCGACGTAAAGGGGGGGCGCACCTTTTTTCCGGTATGACCATATTTGGTCTCTGTCTCTCTGTTGACATGTTTTATTCTTTGTCAGTAAATCTGAATGTCTCATAGTTTATATGAGTTTTCTGTAAGGGAGCCATTTTCTATCATTAATAAGTGACGTAGTTTATGGATATTTCATGTTTTGTTAAAAACAGTGAAACGTTTGTGTAAAATTAGGGATTATCTGTCTGTATTGTGTATTTAGGCTTCTATTCTGACAAATTCAGTGTTTTTAATTTAGTATTCTCACATCATTTCTTATTTATGTTACTCTTTTTTACTAAAATAGACCCAATAAAATAAATAACAGAGATTTACTGTAATCAGGATATGATGTGAAAATATCTTCACAGCTTCATTAAAAGTTTTTCTTTAAAAATAAAGTTTTATAAAAGTTTAAGTAAATCCAGAAGCATCAGAAAGTTACTTTAATATTTTGATACTCAGATTAGTAGTAGTTATTGTATCTGATTCCATTTATCTGTATCTGATTCACCCCAGTTTATATTAGTGTACAGTTAATTTACATAAGTTTTTAAAGTAACATGTTAAAAATATGCAGATAGGCTTAATTCTTTAGAAATAAATCAGCTTATTGATTTCTAATGCCTCCTTTAGATATTTATATTCAATGTTTAACTGATGTGCCACAATAATGTTTTTGAATTAAAATATCTTTGCAAATATTGATATTTATGATAAAGCGTGTGTTTATTTTGTACAGACAACATAATATTGTAAAACATGTTTTATTCTGTAGGCTGTGACCTTTATACATAAAGAACCACTGTTATCTTCCTGCAGGATGTTAATTATCATAGTTTATGGTGGCTTTTTATATTTAAATGTCTTTAAATATTCTGTGTCAGCATTGTAATATGCCTGTAGGATGTTATATATCACTTTAGACTATAGTGACTTGTGTAATTGTATATTCCAAACATATTATTTTATTTTATATAGTGCTTTAAAAGGTAATTAAAGGCACTTTACATGGTAACAAAAGACAATTATCAGTATACAAACTATTAAAAACAACATGTGGGGCAATAAAAAGTCAATGTTTAGTCGACATATATCATCATATTTCAAACTCTGTGCTACATTCAGACATTTATGAATGTTTAAGTTGTGTGTTTGTGTTTGTGTTCACGCTGTGTGACGCGATGACATCATCAGGTGTGCGCGCAGGTATCTTACCTGACAGAAACCAGCCTGGGAAAACATTCCCTGTGAGTCACGCTCCGTCGAGAAGACACCACTGACTCACAGCCTCAGGTCTCATATGACGCGTCTGACAAATATTCTCACAAACATTGATACCAACACCAATATTTTCATCATCGATCAATCAACAATCAATGGATGTTGATTCTATTTATTATTACTGATGGTGCTCTTAGTGTTTTTGTTGTTTTTACTAGTTTTTCTTTTTCTTCTTCTTCTTCTTATCATTATTAGTATTATTATTATTGTTGTTATTATTATTGTTATTATTTTTATTATTATTAGTAGTAGTAGTAGCAGTAGTAGTAGTATTACCAAGCAGGCAATACTGGAGTGGAAAGAGTGTCCAGAGCGGACTTTAGCTTCATAAACTGATATTTTACTAAAAGCAGAGGGATGCCTGTATATTGTTGCAGCAGGGGCGGTCCTACAGTGACAGCTGAGGAAGGACGTCGCTGTGTCACAGTACGTACGCGTGCACATTTGAGGACCCCAAAAACCAGAAGCGATGCCGCACCTTAAATGTCTTCCTGGGATGTCTCAAGACACGTTAGACGACCAATAGCAGCGTCTTTAACTACAGATCTGTGCAGCTTACTTTCTGGAATTTGCCTCGACTGAAAGAAAGCCAAGAAATAGTCTGGCTCATAACGCCCCCATAAAACCACAGAAGTACATAATTTCCCAGGGAAGCATTTCAAGAGCTTCTTTAATTAATCCCATCTTTCAAAAGTGTTTTTTCTGGTGTGTGTGTGTGTGTGTGTGTGTGTGTGTGTGTTTATAATACAATCTTGAGGGTTTCCTGTAGACGACTCCTCCTCAGTATCTGTTGTTGTCTGTACTGTGTGTGTGGTGTTATTTATATCAAACTCAAGACTTAATCTGGTTTTAATACATTTCTTTATTTGTTTATTTACGTTTTTTTATTGTATTATTATTATTTAGCTGTTTTAGCACTTTTTTTATCTTGTCTATTTATACATTTTAATCTGGTTTACTTGTTTGTTTACCTATTTACACTTAACTCAGTTTCATTCTTTTGGTCCTTTTCTTATTCTTAGTTTTGCATCGGAGCAGTAATTTTTTACTGTTTTTGCTTTTTGTTTCATTTGTCACAACATGAGACTAGAAAGTTGCAGCTAGGTGTGAACCTATCGTGACGTAACCCATCGGTTTGTGGTTTTATGGTCATCGCCATGACAGTTTACCAGAGTCGGTGGAGGTGACGTACTGGGCGTTGAGCTGCTCTCATTGGCTGCTCAGTTTCGGATAAACAGTAAAATGTGTTTGTGAACAGATTTGAGGAGAGAAATAGTCAACAACAAAATCTGGATCCATATCTGATCAGCACTGTTTGACAGTTTGATGTGAGTTTGGTGTGTTGAGCTGGACGGACTCACTGAGAATGAGCTGTCAATCACAAGGTAGCCCCGCCCTAAAGCATACCCTGCTTTATGGTCTGTTTTACTCTAAATGGGACCATCAGTTACTAAATGAACATCATGCTGTATGGAAGAAGACTGAAACTAGAGACTGAGACCAGAAACTCATCAGGAAACTGTTTACTGAGCTCATAAATCAACTGAGAAGTTGGCTAAGAACAAACGAAAAAAGAAATCTTAAGAAAGTAAAAAAGTCTTGTTTCTGGTAAATGAGTCTTATTTTTGTCTAAAAATAAAAATAAAATTGTTAAGCATGTTTTGCATTAGAAAAGAAATCTGGTTTTATGAAAATATATCAATAGATAGCTGATTAGTTTTTCATAGTTTTAATAAAAGATTGTAAAAAATAAGAAGCTTCTGGTTCATTTAAGACAAAGTCACTTTTTTTTATGCTGTTTGAAGAAATGTGTTTGTCTAATCTTAGATTAAGGTATAAATTCTTAAATTGAGCTCAATAAAGTCACTAAAATACTTATTTTAAGAAAGTCTATTTTGAAATAAGCTTGTATATGAAACAGATTGCTCACATTTTTGGCATTTTTTCTAGATTTAAGGCCCATTAGAGATTTTTATGCTACTTTGCTCAGTACAAAAACATTTGATTATATTGAAGAATGTTTGCTGTTTTCAGGGAGGAGACTGAACATCCATGACGCTTTGCTTCTCCAGCCGCTTCTTTTTAACTGCGGGAGAGAAGCTTCCCTGAAAGAGTGTAATACACTGGGGACTCTTTTATGTTCAGCACTTGCAGAATAGAAACTGTGCTTATTTAGAGACATTTAGAGGCTGATAAGCACATACAACAAAAACAATTATGACTTAAGTGTAAAGTGTGAAGAGTAACAAGAGTAAACAATTACACAGGCCCAACTTAAATCTTTACAGCAGGCCATAAAAATGTTCCCAACCAGGTGAGTATCTGTTTCTTATCGCTCCAGTAGCTTCTGCCAAGGATTTATGACTCTGTGTGTTATACACTGAATGAAGGGCTGAATGGAAACAAGTCAATAAGATAAGTTAGAAAAAACATTCTTGATCAAGTAGCTTTGGTAATTTTGAGTGACATATTTTTTTGTGCTGTGAAAACTCAATAAAAATACCTCATAAAAAGCATTTAATCATGAATGTTTCTGCAACCTACAAAACTAAATTAGTGTCACTTAAAATTATCAGTAAAAGCTGCTTAATCAAGAATCAAGAAATGTCATTTGAAACATGTAATTTGGGTTACTTAAACTTTTCGATGTGGTCTGTTTCAACAATTTCTTTGAGTTAAAATAACTTTCACTGCATTATAGTGTAGAATCTAATACAGTGGTTCCCAACATGGGGGTCAGGACCCCCACTAGGGGTCGCCAGAGCCTCACCGGAGGGTCGTGAGGCCTTCTTGATTTTAAGGAGTGTAACAAAACTTTTAAATCTACAGCAAATTTATATCTCAGCATTTTATTCATTTCTGAGAAAAATAAATAGGTTTTAATCTTTTTTTACATTATTTGTCTGATTTTTATTAAAATCTTTCTATTGACTGGATGTTTCACATTTTATTGTTTCTATTGTATTAATTTTTAGCCTTTTATTTATTGTAGTTCATTTTTGTTTTTTATTTGTTGTCTCAGTTTGTTTTGTGAAGCACTTTGGGATGCATGTTTGTATGAAAGGTGATATGTAAATAAAGTTAAGTTGAGTTGAGTTATTTACATTTACCACTTTATTGCAGCATTAAAACATGCTGCACCGCTGATTGTTAGTCGTGAAGAACAATCCCTGTTTAAAGTTTAGATTATTATTTAAGATATAAAGTTAAACACAGCGGCTTTCCTCAGGAGCAAAGTACACAACCAAAGAGATAATATAAAATGAGTCTTTATGATGGTTAAACATTCAAAAAAAGAGAACTGTAAAAAGGAAATAATCTGCTCAATATTCCTCAAAATACCTCATTTTATACAAACTTCCTGCAGTTATTGTGTTCACTAATTGTTCTATATTGTTATTGTTATACAGTGAATATAATGTGAAATAGTGATAAAAATATGTCACTTCAGGGGTCGTCAGTTTACCCAATGATAGAAAAGGGGTCCCTTAAGGAAAAAGGTTGGGAACCACTAAAAATAAAATCACAAATGTGTCCTATAATAACAATCATTGCAAAGAAAATAATCAGTTCACATTTATAGGATCGACTGATGTAATTATACCCAGATGAGTTTGACCAAATAGAGGTTAAACTGTTACACCCGTATCAATAGATGATTGTAATGTTTTTAACACGCCTCTTTCATAAGAACTGAAATCTGTAATCAGGGATATATCCACACGGGGGGGGGGGACACTGGTCACCCCTGAAATCTGATTGGACACCCCATTAATCCTAAAGTCTTCCACTTCTTTCAGAGGCTGTAGCGGACTCCGTTTTAAAGACAGAGTGAAGATACTGATATCTTGTAAAACTAGATGAGCCAACGCATCCGCTGGTACCAACCATGTCATTCTAGCATAAATAACACTCTAAAGTATGGCGATGACCCCAAGATATCTGAATGAAAATAGGTTCTATAGGTTCCGAAAAGTCTCCCCTTTGAAACCTAACACACACTTCATGCCACCTTCTGCATGAGTCAGTGCCCCACTTGTGTCACCACAGTAGAAATAATCTAGACACGCCCCTGCTCTGGTACAAATACAGAAGAATCAAACAGTAAAATAGATTTGTCCCCTGATGAGCAGGTGAATAAAAGTCATTTCTGGTGTCCTGTCTTCTTGTCTACAGTGAGGAGAACAAACGAAGGCCCGAGGGGGACTGGTCGCTTATTGTGTGGGAGCTGACACATAAGCAGAGGAATATGGGTGTTCCCCTTCCCAGAGGTTTAAGATGTCAGGGCAGTGCATGGTATGGTGAGGTGGACCATTGTCACAAGTCCCAGGGGTGGAGGAATCTAGGTGGAGGAGGAAGAAGCGGAAGACGCTGCTTGAGGAGAGAGGTTCGACATCAGCGGGGAAGAAGAACGAGAGAGAGATCCAGACGAGGGGAGTTTCAACTTTCTCCCCCAAGACTCAGAGACCACCAGGAGACGGGGAAATATGCGGTGAGTGAAAATCTCTGCTTCTCTATTCTGTACTTTTATGTCTGTCATTGATTCCTCTTTAAGTGGTGGCCGAAGGCTTTTTATAGTTAACAAGATTCACTAGTGAAGTTATAATGAATCAATTTCATGTCACACTGACCCAAATGTTATATTTTTTTGTGTTTTTATTGGCTTTAAAGAAGGATAGTTGATTCACTGCTATACGCATCAGCTCATGACATGTTCACTTTAACCTGAAACTACATTTACTTTATTTATTATTAATACGATTTTTTCCTTTTTATTTGTTCTATTTACTGATTGAATTATTAATTTGTAAAGTTATTTATTTTATTTATCCCTCTAGTAATTTAATGATAATTTACTATTGAATTGTTTTATAGGTCCCTCTATTTATAGATGACAATTATTTATCTATAGTCAAACTGAATTGTAACTCATGTGCCTGGCCATATTGGTAGTAAGATATTTAGGTATATAAAATATAAAACAGAATGCATATATTGATACTTTAGTATGCATCTATGGAGAGTATTTTTTACTTCATTTAATTATAGCAGATAATGCTTAAGCCAGAATGATGGTTACCTTAGCTTAGCATAAAGACCGGAAGCTGTGGGAGACCTGGTTGTATTCAAAACCTGCTACTTTATAAAATGGTTTTACAGAAGGTTATTATTAAAATATAAGGACTATTTCGTGGACTGGGTGTAGTGATTTAAGCAAGTTACTATCTACACCCTATAAAACCACAAATTGTTAGACATAAAATTAGATATAACATGTTAATTAGAAAGCCTTTTAGTGTTGCTGCTTGGCATTTCTTATCGTACAGAACCAGCCTGTTTCCACTCTTCATGCTAAGCCAAGCTAACCGGCTGCTGGCTGCAGCTTCATATTTAATGGACAGATACGAGAGTGCCATCAGTTGTCTCATCTAACTAGGCAAGAAAGCGAATGAGTATATTTTCCCAAAATGGCAAACTTTATTAAAATAGAATTAATTGATAGGAAGGATATAATTACACTCACATTGTAGAGAATAAATAATGGATGAGTTCAGAGTGCCCAACCTTCATGGGTTTACAAGACACCAAAAATACAGTTGCAGAGATCAAACACTTTATTTCACTGCAAAATTACAGATTATAGATGATTATACAGCTCAGTCTTTAACAAAACATTCTGTCTTCACTCCAAGGATTGGCACAAAAAGTTTCCAACAAAAAATAATGAATTTCAAGTTTTTCATAATCATCCAGCCAAAAGAAATCATCATAAATGGAGGATATTTAACTAAAAAGTAAGTCCCTTATGTCGTCATTCTCAGTTTCATCTGGATCACACAACAAACATAGTCTGTCCTCCTCTGGAGGGGAATTAAACCGGCCGGTCTCTGGGGTTCCCAAAGCTTCAAGGGGGATCGCGAGGCCTCCTTGATTTTAAGGGATGTAAAAAAAACTTCTGCAGCAGGCCGATATCTCAGAATTCAGTTAATTTCTGTGAAGAAAACTAAATGGAATTGTTAGTTTTAAAGTTTAAATTATTATTTAATATCTAAACTTTGAAGACCTAAACACAAGCTGTATTCACAGAGTCTTCAATCTCTGATAAACAGCCTCATGCTGCATTGGAAAAGTTCAAACAACCAAATTGTGCAATTTATTAGTTGTACTGAACTATTATTCATTGAATATGAAATTAAATATCCATAAAATATGTTACTATCACTGCTTTAGGGCCAGTGTTCCTGCTAATAACTCTGCACAAAGAGATCTTTGTCTTTTAAGTTATACTTCAATTATTGTTCTACACTGTAGCCAATCTTTATGAGTCAATAGTTTTGGTTTGTATCGCATATCACTAGATGATTTTTCTCCAAACATGAGAAACATTTTACTCCTAAATCTTGTGAATATCACAAAGTAACCTGTTAAGATTTCAACTCATTGTGATGACGATGAGAAATGAATATATACTATATATAGTTTCTGATCATTTGACATTTATGTCTGATGTTTTGGAGTTTCCCATCCCATATAACAGAAAATCCGTAACATATAAGTGCTTTCAAAAGGAGTCTTCCTGGTGCACTTTACTGTCACAAACAGTAGCTGTTTACTCACATTTCAAATGCTGTCTTAAGGCTATAAGTGTTGCAGGAGGGGTTGGACTTTATGGTAGGTTTCATACCCATTTCTGTCCTAGTTGGAGTCGCTCAGGGCAGCTTGATATACAGTAGACAGTTCTGCATTTCTGTAATGTAAGAGTCTGCCTCAGTCCTCTAACTGTCCATCCAGAGCCTCCTGAGTCACAGACAATAGTCTCTGCATCGCCTGGAGAGAATATTGGCATTTAAATGGTAATCTAACCAGTCTTGTCATTATTCAGCTTAAGTATTTCCTTAAGCAAAATGTCGCGACTGAATTAGTGGCGACTGACAGAGCAGAGAGCCTTTTGGGGAAACAGATTTTAAATCAGAGCTCTCTGGTGTGTCTGGTCAGACATCACCCAAAACACCTTGACTTTATTTCAGCCTTCCCCGGGGGAAACTGTAGTGGCAGAGAGTGTCTGGAAAGTTTTTAGATTCCTGAACAAAAGAGGTAAAAAATATTCTTATCAGCTTATTCTGTGTTTTTGATTATGTGGATCCCACATTGTGCCGGCTCACAAAGCGGTGGTCACAACACTGTCTTCATGTGCTTAATGAAAACTCTTTTTTATTATTATTATTAAGTGTCTGTAATCCATTTTTACTGGCTGAATTGGGTAACACTTAAGTTAAGACCTTTTTAATCTGGCTTTAATGTTGTAGCCTCAGTTTTTAGGTTTTAATCACTGTTTTTTTTTTTTACATTATTTGTCTTCTTGGTGTTTATTTAATTTGTTCTATCAACCTCTGAACAATCATTCAGTTTTAGAAAACATTCAGTTTCTGAAAACTAAGAAAATATATTTGCAGCTTTTACAGACTGTGTTCATGGACCCTCTACGATTTTGGCAGTGGAGCCAGGAAGACAGTAAATGAGCTCTTTGGGTGGTGGTGAGTCAGGACAATATGTTGTACAACACCAGCTGTAATAATAGACATCCAACCATTGTTCAGTGGGATGAAAGTAGGCTGTGGCAACACAAAGTACAGTAAGAAAGGTAACACATACTTTGCAATTAGGTCGAATCAGCACTTTACCTGTTTCAAGAACAGAGCTGGATGACATTTCAGACTTTATAGGATGCTACGGCTACTTAATACAGAACTGGAGCCACTGCAAGTTGTTTAGAATTACATCATCTGGCAAGCGCAAAGTGGGTGATTGAATCCGTCCTTTCTCTTGTGCACCCATGTCTCTCTTGTACTTAAAGATAATTATGTTAAATGCCCACGATGTTTCTTAAAAGCTGAGCGATGTATTACTCTAAGTGATGGCCAATTGTCATGATCTTGTTTTCTTCAGGTTTTCACTCCTGTGGCTGATAAGTCTGTTTGCAGTGCTGAAATACTGTTGTGCAGGTATCTATCCTTCAATGAAACTTGCTGTTTTGACCAAACACCAAATCACAAATGCTCTCTAAACACATTTAAAATAATTGAGTTGACACATAATCAGATTCTGTATTCCTCAAGCTCCTTTCTCTTCTTCCCTCTCAGTTGCTGACCTGAAGGACTGCGAGGCAGCAGGCAGCAAGTGCCACCCTCAGGCCGAGTGTCTGAAGGTCAAGAACAACTTCACCTGTGCGTGCCGCATGGGCTACCAGGGCAATGGTCTGCTGTGCAACGACATTGACGAATGTCTCAGCGGCCTGCACGGCTGTCACCCAAAGGCCCGCTGCAAGAACACCCTGGGCAGCTACAGCTGTGTCTGCCTCAATGGATACTTCGGAGACGGCACCAACTGCCAGGACATCAACGAGTGTGAAAAAGAAAACGGGGGTTGCCATGCTAGTGCCCTCTGTACTAACTACGACGGTGGGCGACAGTGCCAATGTAAAGTTGGCTTTGTAGGTAATGGTTTCCAGTGTACTGATGTTAACGAATGCGCTAACCAAAGGACCTGCCATTGGAACGCCACCTGCACCAACAACCCTGGGTCTTATGTATGTACCTGTAATGCTGGCTATAAGGGCAACGGAAACTACCTGTGTCTTGATATAGACGAATGTTCAGAGACTCCTCGTGTGTGTTCTTCCTCACTCGGCTACAAAGGCTGTAAAAATCTGCCTGGCAGCTACCGCTGCACGTGCAGCAGTGGCTTCGAAAGTAACGGGCAGAGCTGTGTGGACATCAATGAATGTGCAAGCAACATCTGCAGTCTTTATGCAGAGTGTGAAAATACCATGGGCTCATATCAGTGTACCTGCAACAGTGGTTTTGTAGGAAATGGACTGACATGTGCGGACATAAACGAATGCAATGAAGTCAATGAATGCGACCCCAATGCTGTTTGCATCAACAGGCTGGGGAGTTACGAGTGCTCCTGTCTGGGAGGTTTTATAGGGGATGGTCGACTGTGTGAAGACATTAATGAATGTGCAACACCCAATATCTGCCCCTCTACCACTACCTGTGTCAACACTGGTGGCTCATTTTACTGCGACTGTGGCACAGGCTTCATCTTTAATAACTCCAAGTGCCATGACCTAGATGAGTGTGTGGCAGGCCGCTGCAGCCCTTACGCAACCTGCACAAATTCACCTGGCTCCTTCTCTTGCCAGTGTAAAGCAGGGTACAGTGGAGACGGCTTCACCTGTGCAGATGTGGATGAATGCTCGCTGGTTAAGCCATGCCACTCCAATGCCCTTTGCGTTAACCTTCCTGGCTCTTACAACTGCACCTGTCGGGCGGGTTATTCTGGAGACGGGGTGAATCAGTGCAACGATGTAAACGAGTGTCTGGTGGACAATGGAGGTTGCAGGAACAAAGCTACATGTGTCAACAACCAGGGTTCCTTCTACTGCCAGTGCAAGTCGGGCTTCATCTTGGTTAACCGTACTCTTTGTCAGGATATAAATGAGTGTAAGGAACTGAGCAATCCATGTGGAGTGAATGAAGAGTGCAAGAACATCGACGGGTCATTCGAGTGCCCCTGCCAGGTTGGTTACTACCGCCCTGCCAGCAACATGGACTGCGTTGATATGGATGAGTGTAAAAACAACCCTTGCCATGTCAACGCCACATGCCTGAACACCATCGGGTCCCACACTTGCATCTGTAAACGAGGCTTCACAGCAAATGGCACCCAGTGTGAAGATATAGATGAGTGTTCTGCAGAGGGTACATGTCACCCACGGGCAATATGCACCAACTTGATGGGCGACTTCTTTTGCTCATGTCAGAAGGGTTTCGAAGGTGATGGCTTCTCCTGTGAGGATATGAACGAGTGCACCCTCTCTAATGATAGTTGCCCAGCCTTCTCAAAGTGCATCAACTCTCCCGGTGCTCATGTCTGCTCATGTTTGAATGGCACAGTGGCTTTCAATGACACCTGTGTGCCTCCCAGTCCGCTGTGTGACCCTGCCTGCCACATTCACGGCCTGTGCCACCTTTCGTCTGCCGGATACCAGTGCGTGTGTGACCTGGGTTACGTGGGTGATGGGCTGACTTGCTCTGACATAGATGAGTGCCAGAGGGAAAACATTTGTCCTGAAAATGAGACTGAGTGTATCAATGTCCCAGGATCGTTTTCCTGTGTCTGCAAAAAAGGGTACACTCTCAACGGAACACAGTGTTTCGGTAAAACTTTTATTTTTATTTTCAAATAAATCTATCAAGTGTGTTTAAGTTAGCCTGGTTCCAGACTGAATCACTGCCCATATCTCTCTCTTGTTCAGAAATTCATATGAATCAATCATGCAGTGAAACAGAAATGGCAATTAGATCAACTAGATCTATTTGAAAGAGTAATTCATAAGCTGCATTGAATGTACAAAATCTTACCAATCTTTCTCTATTAAGTAAACTGATCAGGTAAATCCAAATTAAAGCCATTATATCCTTTATTTTGTCTTTTCCAATCTATACCAATCAAAAAGCAGCGGATGAAGAAAAACAAGAAGAAGGATTTAAGCAATTTCTGAGGCTGATGTGGATTGTCCAAAAGATACATATTACAGCTACAGTACACCTTCCTGTAATATCAGGAAATTATCCCTTATCCTTGTAATGTTTATTAATCCTCATTATAGTTTTAACAAAAAAGAATTCACGACACAAGGAATAATTAGCAGTTACATTACATTCAAGTGAAATTGAGAGGTAGCGGGGTTGAAGAGAAACAGTGCAGAATGATATGCAACACAGATGGAGCTGAACTGTTACACAGTTATGTGGTAACCATTAAACATCAGTAAAGCATTTTAAACAGAGCTCTAAGTAGGTTTGGAAGGAGAGAGATGATATTCATTCCAGGACAGGGAGCAACACACCACCCACTCTTCCTGCCTCTTAGTCAGATGAGTTACCACACATTTCAACTTGACATGACAGTATCAGGATCAAGAGATTTATTTGACCTAACCTCTACATAATGAATAACGAATTGTCCTCTGATGGGATGCTGTTAAGTTTAACTATCTCCCTCTGTTTCTTCCTACCTCCTCCCCCATTTGTCCATCACCTTTCTAGATGTGAACGAGTGTGAGACAGGGCAGCAGGAGTGCAGTGAGTTTGCCCAGTGTGTCAACACAATGGGCAGCCATTCTTGCCTCTGTCTGAGCGGCTTCACAGGTGATGGGAAGAACTGCTCTGGTGAGTATCAGTTCCTAATAATAAACATCTATTGCACCAGTTTCCCCCATACGTGGACTCTTCTGTGAGCTTTGTTTTAGCACCATTTGGGGCTGTTTCCCTGACACTGTCCCATTTTGGATAACTTATAGACTTTGATGAGTGCCAAGTCCAAAACGGAGGATGCCATCCAGTTGCCAGCTGCACTAACACGCCTGGATCTTTCTACTGTGCCTGTCCACTTGGCACAGAGGGCAATGGCACTGACTGCCGGGATGTGAACGAATGTGAGCAGAACTCCACACTGCCACACAACTGCAGTGTTCAGGCTTTGTGCCACAACACAAATGGGTCCTACAACTGCCAGTGCCAGGATGGATACCAGGGGGATGGCTTTGTTTGTGAGGATGTGGATGAATGTCAGCTGGCCACAACCTGCAGCAAGAACATGACTTGCAGCAACACCCCTGGCTCCTTCTCATGTTCATGTATCTTGGATGTAGTGTACGACGTGGGCACATGCGTGAGTGAAGATACCTGCTTGAATGCTAGTAGTGAATGCCACCCACTGGCCAATTGCCACTTTCACCAGGGTTCCTACTACTGTCAGTGCGTAGATGGTTATGAAGGAAGTGGCACCGAATGCTGGGACATGGATGAATGCGACCAATCTCAAAATCAAGTCTGCCCTGCCTTCTCCTACTGCTTCAACACTAATGGCTCCTTCATCTGTGACTGCTGGGAAGGGTTTCAGGACAATGGGACACATTGTCAGGACATAGACGAATGTGTGACGCGGGACTTCACCTGCCCTGACAACAGTACCTGCGCTAACATAGAGGGGAGCTACAATTGTACCTGCGACCCAGGCTTCTCAGGCAACGGCTCCCTGTGTATGGACATCAATGAGTGCTCCCTTGGCCTAACCCTGTGCCCTAATTTCTCCAACTGCACAAACACAGTTGGATCTTTTGTCTGTGAGTGCTGGGATGGTTACGAAGACAACAACACTGATTGTGGGGATATCAATGAGTGTCTCGTCAACTCAACCTGCCCTGAGCATAGCACGTGCATAAACACCAATGGAAGCTACTTGTGTATTTGTGACGGTGGATTTTCCAGCATGGATGACTTGTGTGTGGACATCGATGAATGTAGTGACACGGAGCAGAGGGAGCTTTGCACCAATGGCACGTGTATGAATGCTATTGGCTCATATTACTGTGAATGCATCAAAGGATTCTGGAGTAATGGGACAGAGTGCCTGGATGTAGATGAATGCTCAGACTCCCTCAACTCTTCAGTGTGTCAGCCCCATTCTACATGCATCAACATGCCTGGGTCTTACCATTGCCCCTGTAATGAAGGGTTTCTTCTGAATGGTACAGAGTGTCAGGATGTAGATGAGTGTCACCACCCAGATGGTCCACCTTGCCCTGAGCACTCATTATGTAACAACACAGCGGGGTCCTTCTTCTGTCTGTGTTCTCCGGGGTACAAACCCACGAGCCTGGGCTGTGAGGATATTGATGAATGCAAGGACAACACCACCTGCCGCTTTGACCAGGTGTGCGCCAACCTGCCCGGCGCGTACAACTGCTCTTGTCCACTGGGATATCACGAGGAGGAACTGGCGTGTGTCGACACCAATGAATGTGAGAACTCACCGTGCCACCCTTCGGCACGGTGCTGGAACACCCCTGGCTCCTTTTCATGCCACTGCCCTCTGGGCTTCGCAGGAAATGGCTCGTGGTGCAAAGACGTGGACGAGTGTGTTGCCCTGACCAAACCGTGCCACCTTCAAGCTCGCTGCCATAACACCCCAGGGTCATTTGTGTGTGTTTGTATTCCCGGATTCGTAAGTATGGGGCCGCTGTGTGTAGACTTTGATGAGTGCCAACAGCCTAATAATAACAGGCAGTGTCACTCTGCTGCCACCTGCTCCAACCATGTAGGAGGATTCAAATGCTCTTGCGGTCAGGGCTGGATTGCTACCAATAAAGACAATGGTAGAGGAAAAGGAGGATGTGTGGACTTGGATGAGTGTGTGTCACTCATGGCATGCCCTGGGCAGACATCCTGCACCAACCTGCTAGGGTCTTACAGCTGTTCCTGCCCCCAAAACAGCACAGTGTGCAGCGAGATGACTCTGAAGGGTTGGCTATGCCTTTGTTAATCACCTGTCTTGATAATCATACCTAGATCTCTGTGTTTGTGTGTGTGTCTCGTTGTATGTGTTGTTTTTTGGTTCATTAGTCTTAGTACTTACTACTTCTCTATGACTGTCAAAACTTTAAGGCATTTGTGTATCTGAAAATATAGCCTTGGTTCTAACTGCATTTTTGTCTTTAGCCCATTTGTAGGTGAAGTAAAAAGTGTGGGAAAAATGAAGAAAGAAAATTGTCATAATGATGATAGCAACAATTTGCAAGTTCTTTTTATCCAGCTCCTATGTAGTGTAAAGCCTGATATAATGCTCTCACTATTTAAAAAACTTGAACAAAGAACATGTAATTTGGGTAAATCAATTCGAAAGAAACCCACATGACCAAATCAAACTACAGTTTAGGATTGATGTTTTGTTCATTTGTTTGTTGCTCCCTCTGCCGCGTCAAACTAACGTTACTGTAAGACAGTTGCATTTTTATCTGTGGTGTCAAATCAAAAATGCTTCATCACATAACTTCTCAGGAGGTTTGGTGTCTTTACTATCCAGCACTATGTTGAGCACAGCTTGATAGTTTTCCTCCATTTTTCGTTAGCAAAGAAAGCAGCAATGGCCTAGCTTACAGAAAGCCCAACGGATCAGAGTAACGGTGTGGCTTGTTGTACATTGACTGTTACATATCAAATATAAAACATTTTCTAAAGTTGGAATGGAAACAGCTTAAACAGGTAACAAGTGAACTGATGTGTTTGGTTGATGGCAGTATAATGCTCACCTCTATATGTTCCCCCAATAGAGAGCAACCTGTACCCATTTGGAGAAGAGGCTGGCGATAAAGGAGTAAAGATAGACATAGAAGATGGAACTTCCCCGTACATCACACCACCGATGGGTTTCCCCTTCTTGGGAACATCGTACGACAGGGTTTATGTGAGTCTCTAATTGCATTTATCTACAACATTGTGAATATTAGAATGATAGAGAGTGTTTTATCTTTATTATCTCTATTTTTAAGTAATCAATATATTGAGAAATGTTTGCATCTGAATCCAAATATCACATCTCACAAGATATCTTATAATTCCTGGATCCACACCAAAAACCTTCTTGGCCCATGACCAAACTTTCCAGCAAATTAAACTTAAATCTTTTAAAGGTCCAGTGTGTAACATTTTTTAAGATCTATTGGCTGAAATTTAACATAATATTCAGAACCATGTTTTTATTAGTATATAATCACCTGAATATAGGAATTGTTGTGTTTTTGTTACCTTACAATGAGCTGCTTATATCTATAGACACTGCACGTCACTGCTGTAGTTTCTCCTACACACATCACAACTTGTTCTCATTCGCAGGTCGTCAAATACAGTGTTAAATTAGTTGTAATCTGTAACTTCACCACTAGATGTCATTAAATCCTACACATTGGTCCCTAAACAACATTTTGAAACATATTTTCCAGCTTCATTGGCAGAGGTTACAGCAATGTTCAGTGGAATATATGCCTGATAACCTTCCTGAGTGTGATATCTGATAGCAAAACACATATTACACATGGTTTACTGCAATCTACAATGTGTAGATTGCAGTGAAACATTACCCACACAATATGTGAGTAGTAAAATCATAACACAATAGTTTAACAGTAAAATAAATAACAAAATGGAGTTATGAATAGATAAAAGAGACATTTTGCGATTGCAATATTGGCTATAAAGTTGTGATTTTGAAAGAAGCTGACATCAACCAGTTGCTGATAATACGTCTGATATCAATCCTCTCTTTCCTTTATCAGTTTTCTGATAACGGTCTTGTCCAGTTTCAAACTGTCGCTGAGAATGAACAGTACTTGCTCCCGGCTCCTTCAGCCACTGGTTTCCCAAACAACATGAATGTGTCTCTGTTGGCGGTGTTCTGGGACGATGCTGACCTCACCCACGGGGACGGACAACTGTTCTATCAGGTACCAGGAGGAGTCAGAATGAGACAGGACTTTTTATTTATGTATTTTATATATTTTTATTAGGAGTGAAGTAAAATCAAAAGCTTAGAACGACCTTTATTGCAGCTTCTGGTTCATGTTTCTCCTTTTCTTTCAGGAATACCATGAGCTGCATATGTCGGATGTCTTCTCACAGATAGTGTTTAATCGTACAGCAGATGAAGTGACAAAGTTTGAGGAGCAGAAAAACAAGCCTGCCTTCACCCCGTCCTGGATCCTCAAAATCACCTGGGACCACGTGATGCCCGTCTCCTACCAGAAGATCAACTTCTCAGAGGTAAAAACTGGGTAGTTACAGTTCAAATCAAGTATTTTTCTTTACAGAAAATTCCACTTCTAAAAAGTTAAACTGTTCATTGCACGTACGTTGTACAATTAACCTCACTGGGCCTGTAACTATGAACCATAGCAAGAAGAAATGTGATCATTATTAGGCTGTGTGTATGTAAATATAACAATTTGGCTTGTAGCTCTGGAAAAAATAGACTTAATGCCGAAAAATCACTGCAAGTCAGTTCTTCTTTACATTTGGTCAACCAGCTTTAAAGTGTCAGACAGTTTATCCGATCTGAGTGAGGGGCTAAAATACAAACATTTCCAGGATATTTTATCATTCTTATGAATTTCCAGGTGTTTCAATGACTGTAAAACTAGTCTTTAAATTTCCAGGTTTTCCAGGAGTCGTAGGGATCCTGAAAAAGATTGTTCATCAGGTTAAAATTCAAAAAGAGGAGCTTGTACTCTTTGTACTTTTATTTTATTGAAATAATCTTTTTCAATCTAAAAACATGTTCAGGATGTTTTTTTTTAACTTTCTCTCTTACACAAATAATAACTCATTCATGTTTATATCTTACTAAATATGCATGTCCTACAAAGCATAATTCGCATCCTCTATAAGATAAAATGCAGCATGAGAATATAAGATCCCTTTCATCTGACTGAAGCTTTATATGTGCAGTGGAAGGTGTGATAGAGCAGGGAGTGTTACTGTTTGCTTGCATGCTTGTCCTACTTTGAATGCTATTGTTATGTGCAACGTGAGCCCTTTAACTGTCAGCTCAAAGAAAGCAAACATTCAGTCATAATTCCAGAAAGACTCTATTTGTTTAACTTTGGTGTCACATTGGGGCCTGAATGCAGAGAGTGTAGTGATATCTGCTGCCACCTGTCTGTCTTATGTCGTCTTGCAGTGTCCTGTCTTGTTGCTCTTTTTTGTATTACAAAGTAGTGTAAGTCACTGATACAGTTATTGATTAAAACGAGGGTAATTGATAGCAGTATTATGACACATTAGACCAGTGGTTCCTATCACTGACAAAACTGTTCATTTAAAGATATTTCCTATTATATTCAGTACTAATTTACTAACTAAATGCAATTTCATTAACCCAAACAGTGAACACAGTAACTGCAGGAAGTTTGTGTAAAAGTTTTGTAGATATTTTAGGAACTTTTTATACAATTCTCTGTCTGTATTATGCATTTTTATCGAACATACAAACGTAATAGGCTTCTTTATTGACAAATTTAGTATTTTCTTCTCATTGTTCTATCTATCTCTTTGGTTGTTTTAACTTCTTTAATGCAGGATGAGGTTGTTTATCAGACAGTGAATGCTCTGTGAATATAGTTTGTGTTCAGGTCTTCACCGTGCCCTTATCATGTTTATATCTTAATATACATTTATAACATATACCTATAATTATCTTTAAAAAAAATGTATTTAGTTTTCTTCTCAGAAATAAATTATATTTTAGAAAAATGTTTTTGTACACCTCTTAAAATCAAGAAGGCCTCGCGACCTGAATAATGGGCATTAAAATAATAAATAAGTATGTATGTCAGGTGGCACAAATGGTCACTAATATGGAATCTTTAGTGATAAAATGTCTGTCATTGTAAGTACCTAAAAAGTTCTCATTTCTGTAAGCCATATTGCTGCTGCAGCTGGCCAAAAGGTTCTGTTGCTTTTCACTGTTCTTAAAACTGTTCTGATTTATATTTTCAGACGAACACTTTCCAGTGCATCCTGACCACAGATGGAGTTCGTTCATTTGCCCTCCTGCGATACGGGGACATGAGCTGGGGTCCTGGCCAGAGGCAATACCACGACGCTCTCATCGGCTACACGGATGGGAGAACCACCCACAAAGAACCCACTGTCCCTCCGGACAACCTCTTCGGGCCCAGGGGCCGATATAGGCCCCAGCAGATGAAAGGCACCATGGGGAAGTCAGGTCAGCTGGTGTATGATTTCTCGGGACCAGCAGGGTCAGACGTGGATCCCAGTATAAAGTGCCAGGCGTGGGCGATGAAGGAGCCTAACCCTGCGCAGTGGACAGCGGGGCTGTTTTCATGTCCCTGCACCCGCACCCAGGTTCTGGAGGACCTGTCGTTCCTGCAGGACACCACTGATCTGGGTTCAGTGGTGAAGAAGCTGAGGGATCAGCGGTGGGGGGGCGCAGGGGGCCACATCTTCAAGTCTGTCCTGTCTAACAGACACGGTTCGGGGAAGAGGTGTGTGTATGAGCTGGACGGGCACTTGCTGGCTGGGTACAATGAACGCTACTTCTCCGGGCAGAGCTTACAGAAACACATCGGTAATACATGTGATATTCTCAAATATACACTCACACTGCAACATTTAGTGATTACTCTCAGTCAGTAAGATGTTAGTGCCTTGCTCGAGGACATCGAACCTGCACCCTTCTGCTGACAGGACAGTCTGTCTGACCCGTGCTGCAGCATTTAATCAAACGTCTCTCTGCAGATGAGGATCTCCTGCCGTTCCAGTGGTGTTGTATCCAGTCTCCTCTGTGCCACCTTTACCTCAACAAGAGACCGCTGGACCGTTGCCAAGGTTACAGCTGGGCGAGCCCAGACGGCTACACGCCGGCCAAGAAGGCGACGCAGGGAGTAGGTGAGGGATTCTTCCCAATAAACACAAGTTAAAACCAGCACAAGAGCCTGTGCTGTGCAGCAGTGGCTCCAAACCCCCACCAGGGGTCGCCAGAGCTTCATGGGAGGTCTGAATGAACTAAACTACATTAAATTACACTCAGTAGGTCTTTCTCGGTAGGTATTTCTCAGCATTTGGATCACTTATGTGAGGAAAAGTAAAGTAAATTGTCTGATAGAGCACTGGCCAAGCACTAGGGACAAGAAAACACTGAAAGAAGCCCAGTTAGTATGTATTATTTTTAAAAATTATTATTATTATTATTATAATTTTTATTATATTTCTTCAATTATATATATAAATATATTTATTTTATTTTTTCATTTTTACTCTTTGCACTACATTTATCCTTTGCTGCTGTGCCACATTAGAATTTCTCTCATGGGGGATCAATAAAGGAACATTTATTTATATATATATATTTATATTTATATCTTATCTTAAACAACCAAAGAGCTTACAGAATAGAATAATATAGAAGTGTCAGGGAGAAGAAAACACTGAATTTAATAAATAAAGAAGCATATTAAGTATTTATGATTGTTCAAAATAAATAATAAATAATACAGACAGAAAAAAGATTCATCCAAATCTCTTGTTTTACACAAACTTTTTGTTATTGTGTTCACTGTTTGGGTTCATTGTACAGTTTATTGCAGTATTATTGTAATACATTGAATATAATATGAAATATCAGTTGTCAGTTTACTGAATGAGAGAAAAGGGGTCTCTTAAGGAAAAAGGTTGTGAACCACTGTCGTACAGGAAGTAAGTAATACAGGTGTACAAATAACACGATTCATTTAAATTACCTCTTTTATCCACGTTTCCTTGCAGCGATGGTGTACGGCAGTCTCCATTTCATCACCTTCGATGGGACGGAGTACTCCTTCAAGGCCCTGGGAGAGTTTGTGATATTGCGTCTCTCCTCCACCACCGGCTCTAATATCTTCACCCTGCAAGGACAGACCGACAGGCTGCACACAGAGGAAAAGGGGATCGTTGAGGTCCCAGTGGTGGTGCGCATGGCTGCCTTCCACCAGGGCATTGGCAAGGTCAGGATGTTTGTGTGTGTACAGGGAAGACAATATATATATATATATATATATATATATATATATATTTACTGTGTGTGTATTTCACAGACAGACAGAGAGAGAGAGAGAGAGAGAGAGAGAGAGAGAGTTTGTGCATCTTAAAGGAATTGTCTTCACTTTCTTCTTTGTGAGCATTAGATAAGCAGCCATTAAGTACAGAGCAGCAGTACAGATTAGCCTAGCTTAGCATAATTAAGCAAGGGGGAAACAGCCTGTCAAAAGTAAAAGATTGCACCCAGAAACACATCTTAAAGTCCCTTAAAGGGCCTTTTTTAACCCTTTAAGATCACATCATATAGTCATATAGACCCATTTTTAACAACAAATGCCCAAAAAATTATCTTTTTTTCTTCCTGTAAAACAAAATGTGACGTGTTCTTATGTTAGATAAGATAAGATTCACTTGTTACAGCAGCTCCAGATACAACACAGCAGATACAAAAAGAAAAACACATTAAATAACAAAATAAATTATATATATACAGCTTTTTAAACAGATATATTGATTGAAATAGAATATTGCACAGGTTACAGCAGGAGGTAGTGGCTGGAAGAAATTATATATACACAGCAGTAATTTAACTGAAGAATATAGGCTATGACAGGGCCATGTGTGAACCAACCAACATGTTTCTACAGGAGCCCAGAACGGACAAACCAAACACTGGCTGAAGGTAGTAACTTTAGATTATTCTCTAATCTCTCTACTATTATTATTATTTTCAGATTGAATGGAGATGTGCGGGGAAAGGAGACAGACTGCAGGTTTTTGTGGATGATTCTGAGATCCTGGTCACTGTTGGTAATGATCACCACACACATCTGCATACAACAATCTGAACACAAACACAAGTATATATTTAATACCTAAACGCTGTCAATTGTATAATAAATGAGTCATAACCGTGCTCTCAGGTGTCGTGCACGTGGGTGAGAAGGACTTTGCCGTGCGCTGTGTGTCCCTGATTCGCTGTGCAGTGGTGTACGCCAGCGGCCTCCAAGTGGTGGTGTGGCGGTCTGTAGGCCACAGTCAGCTGGCGGCCGTGGTGGAGGTCCCTCAGACCTTCTACAACCGCACTGTGGGTCTCATGGGTCTCTGGAGCTCCAGACGAGCCGACGATTTCCTCATGTCTGATGGCAGGCTCCTCCCCTCAGACACCCTGTCAGAGGAGAGACTGCACGGCTTTGGCATGTCCTGTGAGTGAACCTTCTGAGGAACAATATCAAACATCTTCATCTACCTTTCACTGTCAGTCTGGGCTTTTTATGACGCTTTAATCAATACTTTTATATTAAGGGTGGATCAGTCTTTTAGCATCTATCAGCTCATTGTTTTGGTCTCACAACTTTCAAAGTACTTAAATAATACTTAAATAACTATTTAAAGCATATAAAATTAGCCAATATTTTACAAAAAAGGAATGGTTAAAGAAAATCTCCTTCAGCCAAAGATTCTTACATATTATCACATTTTCTTGTGTTGAGCAAAAAATAGTGGGGGTTGCCAGTGGGGCAAAACTATTTTGCTTGGCTTGAATTCTTAAAACTAGCATAAAAATAGCCACTCAAAGACTAAAACTAAAACTAGAAAAAAATAGCTTATTACAAGCAATGAAAACTCAGTTATTTAAGATTCTTAAAGTATTTTGGTGACTTTATTGAGCTCAATTTAAGAATTTGTAAAAAATCTTACAATAAGACACAATTTCTTCAAACAGCAGAATAAAAATAAACGACTTTGTCCAAAATGAAGGCACCAGAAGCTTCTTATTTTTAGCATATTTTATTAAAACAATTAAAAACTAAACAGCTGCTTAATTTCCAACACTGGGACAAGACAACTTTCTCTTTAACTGAGAAGTTGTGCGAGGGATACTGGGATATTATGTAAACCATTGTTGTTACTGGTTGAATCGAGCTCAATAGCAGCTGTAATATCTCATTGAGACAAAGTTACATATATTTTCTTTTCTGACTCAAAACATGTAATGGTAATGTAACAGATGATAATGTCACATGGGTCAGTTTGGTGGCATTTTGAATGCAGGACTTTTATCTGTCCTTCGTTACTGTACTCGGACTGCTCTCGTTAACCTGTTTCCAGCTCCAGCAGGCAGCAGCTACCTTCTCAGCACCAAACAGCAAACAGACACAGTTAGCTGATGAACTAACTAACATCACATCTCTCAGCTCCTTCTCAAAGTCTATAAAACAGAGATTACAGGACAATAATCTGGAGTAGTGCTTCTGTCATTGTTTTACTAATTGTGTGCCTTTGTATGTTATGTTAATGTTTCTGATATACCATCACCCTGCCGGGGACTGCAGATAAAAATGAGCCTGTATGGCTTAATCTGGCACATTTACATAGTGGACTTAAGTACTTGTGTTAATTAATGTGCATTTTCCCAGTATAAATAAATAAGCTTCAGACATAGAGGAGCATTTGGAAGCTAAAGAGCCAGATATTTCCCTGAGGAGTTTTGTGAAGAATAAAAAACAGAGGTAATAGGAGAGTGAATATTGGATTTCATCAGGTTGCCTGAAACAGAGCTGATGTTGCTCTGCGTCTGTATTGCTGAGCATTTCCTGCCTGCAGCATCATAATGTCAGTGAATTCATCTTTAAAAATATGCTTCACTGTTTCTGCTCATGGGTACAAAGCTCAGAATCAGAGATCTTCAGCTCATCCATGCAGCCTCCTCTCCCACACCTTCCGAGGCGTATTGTTGCATTATTAAGGCCTGCATAAATATATCGCAAGATTTCTTTACCCTATTGTGAAGCCCCAGACTTATTGCAAGTAACTGCAAGCACTGGCATTAAACCTTGAAGTTATCTTTGATTCTGAGTTCAGAGAACGTTAAAGACATTAGAAGCATAAAATAACTAAGAATGTATTTAGTCATCTTAAAAACAGGTCTATACAGAGACACTAATGCACACCTTCATTACCTGCAGGATTGACTATTGTTAATGCTGTACTCGCCGGTCTCTCCAAAACTCAGCTGCACGTGTGTTGACGAAGAAGAGAGCACACATTAAACCAATTTTTCTGGATTAGCTACCTGTTTGCTTCAGAATCGACACAGGCCTCCATCCCCACCACGACTTCATCCTATACAATTTTATAATATAATAATATAATAAAATCAATTCAACTTCATGCAGTTCAGTACAATGTCTGTCCCCAGCATCCCTCTCCAACTCTGTACCTGTGTGTTTCTAGGGGCAGTTCCGGTCCCAGAGAGCCTGTTATTCTCTCCTTCTCCACTGGTTCCACTGGAGCCCGCCTCCACTGAACACCTGCTGGAAAGCGTCAGTCCTGCTGAGGTGGAGGAGCTGAGGAGAACCTGCAAAAGCAACATGCAGTGTGTCCACGACATCCTCGCCTCCGGCAGTTCTAAACTGGGCCTGCAGACTCTGGACGCCAAGAAGCAATATCAAAATAAGGCTCTGATCTACGGTGAGATGACTCACGCTATTTTTGAAAAGGTGTTTTGTGTTTTCATTGTGGACCGGTACTAATCTGATGTGGTCTGCTAGGTAACATGCCTCCCATAGTGACAGAGCCCACACTGATCCGCTTTAAAGTCAACTCCACTGTCAGCGTTCAGATTGTGGCTCAGGACCCAAATGGAGACCCCATCACCTACTCACTGCTCTACCCTAGACCTCCTCGGGCTTCCATAGGCAGCGGTGAGACACACACACACACACACACACACACACTTTCCCCTCAAATCTTCATGCTAACTAGAGCTCCCTCCTCCACCAATGTTACAGATGACGTTACTGTTGACATTTGTCAGTGGGATGGTGTGCGCACTGCTGTAGCCAGCAGTTAAGTCTTTCGGCAGATGGGACATTTCAGAGCTGAGTCAGTGGATGGGTCACACAGAGAAAGACACGCACAGGCACAGAATGCACAAAAAGACTGGCAGAAAAGCCTGAAATGCTGTTTTTACTAATACAATTACATAAGAAAATACATATTTAAATGTATTAAAGGAGGAATATAATGGTTTTTAATATGTTTCTGCTCCAGGTGACGGCCTCCTGACATGGACGCTCCTCACCACGGAGCCCGTCCAGGTGACCATCAAGGTCAGCGACGAGGTCACCGGCTCCCTGTTCACGCCCATCCTGCGTGTCTGCAACTGCCTCAACGGAGGAGTCTGCCAGTATGACAGCGTCACTGAAAACCACATGCAGGGAAAGTTCCAGGTGCAGTTTGGAGTTTTTCAGCACTTCTTTTTTGCTTCATCGCTGATATACAGTTCGACCGTGAAGAGGAAGCAAACAGAAGTCAGTTTGTGTGGATTTATAAGTGGCAGCGATGAGAAGAGCACATAGTAGCCCCGTAAACGCTAACAAAGAGTGTTTCAGAGCTTCCTTTAAAGGGACATTTCACCCCAAAATCAAAAATGCATTTATTTATTTATTCATCTAGATTGTTTTGGTGTGACTTGCTGAGTTATGGAGATATCGGCCGTATAATATAATGCAACCAGACCGTCTCTTGTCTTACTTTGTTAGTAAAACTTATGTAAGTCTCTTCATTTATTATGCCATTGCACAATATATTCGGCTGCTCAAATACATTTCGTGATGCATAATTTATTTTTAAGGAAGTGTTTTCTGACCATATTCGGCTGTTTTCAGATTCAGTGTATTCCCCTGACTTCATGATGTTCCCCACTGACGTTAAGGGAATGTGGGGAGAAAGGATTATTCAGAGTAGTAGTATCTTTTTTGAATGTATGCCAGACAACGTTAGCAGCTAACTCAGCTGTTCTGGTGAACTTTTTGTGCAGTTTTACTTATTTTCTTCAAGTTGACTTAATGTCATTACAAAAATGGAATCGCCACTGCGCTATAATGCGTCAGATCTTTTCATTTTTGTCCTTTTTTCAGCTTATAAATCATCATAAGCCCAGGTACACATTAAATAATTCTTAATGATCCACCAAAGTGTAAAGATTTGATGTTAGTCAGCTGTTTTTACAGGTAATGTAATAATTTGCTTTAGTGGAAGAAAACTGAATAAATTCAACTAAAGCGGAAACATTTGTAGAAAGAAGATTCATTTAAGTTCTTATTCTGATAAATTCTCTTTACACACTAAATTGTTTCAGTTAATAAGGCGATCAGTTTCCTCTTTCCAAGTTTGAGTTGAACTAACTTACTGGGTTTTTTTTACAGTGTATTTGAATCTGTCTGTCCCTGTTACCTTCTGTTCTTTCCTCAGGTGGTCGGATGCTTGTGCCCGAAGGGATTCAGCGGAAAGTTCTGTGGGAACAAAGCAGACGTGTGTCGAGGCAAACCTTGTTTCCGAGGGGTGGAGTGCCAGTCGAAGTCAGAGCCGGGGCAGTTCACCTGTGGAGAGTGTCCTGATAATACTGTCTCATACGGAAAACAGGGATACAAGTGCTTTGAGCATGGTCTGTAGCACGTTCATGATTCCTGTTTGCAGGATTTTCTGTTGCATCGGGTTTGGAGAAAGTAATTGACCCCATACACTATAATTTATCTCATTCTTCTTCCCTTTGTATGCCTTCCCAGACATGTGCGTCCCTCCTTTCCCCTTCCCCTGCCACAAAGACGCCATATGCCACAGCACGAAACAAAACTACACCTGCACGTGTAAGCCTGGCTTTACAGGGAACGGACAGAACTGCACAGGTACCAAACACCCATCACCTCAGTGCGAACCATAACACATTTATTCTCAAGGTTTTAGCCACACAGCTGTCTTTGTCTTTGTTGTAGATATAAATGAGTGTGTGGAGCTCTCAACCTGCCCCAATGCCAAGTTTGAGTGCAGGAACAAGCCCGGCTCTGTGGACTGCTTCTGTAGATACCAGAACACCAAGGACGTTGATGGATGTGGTACGTGCACAATCGTATCTGTTCAACATCATTTAGCCTACAGGGAACTATTTTATCAGTTACGCTCACAGATTATAGAAGTCCAAAATGAATTTAAATTAATTTACTTGACCCTAAAGGGACTCTTTAATCAACGCCATCTAGTGGGGCTAAAATGTACTGTACAGGCTAAATGTCCTTATTTACATATAGTACATGATACAGCCTATCCACTTATACAATTTTCTGTCAGTATTATGTATTTTGAATCGTGTTTAAACAGTCATACAGACTTAATAGGCTTAATTTTGTTTTCTTGTCCCCGACACTTGGCCATTGTTCTATTAGACCATTTACTTTACTTTACTTTTCTTCACAGAAGTGAACCAAATGCTGAGATACTGAGTATTTGAGTTTTCTTACACCCCTTAAAATCAAGAAGGCCTGTTCCATTATATCTGCAAACAATATAAAATATAAAAAATAAGAGTGTAAAAATATGTACATTATAATACAATATATAATTATATAGACAGAAGAAGAGTAACTCTTACTGCAGAGCTACTAGAAGCTGTAATTGTGACAACAGTGTGTGTTTATTTCTTACTCTGACTGATGTTTTTCTCTGCAGGTGACTCTGCCAATCCTCCAGGTAAGACTTCCCACTATGGCTACCTTATCTTTATCACAGCTTTGCTCTTTCGCTGGTGTTGCCATGGTAAACGCACATCCATATACGGTGATAAGAGGTCGTAACACGACTGTCGCTGCTGCTCTGTCTCTGCAGGGTGTAATGTGTTTAACGTCTCTGTGGGCTGGAAGAAGAGCAAGACTGAAGGACTCAAACAGGTGAGAGTGTGTGTGTGTGTGGCAGAGGTGGAAGAAGTGCACATATTCTTTACTCAAGTAAAAGTACAAGGCTCTGAAATGTCCTTAAAGTATAAAAGTATAAAGTATTCCCTTTATACTAATACTAATAATTAATTATTAGCCTCAAATTTTCAGATATTAGTGTCAAAATGTAGATACAATTAAAAAGTTGTTTGAAATAAATACTAAAGTAAAGTAAAAGTGTTTTTACTACTCTGGTGTGTGGGTATGTCAGTGATGGCTGGCAACATATTAATTATTAACATGTAACAATAAAATATGTGGGACAGGCCTTTAATTCCAGACCAGGCTATTAAAGGAGACCTGCTTTTAATTAAAGTGTTTTACGGTATTTCTCCGTCTTTCTCAGCTGGTGGACATTCTGTCGATCGGTTTCCAAAACAAATTCTACAACGCCAGTTACAAGGATCCAGCCCCGGGGTCCGGTCTGGGTGCAGCCGAATACCGTATCAACGTGTCCAGTGACACCCCCCACTGGTACATCAGAGACTACCTGGCCAGAGTCAGCGGCCACTATGACATCAGTTCTGTAGAAGTTGATGGTAAACTACCAACACTTTTAGTGATTTTTACTTTTTATAACTACTAATAGCCCATATTTATCTGTATTGCTTTTTTATCTTTATAATGAACTAATTATTTTGAGATTCTAAGTCAAAATATTGAGAAAGTTTCTAATTATTTTGACTTCTGACCGTCACATTGGCGGAAATTTGCTTCCATAATTATCAGGGTTCCCACGCGTCTTGGAAAACCTGTAAATTGAGAGACTAGTTCTCCAGTCATGGAAACACCTGGAAATGTACTAAAATTACCAAACATGCTGTAAATAATCTGTGTTACAATTTTTTATTGTATTTAAGGCTTTCAGATAGTCTACACATTTAGTTTGAAACCCGACTGTTTGTAGGAGAATCTGTGTGGTGGTATGACGCTTCAGAGCAGATTTACCAGACCTGGAACAAACTTGCAGAAATCTTTTAGGCGTCAAGTCTAATTTTTTCCGAAGCCAAAAGCAGAATTCTCATGAAAGCCAGTGGAAAATTCCCTTGTTGTGGTTTATAGATACACGCACAGTGAAGCTGAGAAGATGAATTTTCAGTAAAATAAAATTGATTCTACTTAATTTGAACTGTTAGTTGTGGGCTGTGGCCAAATTAAATAAAAATTGAGTTAAATGTGTCAATACTAGGCCTAAATTATAAGACTGTTTGTGAGCAAAACTCCTGGAAAATGTCCTGGAAAGTAAAGAGATTTTCTTAAAAATAGTGGGAACTCTGAATATGCTGCAGCACTTTTTTAGTTGATGGCAAACTTCTGGTAAGACTTCTTCTCTCTCCCACTTGCTGCTGGGAATGTCCACACCTCCAGATCTGGACGAGTGTAAGGCCAAGGAGGCGGTGTGTGTCCATCCTGCCCTCTGCGCCAACACTTACGGAGGCTACAGGTGTGTCTGCAATGGCACGACCGACGTGGATGAAACCCAGTCCTGTGTGTTAGGTGAGGCTCTGCGCACATTTTACATCCATCCTGCAGGCACAGTAGCGGCTCTAGGGCTAACAGGCTGTCAAAATCGATATTATAACTGAGTGCTAAACCCATAAAATGCCTCGCAGATATATGTCTTGTCATATAAACACATCACTGCCCGGGCAAATGACACTTCAACTTGTCATCCATCGCGTCTTTTCTCACTCTTATAAAAAACATTCTGTGACTGTGATGAGAGCATTTTACGGAAATGTTTGTCATGACTTGGTTTGACGTGACCCTTTGCAGACAGAGACCAGGTGAATGAAAGGGAACTGGACCTTGTTCTGGGCCTGGTTCTGGGAATCGGCATCCCTCTACTTTTGCTGCTGCTCCTGGCTGCGCTGGCCTGCTTCTGCTGCTGCAAGAAGACGGTTACCGGAGAGTGAGTAACACCAGGAGTTTTCACTTTATGAACAACAGGCATGAGGGCTTTTTAACTGCTGATGGTTTAGTAGCAATATTATACAGGTTATGTTTTCTTCACGATTTTAGCCAAAAATATGGCAAAACCTTCTGTTTGTTTCTACCTATTTACACAACTGTAATGTTTTATTGAGTTGTTTGCTGTTTCAGGGACCAGTGTGTAGGGTTTAGTGGCATCTAGTAGTCAAGTTGCAGATTGCCACCTTTTGAATACAGCTCAGCCTTCAAAGTGTTTAGGACAGTGATTCCCAACCACTAGGGGTCGCCAAAGCTTCATAAGGGGTAGCGAGGCCTTCTTGATTTTAGGTCTAGGCCGATATTTCAGAATTTGCTTCACTTCTGTGAAGCACCAGGAATAAGAAAATACTGAATTTGCCAAAAAGGTAGCCTATTAAGTCTGTATGATTGTTGGAAAATGATTTCAAAAATACATAATACAGACAGAGACTTGTATAAAAAGTTCCCTAAACAGGAAATAATCAGCTCAGAATTCATCCAAATCTCTTGTTTTACACAAACTTCCTGCAGTTACTGAGTTCACTGTTTGGGTTCATTGTACAGTTTTTTATATAATATGAAATCAGTTCACTAACTGATAAAAAAAAGGGGTCTCTTAAGGAAAAAGGTTGGGAACCACTGGTGTAGGTGAAGCTACGATAGCTGCAAATAATGCTAAAGGCCGTCTCTAGAGCCAGTGTTAGATGCTCCTGAATGTTGGACCTCAATCACCCCCACCAGATTTCAGTCCTTGTAATTTATGTACCAACGTCGCTTTTTCTTCTGGCACCAAGTGTTTTGCGTCAGTAGCGGTAAGGGTCTAAGAATAGCGTTTTTTTCTCATCCATACAACAATCGTCTCCTGGTGCGCGGTGGGCAGAACACATCAGACGTGTTTCCCGGTGTGTGGTGACTGTTTATAGCTGCGCAGGCCTTTCAAAGGACAGCTAGACCATCTTGGTGCACTAAAGCACTAATGAATAATGTGTTTAGATGGGTCAGCAGCTCCTTTGGGCAAGGGTTCATACTGCTGCAGAGAATGACCACACACACACCCAGAGTTTCAAGGTACAGTAGTCAAGTAGGTCTGCCCAGAGACAATCCTTTCCAGCAACTCGAAGGCTTTAAATCCTGTCCTCTGTACTGCTGCTGCAGCACTGTCTTCTTGTATTTAACTTCTCAGTTGGAGGACGGACTGCCCACTCTCTTACTATATTAAACAGAAACACTTCCTACTAACAGCTTTGGTCCGAGTTATGAAACTGCACTTGGGTAACACTGAGGTCTGTTTGCAGATGGAATATACAGTAAGACCAACGTAACGATGAGGGTAACACATCCACAGAGTAGCGGTTTGCTCACCGGAAAACAACTGATAAACTGTAAAAAGTGAACACAATAACTGCAGGAAGTTTTTATACAATGTTTATTTTTATTTTTAACAATCATACAGACTGAATAGACTTCTTTTTAGACACATTTTCTTACAATTACACTTGCATACTTTTTTACTGCAGGACAATGAGATATAGGTCTATAGGTCTACTGTGTCAGTTTTCCTACATGTCTTCCAATCAAAACGCGAGCCCCCGTGAAGCTTTGGCGACCCCAACTCTCATACAGCCAGCAGCTGCTTAGCTTAGCTTAGCTTAACAGTAAGCCTAGGTCTGTCAACTGTCGACATATAAAAGATGGACGTTGCATCTCTACTTCCTTCTAATTTACAAAAATGAAGCCAAATTATCCCTTCGGAGTCTGTGTAGTAGTGATCGTGGTTAGCGCTGCGGTATTGAGGTCCCGCCCATTCGCGCTGGTCGACTAAATCACGAGCAGAGCTCAGCTGTCAATCACGACGTGTAAACCTTATTTTTTAAGCTTCAAATGACTAATTAAAACCAAACTTAATCGAAAAATGATCACTTGAACCAACATCAGCATCGTAAGAACTACCTAAAGAACAGAAACCATCTCTGGGTAAAAATTCTTTGTTTTTTAGTTTGGCCCAAATGTTAAGCAGTTTCATATTTATCATACAGATATCAGAATGGTATCAATCTTATCTCAATAAGAGTCAAACTATTCCTTTAAATAGAGGAAGAAGAAGGATTGAGCAGAGACCACTCAGATTGAGAGAATTATTTAACGACGCTCTCAGAGATTTTAATGTAAAGCTGAATGTAAAAATCAGCTATAAGTGCTAAAGTACCTCTGATATTAAGATATGTATGTGCGTGTGGATGTGCATAGATCTATTCATGTCTTTGTGCATTATAATAATAATAATAATGTGTCCTTGGCCGCAGCGTGTGTGTACAGATGTATGGCATCTGGGCCAGGTGTTAGTGGGCCACAGAGACACATAATCCCCCTGATGACTGGCCTGCTTTCTCTGCTATCTGTAAACTAGACCCTATGGATATAATGGCGGGGGTCAGCGCCAACATTGTGGGATTATGTCGTTAGATTAGAGTGAATAAGCAAAAGCCTGTTTTTTTTTTTTTTCCTGTTGTCTCCAAACAAGATAGAGATACAGATATACTTGGATTATGTTATTATCTAATAGTACTTAAAGGCAGAGTCAGCGATTCTGGAGACAGATTATTGATATTTGAACTCAGCAGCCATGCTGTGGAGTTTAGCACGTTAGCATGTGCCAGATTTACTGTCCCTCTTGCTCCAACTGCCCCCTTTACCCCCCATCTCCTCTCCCCTGTCCTTGTCCTGCACACGAGCACAGAGCCAGGACTGTGCACACCACACACACACACACACATACACACAACAGACAGCCAGCGGACCATGAATGGATATTCGCCGAATTTGACAAAAAGTGTATTGGATTAAATCCCAGATTTATAGGATATGATGGAGCAGGAACATCGTAATGTTTCTTTTTAACTTCCTATTAACTAAAATAAGTTTTCACACATGTTTTTGCAGCATTCCCTCCGTTATAAAATCAGCATTATGTATAAAAATTGGACTAAACTTCAGAGTTTGAACATTTCACAACATTAACTGTAATCAAGGACCAAAGGGTCTGAAGAGTTTGCAAGTAATCACTGGCAAGAGTTGTGTTTTTTTGGCTTTTATTCACAGAATGATTCATGACACACCAGGTTGCTCCGTCTGCACCTCATTATCAGAGAGGATACGCACATATTTGCACAACCATAATGATATACAATCCAAAACATCTGAACTGCAAATCAGACAACAGCGCGTCTGGAGAAGCACTGGGGATGTGTGTGCTTCATGTTTTTAATCAGCTTTAGACCCAGATTTCAGAATATCTAGGCTGGAGCCTGCGTGAATATTCATGAGTCACTGAGTATTCCTCAACAACTGCTGCCCATCCAAACATTTCCATAAACTGCCTGAAATGATTGTTTACTGTATGGAGAATTACAGACGGCACTAATCAGAGCCAGGAATTCACTGCAGAAGGTACAAAAACGTAACTCATTAACGGAGATACATCCCCACTAGTTAAAGGTTACATATCTAATATTCTGGAGCATTTTATTGATTATTTTTATGCATTAATCACGTTTTACTGGCAGTGTGTGAATGGTTTCTAATGTAACTTAAAAAATGAGACTGTGGATGGATTTTTATGTGTTTCTATTTTGGGATACGGGTCGGATTTTAAGCAGAAATCCAAAGGATGTTTATGTGTGTTTATGCCTTCTCTCTCCATTTCCCTACAGTGTATAGTGTACAATGTTAGCCAACGCTTATAAATGGAGTCTGTAACGTCTACAAACGACTGACACCCATCACAAAGTCCAAAGTCAAAGCATTTGCAGGTTACTTTGTCGGCTTTTGCAGCTGGCTGGATTACCCTATCTTGCTTGCTCTCTAACCTTATCTCCAGCAAAATACTATCTGAGTTAGCAGGCTAACCATAACTTGCAAAATTACCTCCCCAGCTAACGTGATCCATGATACTTACTTGTATTATGACGGTGCTGATTTTAACCAACGAAAAATGATGTAGCGGCACAAAGCTGTGTTTGTTCTACCCTGGATGGACGCTGACTGCAGTTCACTTAACGGCCACTGGTTAACGCTCTTCTGAAAGATATTTGCAGCATCTTTAAAGCGAGACTGCCAGCGATTCCTTGTGTGCTCCTGCTTTCTAAATTGTCTTTATGTGTTTTCTTCCAGCCTCCCCCACTTGTTGCCAGACTACATCCAGGAGCAGTACAACCCTCCGCCCTTCAACTACTCCGACCCTGCCCTGCACTACATGACCCACAGCAGCCCCCGGATCATAGACAACATCACACCCAGGCAGCGCATCAGATAGCACATACTAAACAACCGCATGCACAGGCTTACAAACACAGCAGTTTTGGAGCCGCCGTATAGGCAACGTTTTATATCGACAAGGTGAATGACTCTTATTTATAGCGTGACAAACAAGTAATTAAACCTGAGTGACTTTTAAAGTCAATTATTTCCAAGCAATGGACCGCCGAGTTGGAACTGGAAGATTTTTTTCGCCTGGACAACAGTTTACAGTCAGAGTCTGACCCAGCAGAACTCGACCACCTCTTGGCTGGAGACGGCGATGAAAAGTAAACCACTGCAGTAGTCTTTGGCTTCCAGCTGATACCAGGCCAACAGCCTCTGTGATAGCAACATTAGCAGAATACCTGGCGTCAGGCTCCTGCCCTCTGCTCACAATTATAATCCGGTATCAAGGTTGTTATGCTTCTAGTCCAAAATGTGCATATAATCATCAAAACACCGTTGATTCAATTTGGTGTTATTATTTTGCTGGTTGCGGAAAGCATTGATCTCACTTTTGGAATTACACTCTAAATTATTGTTCAGTGCTGGATCGTGTCCCAGTTAATTTAACACTGCAGCTGTCTTATGTAAAGCTGGACTGTCAGAGAACGATGTGTAAATGTAATGTGGATCATTAAAACTTCAGCAGCATTGTACTTTGTGGTGATATTATTTCAAGAGCAAAGCATATTGGATATTTGTGCTGTAACAAATATGCTGCTTTACTCGTGGGCGAACACAATGGGATTGTGGTTTTACTTTCACAAGAAGACCCGGGTTTATATTGATAAAGTGTCCTTGAGCAAGACAGTCGATTCTTACCAACTCTAGGGATGTTTACCGTAGCTCACCCTGACCTCTGACCTCCCACAGGATACGTGTCCAGCTGAAGCTGCTGTAAAAGGACTCAATAGCTTAAAATAATAATTTTCAAATCTTATTCTTTGCAGGGTGAAAAATCTACCTCACACTCTGAAATCACAACTTTCTCCTACTGTATTGTAATCAGGTTTTCCATTGACAATCAGTGTAGTATTGATCACTTTCTACAAATACACAATGGTCATCAAAGTGGAAGTCAACAATACTGACATGCCAATATTGGATTTTAAACCGGAGACCAGAGATCTTTCAATATAATCAGTGGTGGAGTCAATACTTGCTCCCTTAACTAAAGTAATCTGTGCAAAAAATACTCCATTACAAAAGTCTTACATTTAAAACCTACATACAGTATTATAAGCAAAATGTACTTAAAGTTCTTATAATGCATTATATTATTGGCTCTTTATTACTGATGCAATTAACAAAAAATAATCCTCCCAAAAAATTGGAGTCACTCATTTAAATGAATTAAACTAAAAAAATTAACTTTATTAACTCAGTTGTTTTGAGTGACCTTAAATGTGTGCAGTATTTAAATTACAGGCGATATAATTTCAGTTTGTTCCACTGACTCATTTTCTTCAAGTAGACTTCATTGGGACCATTTTGATAATCAATCAAACATTTGTGTAAAGAAGATGAATTTAAGTTACTTCATTCAGATAAATTCTGTTTTATTACATTTTAAATACATTTGGAGAAATGTGTTGAGTGTAACTTGATTAACTGAATGGAATTAGTTAATTTATCCAAGTTACCTTAACAATAAATATTTTCCAAATCAAATATCTTTAATGCTTAAATTGTTTGATCATTTAAGGCTTCAGGTTTTACAGTGTTAACAAGTATATATAAGCAGGATTTAATCCATCAGATATGGTGACTTTTATCTACTCTACAGGATTACCAAGCGGGTTAAGTGGACAATTGCATGTATGTATGTGAGAATCTTGCACCACAAGATGATCTTTTTAAGGTTATTGTATTATTATCTTATCTTTTTTGGGTTCCTGTATTGTAGAAGGGCCACAAAATCTACCTTTTTAAGACTTTATTTTAGTGTATATTATCCTCATATTCCTAAATGAAGTTGTGTTTTATGTAACTGCCTCAAACTAGTATTCCAGCAGAGGATTACCCCCTAAAACAGGTTAATCCAGCCATTCTGTTGAGTATTTTAAGCTATAATAATGAATCATACCTTATAAGATAACTCTGGAGGCAATTTCATCTTCAATGCGTAGTGGTAGAAAAATTATGTCTGCCCAAAATATGCATCTATTGATTTAAAAAACACCTACAAAGGCTGCATGTGCTGAAAGAGTGATATAAAGACGAGGTTGTGAATACAAAAGAGACACAACAGGACAAAGACGAGCTCCGACCCACACACACTAAGCTTTCCAGTTTCTAATTCCCTCCCGCTTTATACCTGTTATTACCTCCCTGTGCCCTCAGGTGTGCAGGTGACGTAGCAAAACTCACGCACATATAGCAAATGTCAAAATTAGCTACAACAATAATCAAAGTAAAATATACAGAGTAACAAGTAACTGTAGCAAATAAATGTAATGGAATAAAGATCCACATGTCTTTACTTGAGTAAAAGAAGTAACACCACATTGTAATTGTGTGTAAAAATATTACATTACAAGCAAATTGTCCTGTATTTAAAATGTTACTCCAGTAAAGCATTCACTCAATGTGCATTTATTAATTATTAATGATGCATGAACAAGTTAGCAGCATTCTAATGGTGTAGCTTGTAGAGTTGATGCTAATTTAAAGTACTTTATATCCTGATGTATAGTTTAATGCACCTTTTACCTTAAGGAACCACTTTTCTATCATTTACTACTAACTAGTAAATTAGTATTATTTTATGGATATGTCATATTGTATTCAATTCATAACAGCACAGAACAACTGATAAACTTTAAATAGGGAATGCAATAACTGCAGGAAGTTTGTGTAAAATTAGCGATTTGGATGAATATTGAATGAGTTTTACTGATGTTCTAGGGACTTCTTATACAATTCTCCATCTGTATTGTGTTGTTTTTTATTCTTAACATTCATACAGATTTAATAGGCTTCATTTTTAACTAATTCAGTGTTTTCTTCTCCCTGATGCTTGTTCTGTTAGCTCTTTGATTGTTATAACTTTGTACTATGTTACTTCAGATATACTGAGATATTGGCCTACTGTGTACTGTGCTGGCCTAGGTTTTCCTACACGCCTTAAAATCAAGAAGGCCTTGCGACCCCCTGAGAAGCTTTAACGACCATTGGCTTAATCTATACAATAAAATATGTACTGCTTATACGTTTTGTATCTATTTGCACCTGCAAAGCCAACGAGGAGCTGTGGCTGTGCATACATGTAGTGGAGTAGAAGTATAGAATAGCATTGAGATACTGAAGTAAAGTACAACTGTTTCAAAACTGTACTTGACTTAATGTTCGTGCTATTCGTCTCCAGTAATTAACATTCCTTTTTACCACATCATTCCACTTCTACTGTTTCTCCAGCTCCCTGCAACTTGCTTTCCGGCCACCAGGTGTCACAGCTGAGTCTTCCACACAAGGCAGATCAATCCCATTTGTTGCTATGAGTAAGTAGAAACGCGGCACTCTCACGTCCCCCGAACACACACACACACACACACACACACACACACACAGACGACTAGACACCTGCTCTGCAGCCTTCATCTGGAAGTGGCCACAGCATGCGGTGGGGCTTGCTGCCCCCTGCAGAATGAGATCATCTGAAGGGGGCGCGGAGCGAGGCAGCCCTGCAGGTCCCTGCCACTGCAGAGACAGACCTGGCCTACGCTACAGGCAGGGTCAAGGACAGGGCGCTGCTAAAGCACTCTATCACTTCCTTCCTTATTGTGGTTATACGCACTAAAGTACTCATGCACACAAATACCCCTGCATAACCTCTGCAGTGCTTCTCGTTCCCACTGGTTTCAGTTTCCACAGGATTGATTGAGAGCGTAAACTGAGATTACGCCACATACAAGTACATACAGGATTTGTAGAGGAAACTTCTGGAAAGCGTAAAAATCCAAAGCAAGTAGAGCTCCTGACACCTGTTATAGACAAAAAGCACAGCTAACAGTGAACAGCAGCCACTGAGGATGAAATCACCTTGGCGAGGGAGCTTTGTAGTGCCACACTTCTGGAAGGTTCCAAGTGTTTCATGTGCTGCTGAAGTCTGCGGTGTTTGAACTCCAGCTCCACACTGACTGCAGCAGACAACCTGGAGGCACGCCAGCGAGGGAAAGAGGGAGGAAGGGAGAGAGGGAACAGAGTTAGAGTCAGAGAAAAGAAAGAGAGCGAGAGAGAGAGCGAGAGAGAGAGAGAGAGAGAGGACAGGAGGGAAATGAAAAGTGAGAGAGCGAAGATCAACAGCAGGGATTCTATTTGACAGCCAGTAAGTGGTTTTGTCCCTCAGATCCCCTCAAATAAAACAACTGACATGTGCAGGTTTAGAGATGCTTGATGATCCAGCGCCAGGCCCAACAAACAGAAACACGTTGGGGGGGGTGGGTAGAAAACTAAGTGCATGCTTAACACTATATCCATTTCATCACAACATGATTGAAATAGGCAGGGAATAGCGGGCCCGACCAAATCCTCTTATCCGATTTGAGGCCATTAATCATTGCTGCCTCATGATGTAATTTTGGAAAACATGTCATTTCTCAGTAACAGGTAGGCCACGATGCCGATGGGATTGGCTCGTGTGCAGCTAGCCGTAATGCCCTTATTGCATAGCTGTAAAACCATCCATGCTTCCTGGAAGCAGTTGCTGTAAAGGCTGTTAACTTTGCCCACTGACTGGGCCACAACCTTTGGCCAGGAGACATTACTGGTAATCAGGAGTTCTCGTCAGGAGCTGCTCTGACGTGCAAAATTGCTTCTATAGATATAGTGAAAGATACTTGCGCACGTGGACATATCCCATATTTACCATCAGTGCATGTATACATGAGGGTCTGCATAGAGGCACAAAGGCTAATCTACCATATACACACGCGTGCGGAGGTTCAATCACACTCCAAAGCAAACAGATGCAGGGCCTACATGGGCGCAGACATGCACAATGTAAAAAGGTCTTTTCACTATAATAGTAGCTTGACATCCATGACGCACAAACAACTGCCATTCTCTCCCATGAAAGGTGATCCGCTCCCTTGGCATGGAACCAGCAGGTGCATTACAAAGCCTCATTCATTAATGATGGCGTCCGCGTCTTTCAGTTACACAGGTAAACATCTTCTCATATTTGTCACCGGGCGCTTTATCCCTCAAAGTCCTCACATGCCACTTAGGGTACAAAAATTAGCATCTTCTTTAAGCTTTTTGCTTGAAAGCGGCTTTATTTTAGAACATGATTGTGCAATACCACCCCACTGCGCGCCACCGCTACCACATACTGTATCTCACGTGCCGGGTGCCAACTCGCCCCCGTTGCCAAAAATTGAACTGACCCACATGGTAGGTTCTTGTGAAAAGGGAACAATGCTAACTGCTATCAGCGGGAGTGATGTTACAGGCCACAGGGAGGTGACATTAATGAAGATGGAGGGGGTGACTTCAGCCCTGCTCTCTGCTGAACTAAAGCGACCTTTGACCCCCTTTTGTGGCATGTAAATGAAAGCTGTCGTTTTATATTTTTAAAAAAATGTTCCGGGTTGGGCTGTTTGTCTGATAAGAACTCTTTATGTGAGGCGGTTACATATTCACAGAGCTGATAAGAGGAGGGGAATATGAACAGCAGTGGTTTGAGCTTACGCAGACACACGCAGATAAATCAGAGTAAAAAAAAAAAAGATAGTTAACATAACACCTGACATCCATAATGCACAAAAACAACACAGTAACACATACTGTATTGTGCTCCACGCTCTTTGGCTTACATCACGGAGATTGGTTTCAGGTTTTATAGACCGTTAAGTCACGTCTCCTGGGTTCCAATATTCCCCATCCATATTAACCTCCAACCTAAAATCACCTTTGACCTGGAGCAGCTCCTCTGGGAGCTCGGCTTCATTGAGGGGCGTATCATCAACCGACGGAAACAGCTGATTCTGCAGATTGGATAAAGTGAGGCTATACAAATTGGGGCGGGAGGACAAAGTGGGAAGCTATTCTGATTTTGAAATATTTATGACCCGGCAGTAAACCATTGTCTCTGAACAACGGATCCACTGGAGCGACTCACCATAGATGTTCCATAATAATGTCTGGAACGTGTGAACGCCACAAATCAGCATCCTAAACTCATTTTATGTTATATTTAGAGTGGAATAAAACATTCACACACCTCCACATACAGTCGTTCACACATGCTCCCAGTTTATTTAGTTCTTGTGACGGGGCCTTTGTGCCGTCACCTTTAGAATTACATAATCTGCACGGTGACAAAAAAAAACCAACCCTGTAGCAGAAAAACAGATTTAAATGAAAAGAATCCAATGTGCTCCAGATTAGGTAGGTTGGGTTGGCTGATTCTAAAGCTGCTCAGCAGATCACATGGCACAGGCAACATCACCTCTGTGCAGATGGAAGTGGGAACCACTTTGGATCCTCGTTCCTTTTACACAGTCCCTGCTCTCTTACTTAACCGTGTGGCATCCGTGTCTAATAATAAGAGAGGCGGTAGAATTGGGAGGAAGGGGCGCTGTTTTTGGGACATTCTAGTACATTCGGTGAGCGGTTCTTCAAATCCTTCTCCTTGCACATCCCCCCTAAGTCCGGCCCTCCTCCACACAGCATCTCCCGTGGGATCAGGCCAGAGACAGGTGGTCACTGGGAGACAGGAGAGGCAGTCAGGCATAAGCAATCAGGGCTATCAGATACTCCCATCCACACCAGCGGCACAATTAGACCTGAGAATCCACAGTCATCTGACAAGCAACGCCCGCCACAGTCACATATCACACATCTGAGAGTGCACGCATACACAAAAACTATTACAAACTATTACAACCCCAAAAACACTTGACAGCCCTTGACACCACATCTCATTATGCATAACATTTAAAAAGTGATGAAGGCGAGCAGACGGGAGGAACTTTTACTCACACAGCTGTACCCTATCACAGCCTGTGGTAACCTTGTCACAGCAATTAAAATAAGCATCAACATGCAACATACACACACAACTGCAGCAGGAGGGAATAAACTCATGTGAGCACAAACTGGGTCAGTAATACCCCAGTTACAAGTAACAAACTACGCTCCTGGTAGCTAATTACTTATCAAAACTATCTTAGTGGGTCTCCCTGAAGATGATGCCCATATGTATACACACTATGCAACAAGCTTGTCTGACTGGGATGTCTATGGACAAGATGCAGCGGCAGCGCAGACCATGGGAGTGACGCATTGCAGGTACAAACACACCAATCAGAGAGCGCGATTTCTTTCTGCTACGTCTTGTGCCCCATCGCAGAGTAGCAGAAAGTATTCATACGCCGTCAAGTAGACCCTCGGCTACACGCATTATAATTCAAACTGTCGACGTTAAAACATTCACAGCAGTCGTACGCGGGTGTTGTGGGTGTTTTTTTCTATTTATCGCGTTGTTAATCGGTTATACAAATGCGGTTTGAGTTAATTTGGTAACTGAGGAAAAGGGAAGTCGGCGGATTGATACTGAAAAGAGGAGGAGTTTAGGATAGCCGTTAAAGGCGAGTCCAGTTGCCTCTTCCTCAGTGTGTTCATAGAGATTGTCAGTCCGCTGAGGCTTCGTGTTGGCTTTGGTTTGTTACGGATTTTGTCGTGAACCAGCCGCTACATCTACATCCAAATGGTAAGAGAGAGAAAACAAACCTGCCTTATATTTTACCTATTTAGTGTGGAATCGGTTCACAGCAGCTTTACAGCTTTAATCTGTTTTTTTAAACACGCGAAATTAATGTCAAAAATACGTAACGTCACCAGTAGCTGAGTTGGATTCTAACTGTGCGCTGTAACGAACCGCGGCGGCGCTCGCCGATTAAAATGACAGCTCGCTAGTTGCTAGGTAATGCTAGCCTGATAGACGGAGCTACCCTTAGCTAGCTAACTTTAGCGCTTCCCTAGCTAGCGTTTACCGCCAAATCGTAAACTCATTCATTGTCTATTGCGAAGTTTTGCGTCATCGACCGTTCGAATTCGGAACGTTCGAATTCGGAACGTTCGACCCGCACGTGTAGATACATTGTTTCCGCTTTCTGCCGGAGTTCAGTGAGACGTTAGCTGACCGGCGCGTTAAAAATGCCTCCGTTTCGCGCGGTTGTAACGTTACAGCGGCTGTTACAGTTACAGTAGCCTCCAGAGTTATTGTCAGCGGTGGTGAGAAGTGTTTGCAGCGTTTTAAATAAATGGGGCGGCCCTAAACAGGGCTCTGTAGTGCTGCAGAGACTCCTTGGCCTTCTTATCTTTATCTAAAGACGTAAGAAAACATGTATGCTTGGTACTGACCCCCCCAATTGATTGATTATTTGTGATGAAAAAATTATAATTTCTGCTGTAAAAGTGAATCCTATCGCAGTATCTGTTAAAACAGTTGTAATATGTTTGTACCCTATTGTGCAGCCCTGCTATTAAAGTTGTTCAAAGGTCGAAATTAGCAGATTCTGGACATATTTGCTGCTTGGCCTGATATTAATGATTCAATCTTGTATTTCACAGGCTGACCAGCTTACAGAAGAGCAGATTGCCGGTAAGACATCGCTGCATTGATCTACTACTATCCTCATATCCTGCAAAGTGGCCTGCGTTATGGATCCTTGCAGTGGATTTATACTTTTGCCTTTTAAGGCATTCCACAGGGCAGCCTACAGGTCATAAAACAGGAATGAATGAAACGGCTGTTGCTCACTGCCTCTGGAGTGCAGAAGGACTCCCTCCATGGAAAACTTTGCATTTTCATGGTTGCCATGTAATAAATGATGTAATCTAGAAGGGCTGTGTATTCTGCTGTGGTGTTGGCAGTCACCTCCTTTACATGCTGTGCATGATGTGTCCTTTGCCCTGGGTGTGTTCTCGTTAGATGGAATGCTTTAAGAACAAATGCAAGAGCAAACTTGGACTAAAATGAGACCTAGATGTTATCTTGAATCATGCAGGAGGTGTGGCTGAGGCTTTGCCGCCTGTATGAGCTCAGGGACACTTGCTGTATGCAGTTGTGTCTGAAATGTGGCAGTTGTGGTTTCCCTGAGAATATCCTCCCAGCTTCTGTTGACTTGATTCAGCTTAGGTCTCATATTTCACAATATGCTTAACATACTCGTTGTATTTCATGGTATCAGCAGTTGGTTGCTAAAGCTCTGCTTGATAAACATCTGTCATGCTGATGTGTGCCATTTTCATAGATTGTCAGTTTGTACAAACAGCGTCACATGACCATGCAGTAACGTGTTCTGTTGACTTGGGACGAAATTAACAGTAACTTAAAGTGCAGGAAGCGACTGCGGTGATGTGTGGTTTTAATGGCCTGTACCAGAGGAGTTGGATTCCCCCCCCCTCGACACTGCCTGCAGTTGATGCAGACGGCAGGCCCTTTCCTTGCAACAAAAAAGGGTGTTGCCCTGTGTGTTTGACCCTGCAAATGGCAGGGCAGGTTGTAGTTTTTATGACTCTGACAAGCTGCTGCATGCCACTACACATTGCCCAATGGCCTCATCACACTTGATGAGTGTGTCATCGTTCCTCGTCCCTCCCGGCTCCACCGAACCACACAGGCTGTCATTCGCTGCTGATGTAGCCTCACTGCCCTTCTGCCTGGTCTCGTGGTTGCTGTCCTTGTTTAGCCAAAAACAACTGCAGTTGGAACTCTAAACAGAAGGGCTCATCAGCGTGCTGTCGCTAGTTTATAACTGAAACATGAGTGATGTAATGCCCTTTTAAGTCTTGAGCTAATTCAGGGTTTAGGTCAATGTGATTGGCAGACTGGAGCATAAGATGAAGGGTTTGCCATGCAAGGTGGGCTGACAGCCTTTCATAGATTCAACCCTCTGCAGGGATTTACAACTGCTGTCCTATCTAACTATAGGTGTGACGTCTCGCCTTACTAAAGAAGCCAATTTCTTATTTTCTGCAACCAGAGTTCAAGGAGGCATTTTCGCTCTTTGACAAGGATGGAGATGGCACCATCACCACCAAAGAGCTGGGCACAGTCATGCGCTCTCTGGGCCAGAACCCCACAGAGGCAGAGCTGCAGGACATGATCAATGAAGTGGACGCTGATGGTGAGACTTCAATCTGGCCTCAAAACCTGCTTAACCACACACATTCTGTAGATTGTGGCGTTGGATGGGGAAATCCCTCATCAATGCCTGTTTCTGTCTTCAGGAAATGGAACGATAGACTTCCCAGAGTTCCTGACCATGATGGCCAGAAAGATGAAGGACACAGACAGCGAGGAGGAGATCAGAGAAGCATTCCGCGTCTTTGACAAGGTAAACGCCGTCTGCGCTCGCACACACGTGCATATGTAAAGCAGTTTTTAATACATTTGCTTACTGACTGATGCACTTTGCAGGATGGTAATGGATACATCAGTGCTGCTGAGCTGCGCCACGTGATGACAAACCTTGGGGAGAAGCTGACCGACGAGGAGGTGGACGAGATGATCAGAGAAGCAGACATTGACGGAGACGGACAGGTCAACTATGAAGGTTGGTACACATTGTGGTTTTTATATACACATTCGGTCTGTTTGGGTCACTCATCGGATACTGAGTCGCAACATCTTCTCCTCTCTTCCCTGCAGAGTTCGTACAAATGATGACGGCGAAGTGAAGGCCTTGTACAGATTTCGTATATAAATAATTTGCCTTTTTTTCTTTGTGTAATTTATCTGTAAAATCTTAATAGCCCCCCTTCGTCCCTGCCCCTTCTGCTGTCCAAAGGAACTGCATGTAAACTGCATAGGCTCTTGTCCCCATGTCCCTTTCTTTTGCTGTCATGGTGTTTTGGAGTGACGAAATGGTCATACAACCAGATGCCTGTGGAGGCCCCTGGGAGCCGGAGAACTTCGAATCTTCCCGTCTTGTGTGCTCGGGGCCCCTCCACGCATGGCGACATTGGAAACCTGTCAGCTAGTTGTCACTTGGCAACACTGTTGGCATGGAAACAATGTAGAGGAGTTTTAACTCTGCATGGACTATGGACAAAGTATATATGGGAATCTCTCAGCATTGCACTACTGCAAAAAAATGACACGGGTGTATCTCCTAGGTACTCGTACAAACTCTTTTTGTATCTGCTGTTCTATATACCAGAAAACGACTAATCTTAACCATGCTTTTTAATGTTTTACTCACTACTTTTGCATTTCTTTCTTTTTTCTTTCTTTTTTTTTTTTTTTTTTAAATGACCACTGGTCATGCCTCAAATAATCCATTCCAAGTTGTATATTTTTGTTTTCCAATAAAATTTACAATCTACCCGGATTTGAAAATTGTCTTGTTTTCTCAGTTATAATGGATCCTTGAGTTTGTATACCCTGTAATAATTCCCAGTTTTGTATTGAGGACAGGATGCTCCGTTTTTTGATAGGATTTTTTTTTTTTTTTTTTTTCCAACTTGTTGCTTAGAATACATATGAAATGTTTACCATTTTAAATTTGAAGTATCCCCTGTTAATTCCCAAAAGCACTGAGGAGCATCAGCCAATGCCTCTTAATGTTCAGATAAGCTCAGATCAAATCTGTATTGTCATTAAAATAAAAGCACTGAGTGGGATCAAAGGCTTCTGTTTTGAAGTGCACACATTGGTACTCAACATTGGATTAGCCTTGTACTGTCCAGCTCTCCTAATGACTACATTGGCCACGTGTTGTCTGCTGCTGTTGGCACAGCACCATGTAGAAGCTGCCTCATGTCTTATTTGGCGTTTGCCCCCTAATGACGAGGTGCAGGTGATCGAGCGTACATCAGAAACCATGGTGTAAATAGAGGTGTACCTGTTTTTTGTTGTTTTGTTAATTTCTGATTATTGAGTTTGTTACAGTAGCTTGCAGAGATACTAAGTTTGTTGTTTTGATGAATGACAAAATAAAGCTCTATTGTGGACCTCTGTTCTGCCTCCTGTGAGTTTTATGGGCCCTTGATCCTATACAGTGGTCGGGCTAACACTTTTATGATGCTAAACTAGAACAAAAATAATAAATATTGTTTTATGAAGTCATCTGATGTGGTTATGACTGTTGGCAGTAGTAAGGCCTGGTCAGTCATACACATACATATAAGGTAACATGTCATACACCAAAAATGACTTATAGTACCCCCTGATTGGATGTTCCTCAATCTTTTAGTGTGTGTAGTTAAACCTGAGTGCATTATCCCTCTCAGTCTGAACAAACTTCAGTTCCAAGACGTAGAACAGACAGGAACACCGCGACCCACAGCAACTTCAGGTGTGAACTGATGACACAAGTGGCTCTCATCTTGTCAACACCAATTATCACAAGACTTTTTAAAAACTCTCGCAGTTGAAGTGTTTTCACAGGCTACTTATAAAAAGCTGTTAATTACACAGCGCATGTAAACTCTAGTGCTGGCCCTCCTCTGCCTCCATACAGGGCCGTACCATCAGGTACTGCGATGGAGACGAGGGAGACGTACAGTACATAATAACCTCAGACAACAGCTCCTTTGTCTGTCTCTGTGTGTGTGTGTGTCTCCTCATGTGCTTACAGGTCACATGAGACTTCCTCAACAAGCGGTGTAAACTTAGCTCCTTCGAACCATGTGTTCCATGTAGCTTAGCAACGAGGCCTGAATGTTGAGCTTTTGCTCCCAGAGCGAGGTGTTCACTTCAGGTGATAGTCTTTAGTTCGGTCCTACTGAGAGTCTGTGTGTGTGACTTCACTCTCCAGCCTCGTATGCCACAGGAGGTAATACACTTCAAACTTCACGCACAAATAAGAGGGTTAGTTGGAAAGATTTTCTGAGGGTGAGCGTCACATTTTGTTCCTCAACTGCCTCATTTGAAGAGCCCACTCTTCCCAAGTACACACAACTACACTCATGTCGAGTACCAAGTAGAAGCTGAATGGTGAGGATTGTATTTTATGTCGTCTTGTTTCATTAACATCAGTCAAAGGAGAGAAAAAAAGTAGTATAATAGAAATATTCCACATTTTACTGCAACCCAGAATCCAAAAACTTTATATATCACCAGTGTTAGGCAGTTACTATTACTAGTAGTAATATTACTTTCCCCAGTAACTAGTAGTGTAATTTATTACTAATACATGTCAGTATATTTTTTTTGTGTTATCGTGGAGGAAAGAAGATGGAAACATTCAGCAGCTGGAAATATTCACATTACTTTGATTTTAACAAACAAAACTGGATTTTAATTGTCATAAGTCTGAATTTTGGGGAAAAGAGACACAATTACCAATTTTGTATGGAGTAGCAGAAAAGTAATATAACTAGTAGTGTAACTAATTACTGTTGGCAGGAAGTAATAAGTGAAACAGGGTTTCCCAACCTGGGGTTGTGAATTTGTAAAAAAAAGAAGCCTATTAAGTCTGTATGATTGTTAAAAATTATTTATGTAATTGTATAAAAAAGTAACCTAAACAGTAAAACAGTACTGTGTTTTCTCGTCACGTTACTTTACATTCACTTTTCTTCGCAGAAGTGAACCAAATACTGAGATATAGGTCTACTGTGTATCTTCGGAAAAAAGTTTTCCTTCAAATCAAGAAGGCCTCGCAACCTGCAACTTTGGCGGCCCCTAGTGGGGGTCCCGATCCCGAGGTTGGGAACCCATGTCTACTAGATCCTACTTCCATTTATTACCTTGACAGCTCTTGGGACAAAAGATTTCTTATAGATATCTATTAGCCATCACTAATCTATAACAGTGGTTCCCAGTTTGGGGGTCCGGACCCCCACTCGGGTTCACCAAAGCTTCACAAGAGGTTGCGAGGCCTTCTTGATTTTAAGGCGTGTAGGAAAAAAAAATGTACACAGTAAGCGTATATCTCGTCATCCTGCAATTAAAAAATACATTTATAACAACCAAAGAGCTAATAGAATAAGCATCAGGAAGAAGAAAACTCTTGAGTTGAATGTTAGAAAAAAAACACAATTTACACAAATGTCCTTCAGTTGTAACAGTTGTTCTCTACTGTTATTGTTATGCTTTGAATATAATATGAAATATCCATAAAATATGTAATTGAGTTCGGACCGTCAGTTTAGTCAATGATATTTCCCTTGTTGGGAACCACTGATCTGTATCGTCTGTTCAGATTCTCTGTACGGTGGGTGACATTTGGAGGAATGACACATGTATTCCTGTTTTTTGTTTTGTACTGGATCGCAATGTCAGCCTTTTAATCTATATATTCTAATCAATATCACAGTATCCCTCCAAATATCACACGCCGGTGGCTGGCAGAAGGGAGGACTAACTGCAGCATTGTACAGTACGTATGGGTGCTGGCTTGCCATTGTGTCTTTACTCAGTCGAACTGGTCGGTGAGTCTAAATTTAGCCCTCCACCAGGGCCAGCTTGTTGAAAAATTGATCGATAGTGGAGTCGCTGCTATAGTAACAGTCGCAGTTTTAATGGCGGTCAGGTGTCACTGGATCTCCAGTCAAGCAGACAGTGAACGACAATGAGCGCGGCGCAGTGTACCGCCAGGTGGAAAAACCAAGCCGTCTCTAAAGTCACTGACATGTCCAGGGGTGGTAATAGAACAGATAAGGTAAGGCTCTTTAAAGCCCCTCATGACTCTGTGTGGTTAATGAGGACTGGTAAAGCATGGGATGATACATGTGGAGACACATCAACACATTGTTGGCATAGCAGTGTCCTCATAGCAGTAACTATCTGCTGTGTCTCGGCTTGTCTCCGGTTCTTATCTGCAGGGTGATGACAAGGTGGACCTGTGTGGCCGGGGGAGCTGGTGGCTGGGAACACTGAAAGTAGGTGTCGTACTGTAGTGTGGTGTCTAAAGGAGGAGAGGCTGCTACGTCGGCTGCTGTGGCCTAAAATGCTCCCCACTGCCATTAATAGTGGCTTGTTATTAACTCATGTGTAGATATACTCGGTTTTCAGTTAATGGTTTTTTATTGCGTTGGAATTTCCCATTGTCCGTCTGCCAGAAGTACATTTATACACCACAGTGAGTCCAGAAGTGCATTACAGTGCATTCATGGCAATGATGCATAGAACTAATTAATTATCAGTTAATGTGATCCCAGACTCAGTTGTTAATCAGCTGCCTACTCTTTCTGTGAATGAATCCTATACAGCTAACAATAGACTCACAGCTCAGAGTCACCAGTTTTTAATAGTTTGTACCATAAACCAGATGCTTAGAAATGAATAAGCCTCAGGTTAAAAGCTTCTTCTTGGTATGTAAAAAAATTGCACTCTAAAAGGATGATGGGAAATAATATTTGACCAAGTCTTGCCACTGGTCTTTGAAGTAAGCTAATAGATAACTTTCTAGCATTTTGCTACATAAGCTAACTTAAAGGACCAGAGTATATAAGAATTGGTGCGATCTAGTGGTGTAGTTGCAGATTGCAACTCCCTTGCTTCACCCTGCCCTTCCAAGGCTAATTACAGGAAAGGAGAAAGATGACACAGGATCGCTCAACTGTTATTGGAAAACAGAGCAAAAAGGGGAGGGACTTAGGAAGGGTCAATCACTATTTCAAATAATCCTGATTGAATATAATTGAACTGAATTAAGAACCCTGGACGGGTGAATTGTATTTGGCTATGTATTAAAATTTTAATTTCCAAATAATATAAAGAGTTTAACGTCTCTCCGCTCACCTTCTTCCAGGCCACACCCAACCCGGGTCTCTATCACATCCGCGACTTCATCGAAGAGGCTGAATTGAACCCGGTGAGGAAGACCTACGGGTTCAAAGGCGTGGGCAGAAAAGCCCAAACTCTGGGCGTATGTAAGGGGGATTTGCTTCTACCTGGCGCATACAACTACACCGACTCCATCCAGGAAGTCCTGAAGCACCAGGCGTCCTACTCTTTCAAAAACTGTCCACGGCCCGACATCGCCACCCTGGGCATCAGGGACAAGGTGGGGCTCAGACATGGTTTTACTGATTGTGTCAACTGACTACAGTAAAGTAAAAGATATGTGCTTTGGCTTAGCATTTAGCGATGGCTTCCCGTCACTGTAGGTGTCAAATGTTTAGCTACTCCTCTGCCTCCTTTAGCAATAATACACATAATAAATGTAGATTTTCTGTGCTGGATGAAAGGCTAGAAGCTACCACGCAAGCTGAATCGTTTGCTGTTGTAGTCGATGTAGCTCTTCTTTTTATATTTCTCTGAGTGCAGATCACTCTCTCTGCGGCCGAGTCGGGTTGTTCCGCTATTATTACCACACAGTTGTACACACATTTCATTTTCAATCGTTTAAAGTGACGTCATAAAATCGATTGTAGAATATTTGTAGACGACGATGCACCTGCAGCAGACTAACTGAAGTAATGTTGTAGATGTAAGGCACAGCGGGCTCGCAGTGATAACGTCATGAACATTTAAACACTTCTTTATCTTTATTCACCGTGCCAGCACTTAACCACTTCACCCTGCGACTACAATGTGACAGCAAAACCAGTGGAGAAGATTCCCTGCAAGTAAGCACTCGACAAACAGCCTCTCTTTAACTCTCAGATCATGAATCATCCCTTCATCCTCCTCGCACAACTTCCCTCTCTCATCTCCTCACAGCACAAAAATGGAGGAGCAATCACCAACCTGCTCTCTCATTTTCTTTGCCTGTGATCATGCACGTCCTTTCTTCCCTCACCCTTCTCCCCTCTCACTGTTCTCTCTCTCTCTCTTTTTGACCGCCACTCCTCCCTCCCTCCCTCCCTCTCTCTTCTCTCTTCTCTCTTCTTGCAGCCATGTGATGTTTCGGTCCACCGTGCAGCGGATCAGCTTTCCACCTGTAAGTATCCAGTCACCAAAACTAGTTATTAGGACCTTTCAGTCTTTCCATTGCCCACAAAAAGGCTTCATTACAAAACACTTTCAATAGGTTTTGGTTACAAGCTATGACCTAATGTGCATCTGCTATGTGCTGTACAGAAGCTGGTTATGACAAGGGTCAAAGAAAACTGATCCCACAGGGTGTCTGATTGTATCATTTGCCCCATTTGGGGGCCTGTTATGGCACTGTGCTAGCTGACCAGTCAGCTTTGGTTCATATTGCAGCCTTAGCCGTGTGTCCATGCTGGTAGCTGATGGATATTTGAGCTGTGCTGGCAGCTGCTGAGTGTTGACAGAGAAGGAAAGGCGCAAAGAAATCCCGAGGGTGTTATTACTGCAGAGTTGGGAGCAGTTTTCTGCTGTTAGTGGTGTCACAGCGACTCTTAAGACAAGTATATTGTCAAAGGTTAAGCAGCTACACAAATCCCGCAGTGAAGTTAACTGAAAGTGCAGATCATTCAGACGGCTGACCTGACGGAGGTGGGCAGACATTAGCAGATCAGAATTGAAGAGTCTTAATGGTTTAGTCTTGGTCCATCCTGAGACGGGAGACTTTCTGTTTTCCTCCCGTGAGCTGAAGATGTTTGCGAACACAACACAAAAGATATATGTTCTATGTTTTATGATTTGACTTAATTTCTCTGTCCTGGGGCCCCAGTGTGTCCTAGATTTACATGTTGTGCTTTTTTGCGGGGGAAATATCGACTGCACGTGCTGCTCGCTAGAACAACAAACCCTGCCTCGAGATTCAAACCTGAAAGTCAATCCCAGACTTTTTCATATGAATACACGTCCTCCTCTGCATTGCTAAAGCACAGAAGTGGTTCAGTCTTTAATTACCGCTAGAAAACTTGATTGAAAAACCGGCTGTCCTTCAGTTTCTACTACTGCTTCTGCTGTTGGTCTTTGGTCTGTCGGTTGGTGCACCACTTTGGTCCAAACTGAAATATCTCAACAACTACTGGATGGATTGTTATGAAATTTTGCACCAACATTCATGTTCCCCAGAGGATTGATTGACTTTAGTGATCCCATGACGTTTCCTCTACCACCTGCATGAAGGTTGATATTTGTGTTTTTATGCCTGTGCTGTGGCCAAATGAATGCTACAGTGAGAGGAAAAGCTGTGGCGAAAACAGCCAAGAAGCTCCACAAAGTCGAGCTAACGCGGACTGACTCTTGAACACTGACAGCGTTTATGAGCCAGTGCTGTCCTGCGTCGTCAAGAAAAACCTCCTGGAAAATGTCCTGGGAAGCGCCTTTAAAGGTTATACCTGGTAATCACTAGCATGTTAGCATTGTCATTAGGAGCCTTAGCATTTAGCTAAAAGCTCCGTGTGCAGTACAGCTTCACAGAGCCGCTAGCATCGCTGTCGCATCTTTTTGCTTGGAAAAAGCATTTATAGCACATGAATGGATTTTTATATTTTATTAAGGTGTTTAAGTAGTGAATTGACAACTATAATTATTTGTTTGGCAAGAATGAGTAACAGAAAACAAAACAGTGTAAGGTTTAAATAAATAGATAATAAAAATGATGCAGAGGTCCTTAGTTTATATTTTCTAACAGCCTGATGTAGTCTAGGCTAGATCTGAAATAAATAATTTAACATTAAAGCAAACAGACTGTGGCCTGAAACCAGCGAATAAGACAGAGAGAGAAACTAATAACTTAATAAATAAATACATACAATACACACACGCTCTCTCTTTGATGTACACAAATAATATTTAGGCAGGTACCAGGTTAGGCCGTACTAACATATTCACACAGGATTTCTTCCAAATTGTAAAAATCAATAATATCTCATATTAATGTTATAAATTTCCAGTTGATTTAACACGTGCAATATCTCCAGATCAAAAACGGGTCAAAGTTATAAAGTTTCAGACGTTTAGTGCATGTGCCAGTTACCCACGCCACACAGGAGAGCGTTGCTAACGTGCTGTGCCACAGCAGGAAAGTAGGCCAGGTGCTTTTGGCTCAAACACACACATACACTCGTGTTGAGAGAGTTTCACTACTGTCCGTCGACTCCCGTGAAATACACCTGCATTAGCACCTCTGGGAGCATCAGGCAAGCGCGCGGGCGCCCAGCGAGGCCAGTTGCTGAGGATCAAGTTAACTGGCAACTGGGATCAAATGGCATGTAATGGTAGCGGCCGTCCCTCCAAGGAGCAGGGGTGAGAGGAAGAGACACCTTCCTGACTCCCTCTGTCAGAATCAGAGAGCAGCTGAAAATGAAAGGCTGGTCCTGTGTTCAGGGACAGGGAGACAGTTTTATGTCTGAGGAGGAGGGGGTGATGCTATTTCTGCATGGCACGCCGCTGGTGATGACCAGTATGTGTGTTAGTGGGTAAGAGGAAAGGAGAAGTGAAAGGCAAGTTGAGAGACTGACTTTTGACAGAGCCAAACCCTAAACACAGACCACGTAGGTGGAAAAAGACCACAACACAACCAGAGACCGGCAAAGGCCTCAAAGACAGGAGTCACATGATGTGTCGTAGGTCTTAAAAATATTGGTATGGGATCTAAAATAGATGTGGTGGTATACTGTTAGTGCATCCTTCAGATGACTTGAGTATCAGCGTGGTATAACAATAGGTTTTCATGAGTTTATGGGTCCAAGGGAGACATAATTAATCCCTCATTTGGCTCTAAAAATGTCAGAGGTCATGATGCACAGTGCACGCCTACGCCATCACGGTTTGATTCGCACTCATGTTGGGTGTACTCTGACAATATTATCTCCATAAAACATGATCCAGTTTCATTATTAGTTGAATACTGCAACATATTGAGGGTGAGGTATATCATGTTTAGATAAAGTTACAAAGACTAAAAAAACCAGATCCAACTAGAAGGGCACGTTTAACTCTCAGTGGTAACAAAAGTGAAAATATGTGAAGTGAAATGTATACCCCCTGTTAGGATCAGCTCCAAAACCTTGGCTACACCCTTCCACTAAATGTCAGAAAAATCAGGACAGTAGTTTTTCCTTCTGACAGACAAACAAGCACCAAAAACACGAACTCGTTGGTTGAGGTAATAAACGAGCTACTTGCTACAAGCAAAAAGCTAATGCTAACTGACATTTCCAATGATAACTATACTTCTTAGCCAACGTTTAATCCAGTTGGTTTCTACTTGCTGTGTAACGAAACCTCTGTACAATAAACAAACTACTAGGTGTTTCCATACATTTTAAATAAAGATAATGTTAATAAAGCCAACAGAGCTACATGTGTTCATAAATACTAGTACAACCTTTCCTCTGTTTGTTTCATTAGAAACTACTTGTGTGCTCGCATACTAATGATTACACGCCAGCCTCGGTCAACAGTTTGATCGTAAATCGATTGATCAATAGCCTTTCACTCTGTCCACCTTAGAAGGAGGGACCTGCTCCGTGCCACTATAATCCACAGACCAGACCAGCGAAGGGCATCACTTCCTGCTTCAAATCCACGTTGCCTCGGCTCCACTATGTGCACTCAGTGAGTCCAGTACTTCACACTGAGCTACATCTGTGTCACCTTGTCCCTATGTATCATTAGTAGTAGTAGGTTTATATTGGTTCAGCTGCATTATGGCATTTAAATAGTAATGATTAGTGTCTGGTTGTTCAGATAGCTACAGCACAGGTACCACACAGAAACTTGTACAAAGGGCCGTTCATTCTTCTAAATTTGCTGAGAGAGGAACTGAAGGGTGTGGTTTCACTTTACAGAGATCAGTTATGAGTATAAGATCATTGGAACATCACCATTACATAACAGGATACAATAAAAACACACTTTACTGTACACAGATAAGAATATAGAGGACAGACAACCAGAGATATCCAATGACTTCAGCACTTAGGAATTTATTCTGTAAACACGTTACAACATATTAGAGATTTTTTTTTGTATTTTACTGTGTGTGTGTGTGTGTGTGTGTGTGTGTGTGTGTGTGTGTGTGTGTGTGTTTGACAGAAGACCCCGGGACCAGGGGCCTACGAACCTTGCTGGAAGTTGGGCGACCGTCTGAACACAGAGGCCGTTGACCCATCATTTAGCCTCTTCTTCCGCAACACTCTGTAGTTTGGACTTTATTTCCCACAATGCCTTCATCCCATCAATCATCTCCTCGTCCTCATCAGTTTACTGGCACATCACACACACACACACACACACACACACACACACACACACACACACACACACACACACACATAATGACGACTCCTACCTGATTAATGGAATAAAAGTAAGCTCATTAAGAGAAAGACAAAAAGTCTCTTATTACTTGGACCAATGTTTATATCTGCATGCCAGCGAGGCATTTTGTGGTCTGCCAGGGACATAATAAGCCACATTGGTTGGGCTCAAATTGCTTTAGTGATGCCGGCCAGGGAAGCAGAATGATCTTATCTGCAACAAAGGGTACTTCATTCCACTTAACTACATGTTCCCGGTATTGCTCTCTCCCTCCATCTTTCCAGCTCCTCTTTCCCTCTCTGTCGGCAGTCAGGCTGTTTCGCCTTCCTACTATCTCTGCCCCGCGATGCACTCAGGAGGAGGAATGCTGCTCAGCCATGCGTCACATGCACATAGCTTAGTGTGGCATGCTGCACCCTCAGATAACACATTCAAGCATTAGGGGCCAAGGCAGTGGCACACAATAAAACAGCTATTCTTATCGCTACCTACTCCGCAATACTCTTTCTTTTTTCGACAAACCAAACAAACACGGTCAATAATGTTCGGGACACGGAGAGCAGCAGCGATAGGAATCACCGACGGCGGTGTACGTTACAGCGCAACGGGATAGATACGGAAATAAAAACAAACAAAACTTTATTTATTTATCCGGAGAAGGGTTTTTGCTGAGCATGCATGCACTCTGTCACCACTGCTTCATATTCATAGAGTTAACACACTCTGTTAGACGCTTGTTGAGGGAGTAGAGAGTTATATTCATCCATCCTGCCCACCCGAGCTCTGTACTCTGATCCGAGGATGAAAATATGAACAGAAATAATCAAAGCCTGCTTTCTTAAGCTTTATTTTAGTGTTGTATTGATTTTAGAGTATGAATAATCACCTATAGCAACAAACAACACAGCAAAATGCCATTAACAAACAATAATGTAGCTGCTTCACTGACAGAAAATTACTTTAATGGAAGATCTGAACTTATTTTTGAGCTCATTTGGATGCAGCCACTCAACTAGAGTCTCTATAATCTGCTAAGTCTCTTCTCAAGTCATCATCAATGGAGCAGCTTGCTGTATAGCCCCATCTGTGACCTGTTTTCCAGTAACATAATGCCTCTTCTTCTCAGCTGGATGTACGTTAAAGCTGTACTCCTCAATATTTTGATACTAATGGATTAAATGACTTTGTGTAATGTGAAAGCTGTGATTGAACTTCAGATATTATCAATTATCTCTCTGGAGTATTTTAGTCTCAGCGCTCTCATCAGCCTTGTTTCAAGAACAACAACAGGAATTCCCTATTTTAAATGAAAAAAAGCGCAGAAGAGAAACTCCACATGAACACTAATCTTTCTCTTCTGTGTCTGGTGGATGGCAACTCAGCGTTCCCTACACGTCCTGGAAAACCTGGAAGAAAACCTGGAAGAAAACCTGGAAGTTTTCCAGTCATGGAAACACCTGGAGAACCATTAAAATGACCAAATATCCTAGAAATATTCTATGTTGTCCTGGAAAACTTAAATAGTATTTTAGCCCCTCACTCAGATCACCTGTGTAAAGGTTTGAGAAATCTGCAGTAAACTGTAGTCAAATCACGGGAGACAGAAAGCGAGCTAAACACTTTAAACACCTGTAATGAACCTGCATCACTTCATTGTGAGTACAGCATCATCAAAAAAGGAGGAATAACACTGGGAAACGTGTAAACTAGGCCTATTAGTAAATTATATGATAGTTAGTGAGCAAGTGCGGCCTGGTATTGGCAAGAAAAGTCCTGCTAGTTGCTACCTGGCATATATAGCTTGGAGGGGCTTGTTTCTTGCTCAAGGGCGCTTCAACAAGCTGAACATTGACATAAAACATGGGCTAGACTAAATGCAGAGGCTCATTTCAATAACAATTTGTTGAAACGTGTGTTACATAATGAGGCATTCAAATGACTCCTTAACACGTACTGACATCAGTGGAGTGTTTTGTTTGAGACCACAGTCAGTGGAACAGACCGTTATCACTGCACATCTACTTTAATCCCCACCGCTCTGTTTTCCTTCAGTTGCCGACACTTAAGAGGTTGAAGAGGTTCAAGAGCCAGGCTCTTATTTCCCCCCCGTCATTATTCTGGAGACAAAGGGAGCGCACACTTCCACCTGGAGAGGAAGATAGTGGTATTAACATAGGGGGCTTTGCATGCACTGCTTGTGAGGAAGACGCAATGAGAGTAATGTGTGTGTGGTCAAGGCATCAAGCTACCCCCAGTAATCTCTGTCTCTCTCTCAACCCCCCAGCACCCTTCCTCCTTTCTCATCTCAGTGATCTCCACAGTCCAGCACTGATCTCTGACATATGCCTCATACTGACGACTTAACACCCTCCATCTCCCACAGCCTGCCTCGACCACAGGCACGGCCGAGCACCCGCTCTTTCACTGTCAATCAAGCTCCCCTTCCCACCACCCCCGACTTCCCGTAGACATACATTGCTTCAAAGAATATGCTCGCAGCCGCACAATGCGATGAATGCAACACGCAGGCATGCACTTGTGATCCTTTGCTTTTTTTATAAAAACGCGCCTGCAAACATGAGCACACATGTATGCGAATTTCTCAAAGGTTGTACGGGGTGGTAGAGAAATCAAAACTTCCTATTTAAAACTTATAAAACCTCCACAGAGAGATGAAAGCTTGCATCCAAAGCTGCAGAGACTTTAGGATTGTAAGGCACTGCACAAACACCTACCACACACACATTATCTTTCATCTGCAGTTGCGTTTCCTGGCAAGAACAGTGATTTAAGATGTGCCGGCACAGTTGAATTATTACCATGTAAAGGTTATGAGAACATTGGGTAGGTTGCAAACATCAACTTTCAGTTTTTTGGGAACGACTTTAATGAGATCCGGTCGGCCTCATCTGGGTCCAGGTTAAATCTGTGTTTCTGGCAGTTTACAACGGGAGGTGACCCTGCTATTAGAGGACATCAAATTAACGGCTAACTCGGGGCAGCACGCTGGGAAAATGTGACCCTGCTGCAGAATGATGACGAAGGCAGAGCCGCTGGAATTTCCGAAGAATGCGAGGTTAACACAAAAATACCCATAATCCAATACTGGTGTGGGACAAATGCCATTATCAGTTGCTGAGTCGCAGCTAAAGGTCGCCAAACAAACAAACCCTCAAACAGAGAAGCCATTGTTTGCTCGCTGACATTGTGCTGAACTAAAATGGGCTCCCGGTGTCACAGAACCGGTCCGACTGAAGTCTCCCTTTCTCCCTCGCTGTACAACATGAGCACCTTGAGAAACTCCAGCCAGCGGTAACAGGGTCAAACAAAGAGGTGGCGGGTTCAAGAGGTGCTGCTCCCTTCATGTTCCCCCCTCAAAGTCCGGGTCACATTCACTCTCATCACCACATCCCACACTGAGGGTGATGACTAGCCAGCTGAGGAATTTAGCGGGCAGTGTGACAACGCCAGGAGGGTGACCAGGTATCCTTTTACCCCCCTCAAGCTGCTGACAGACACATCGGAGCAACATTACGCTTCTATTAAATGACATTTAAAAGTTTAATCAGCTCCAATGGCCGACTGTTAGCGAACAAGGGGGTCATTGTTTAAGTGGGTAATGGTGCTGGCAGCGTCGCTGTGTGTGTGTGTGTGTGTGTGTGTGTGTGTGGAAGTCGACCAAGAGCGCCGGCGGCCGCGATCAGGTGAGCTGGAGTGATTGATGGAAGCGAGCGCACTGCCAGGCCCAAGCTCCCGTTCGTACTGTGGCGTTACTCGGCCCCGGTGCTTGACAATGTCAGCCTCATAAAAGAGCCTCAGACTCAACAATGTGAGAATCATTCATATCATTAAACGGGGTCATCAGAGCTGCTCGTGGCTTTCACAGCAAAGGGACGCATTGTTTACGTTTGACCTTTTGCCCTTTTGTTATTCACAGCTTTATGATATTTTATACAGTAGTACAAAACCTTCCAAGGCATGTTTTTCAGAAATATAGTTATTCACTTTGTTGTTAAGAGTTAAAAGGTTGCTCAAGAAATAATCTGGCACATAAACTCCCCCTCCAAACCTTTAACCTGTGCATTTTACACAAACAGGACTTAACATGTTAATTAGAGAGCTTTGGATGTGCTGGCAGGTGTTTTTTAAAACTTTTTACGGGGTAAATGACGGGGGATAGAACCCGGGGAACATAGGTACGCTCCCGCTCATATCACATCTTAAAGTGGCACAGAGACTGGAGAAAGGGAAAGAGATAGCTTGGCTCCATCCAAAGAAAAGGAACAAAAGTCTCCTAAGAGCAACTATTAATAGCTAGTTAATAGCTAAGTTATAAATCTGTTTGTTTAATTTGTGGAAAAGCAACAAAAAACAACAAGTGTTTATGGAAGCTTAATTGTCAGACAGTTATTTTCCAGTTTTTGTACGTATTAGACAAATAATATATAATGTGTTAATTAGAGAGATTTAGAAGTGCTGGTAGGCTTTCTTTTCCTCCATTTCCAATCTTTATGCTAAGCTAAGATAGATAACTGTCTGTCAGACATGATATCAATCTTCTCATCTAATTCAAGAAACAAGAACAAGAAAGAAAATATGTACTTTCCCACAATGTGAAACTAGTCTTTGAACCATTCCCGCCTGTAAAAATTACATTCATGGATTTTATGATGATGCATTTGTATTATAGCCTATATCGACTGCGGTAGATGTCGTAGCCATAAGTATCAGCTGTAACCAGCGGATATAAAGTAAGTCTATGAAATTACTGTAAAAAGAAAAAAGGATTTTTACTGTAAAATCTTTGTAAAGTCATTGAGTCATGTCATGAGTATAAAGCTAATAATATAAGCTAGTTTTCTAAAGCATTTCTGAGAATATACTGCATTCAGTCCACACCTAAAGGCGATTCTCACAGCCCTTTGAATACATCCTCTTGTCAACGTGTGCATTGAACTCCGCTGGAACACTTTTGCCCCTCGGGGATGAACTATGTATACATCTAACCGTACCAGTCATTGTATTTATAAATGAGATTATGGAACCACATCTGATCCTCATAACCTCCATCATACCCCTCACCCGTCCATGACTCCCCGGCCTTGTTTGGACATCACAATGATGGTTTATGGTTTCCTTCTTGGCGCCCCGCACCGGCACCACCCAGCCCGTGCCCTCCACGTGCCCCTGTAGGGTTGGCATCAACACACACCGCCATGACGTGAATACCAGACACGCTTCATTCAACTTAAATGCTATTGTTATATATATATTATTGCTGTATTTTATTGTAATTTTTATTTTATTTTTAAGTCTACTTTATAATTTTTTTACTCCATTCTGTCTTATTATCGTCTTGTCATCCGTGAAGCACTTTGCACTACACTAAACTGTATGAAATGTGTAAATAAAGTTTGATTGATTGAGGAGTTTGGATTGACAGTGATGCACAGTATGCTAAATAACAGAGTAGGACTAGGAACGTTTATTTTACGTGTATTATCTTAACTGAAGTTAATGATATTGCGTCATTATCACCCTCATATACAAATCATACATCAGTAGTAGCCTAAGTTTACAGATAATCTATGATGATGAAGATATAGAAAAATAGAAATGCATAACTTTCCCAGCTCGGGTGTTATTAAGTTTGCACCCTGACTAATTAGATCCAATATGGCTGTGACTTATCCCACGACGCTCTTTTACAGCAACCATAAGCGTACAGTAAGAGCTCGAACACTTGACACTTGATGTGAGGGTTGGGGAGCAGACTTGTCTGGTGGTGCTCAGGTGTGGAAGTGAGAGCGTAACCAGAGCGACACGCCTGGGCGCTCTGACGTCACGATGACGCAGACATACTCAGTAAGATCATATGCATTCTGCTCATTGATCCCAGGTGAGTAAACTGTATATATATATATATCTGTGTGTGTGTGTGTGTGTGTGGTGACACTAGGTCCAGTGAACAGAGCTTCATCTGCCCGTTGTCATTCTGAGAGGCTTTGCAGCAGGCCGCTTCCTCCATTAATCTGTCTCCTTTTACCAGAGCTGTCAAAACCACGGCATGTGTGCGTGTGTGTGTGTGTGTGTTTAAGCATGTGTACTGTACCACACAGTGTGTTCGTGTACCCCCTCATTGTCTCTGTGTGTGTGTGTGTGTGCGTGTATTTGTGCATGTGTGAGCACACGATGTAATATTTCACTCCTTTACCCACAGGGATTAGACCATTCATCTCCCGAAGCCCCTGTGTAGGTGTCACACACAGTGCTAATGAGGAGAGGATGGAACAAGGGAGAGCCGGGCGAGCGAGGAGGGTAAAAAAGTAAAAATAGACTTTTGGGATGGCAGAAGAGATGGTGACAGTGATCGATAATTCCTGGCGCGAAAATCGAAGTATTGATGAATGAGGGAGTTTCAATGCCGGGAGCGATTAGAATGTGGGCGATTGTAAAAAAGACAGAGGAGGTGGGGATTAGTGCCCTGCAGGGAAGGAAATGGTTAGGAAATGTGTGTTTTTTTTGGTTGAGAGCAAAGGCAGGGACTCTTCCCATAACACAAATCAATTTACACCAGCCTGAGACATTGATTATAGCTGGCTCATACCTCACATGGTAACAACAGACATCAAACAGACACTGTCAAGCCTGTAAAACCACACAACGGGGGCATTATCTGCCTCTCACTGTGTGTGTGTGTGTGTGTGTGTGTGTGTGTGTGTGTGTCTTCTCTGTGTATGTGTGTTGTTCAGCAGACCAGATATCTCTCTCCGCTTCCCCAGTTACTCAAACAAGGGGATGGCTGCTAGGCAACCAAGCCACATCACATCACATCAGGCAGGCCGGGAGAGAGCGAGAGACATAGAGAGAGAGATAGGACGAGGAGAGAGAGAGAGAGAGAGAGAGAGAGAGATAGGAGGAGGAGGAGGCAGAAAACTGTGCTGGCAGTATTACATAAGCCGGCAGCCCAGTCCCACTGCTCACATTAATGTGGTTAGGCACTCGGAAGTGATGTCCATTAGTCACAAGTGACAAGGCAGGTGAAGACGCGGCATCCAGCAGTGATTTTTAAAAGCCATTGTTGTTTATGATGGAGAGAGCGTTACGAACAGATGAGTCAAAAAAACAACCCAAAAACACACACACACACACACACACACACACACACGTTATGAGCAGATGAGTCGCCTACTGTACCGTACAAACAGAACAAACAGAACAGGGACTCATAACACCCCAGAGGGATGGTCTAAAACAAACACACACACACACACGCACACACACACACACGCACATTCACATACATACAGTAGTAATGACATATGGAGTGATACACTGGAAGATAACGTGAGCTCTCATTTGAAGATTGGGGGGGGTTGTGTGTACATGAAAGCTGCGTCAATCAACATGATCATCAAATATACATCAAAGGCTAAGTGGAGCTGCTGCAGTGACTGACAGCCTATACATAATCAATGCATCTGCCTTTTCCACGTGCAACGGCATACATTCTATCGCAGGGTGTAACCAGCACATCTCTGCGATTTATGAGCCGTTAAAGCCAACGATTGTGTCACTCCATAGGAGACGTACACAGTTACAGTACTTACATGATAACGTTATTTTCTCTATACATCGCTCTGTTATCTGCATAAAGCTGAATCCCTTTGTTGCCTTTTATGCACAAATAGCATTGATATCCAATATTAATGCCCCTTTTTTTGCATGTAAATACTCAAAACTACGGGAAAAAATAGACATTTTCTGCAATTATTCATCTAATAATTAACTTCCTTATTAAGACTGGATGCTAAGAACATTCATATATAATATTTGGGGACAATCAGACATTTGAGATAATTGACAGAAAGTCACTGAGAGTGAAAAAGTAATATGTTACATGCATTGTTATTGAAAATATACCTCAGATTTTGAGACTTGTTCGCTTTCTTGCTGAAGGTTAGATGTGAAGACACGTTCATATCTGTTTGTTAAATATGATGGTACATCCAGGAATTGGTTAGCTTAGCTTAGCATAAAGACTGGAAACAGGGGGAAACAGCTAGCCTGGTTCTATCCTTCCTACTGTAACCTCTTCAGTTCACTAAGAGGTTTTAAAGGGGGTTATGTGACTTAAGGAGCTCCTGGCTGTAGCTTCATATTTAACATAAATGAGTGATTTTGATCTCTTCACGCTGTTAGCAGGAAAGTGAACAGGCCTTTTCCCAAAATGTCAAATTATAAGTTTTCAGGTGCAGTCAGCGATTCTGGAGAAACATGGTTGATATTTGAACAGCCATGTTTCAGAGTTCAGCATGTTAGCATGTGTCAGATTTACCATCCCACTCGCTCCCACTGGAAACCTTTTCCAGGCCAAAGTAGCCAAAGTAGTTTGGATTAGGATCTCTGACTGCACCTTTAAGGAACATTATTCCACCCAGCACTGCTTTCTCAGTGTATCTGCATCAGTGTGGTCGATTCCTTAAACCTGACCACCCCCACCCCAAGGCCCCATCAAAGCTCCCTGGGGATGATGGTGAAGGGCCGGATGGGGCAGGAAGCCTCCAGCTCCAAGGCTGTCAGGAAGCAGTCTGGGGCCTGGCTGGACCCCCGAGACTGCAGGGCCTCGCCCAGGCCGCTCCACGCCTCGTGCGATGTGCTGTGGACCTGAACCGCATCACGCAAGACCTTCTCCCCGAGGTGGACACGCCCAGTTTTCACCAGCAGGCGGCCCTGGATGGAGAGGAGGGATGAAAGAGAAGAAATGGAGTCCTGCATAATTTATACTACAAGTCAATTTCAGTCAATTGAAGGTATTGATAGAAGAAAATCAGATTTCTGGTGGATATCTCAGATACAAGTACATGCTGGTTTAAAATAAAAAAGTAAAGTGGAACAAAGCGCTATTTCATTTTCGGTTTTTAGAGAAAATCTACTTGATGAATTAGTTGTGTTAAATCTGAATTAACCTCTCTTTTGAGGTAAGTTACAGACTAAAAGTTGACCTATGGCACGCTCTCATTTTCACAATACAGAATAATGATATTACATTTTACTTCAGTACCTTGCCCCTAATATTTGTTGTTTTTTTTATCCTAAATATCTAGCATTAAAGCATTTTCCACGGCATGATAAGATCAAGTAAACAGATGGTGGCTTTTTACAAAAAAAAATCCAAATCTTGGATTATAATGCCTGCTGTCCTGTGGACTCGTTTAGCACGACAAAAAAACAAAACAGCAACAACAACCAACTGCTGCATTGACCACAGTCGTACTGGGATTGTACAACTGAAGGGAGAAAATCCACAAATCATGAGATTAGGAGCAGGCCTCTGCTGAAAGATGAGGCAGTATGTGAAGAGTCTGACACACAGTAATGAAAGTTGAAGCTGTATTCGGGTCAGAGGACAGACTGCAGAGGGAAAGGTTTGTGATTTTACTGGTTTCAAAGGTCCAGTGTGTAACGTTTATCTATCGGCAGAAATTAAATATAATATTCATAGGAGTGTTTTAATTAGTGTTTAATCACCTGAATATAAGAATCAGTGTGTTTTTGTTACCTTAGAATGAGTTGTTGTTTTTATTTACAGACTGAGTGGGTCCTCTTCTGCGGAGGCTGTTTGTTACGGCCAGCAGCCGTAGAACCGATGCCGACTGAGGACAACAGGAAATAAAGTACAGAGGTCGTTTTTTATTTTTGTTGGGTTTGTCTTCTAGCACCCGCTCGAAGAGTCACGTTAGCTACGCAAACTAAGGTAGCCAACAGCATCCAACATTACTGTTAACTTCTTTTAGCAACAAGTCTATCAGGACCTCGGTACCGCTGTCGTCAAACTGTCCGCAGTTAGTGGAGTTGAGGCAGAGCAGCCGGACGATCTTCGCTCTGTGTCGCTACAGACTGAAGATTGATTGATATTATTGGTTGAAATTGATTAGTTAATGCTTATGTAAGCAAGCGTCACATTTTGTTTTACAGGAAAGAAGAAAAAGACTGTTTTTTTTATATATAAAAATGTAGTTGAAGTTAAAGTTTTTTTTGCAATCAATACAAATCAATTACGGTCCATTGGAGGGGCAGAAAAAAAAAAAACTGGTACTAACAAGTTTACACAGTTTGTGCTAAATTGCCCAGAACATTCAAAAGACATTGGCGTGTTCCTTACAGAACATGTTATTCCAAAGTCTTCATTTGCAGTGGCATGTTGGGCAACTACTGCCCAGGGCTCTGGTGGGTTTGCATGCAATCTCCACACTCGCTGGTTTAATACTGTATGAACGTATACACACACACACACACACACACACACACACACACTGTGTATCTGTGTCGGGGAAGGAAGGGACGAGAACTGGCATTTCATGTAGACTGTATGGATATATAATCATCTAATAAATGGGTTGTTGGACCCGATGTGTAAAAAAAAGTACAAAGTGGCAGTATGTGAGAAAGAGAAGGATATCACGGGTGATATCTGTTGTCACCATGTTAAAGGTCACGCAGAACTTTGTGTCTCTTCGGCGCTCGGCTCAGTCGGGGTGCGTTGTGTTTGAGAGCCCGGCAGAAAAGGGCGTCACGCAACTGACCAACAGCATGGAGTCAAATCTGTCTCACACACACACACACACACACACACACACACACACACACACACACACACAAACTACAGTGTCACATGCACACTCAAGGTGACAACAGACAGCCACTCTTGCACAATATCATCCCCTCCCTTACTTTGACTATCTGTTACACACACACACAGACACACACACACACACACACACACACACACACACACACACACACACACACACACACACACACACACACACACACACACACACACACACACACACACTGAGCTGGCCTGAGGTCAGACAGACGAGTCTTGTTATGCAGTCTCTGCTCACAAGCTCCAGATTAATTGGGCTGAAATTCACATAGCTGTCCAGGGGCACTGATGCAACTTTCAATAAAAGCACACACACACACATGCACACTTTCTCCCTTCCTCCCTTTTCCTCCCTGCTGCTTTGAGGAAAACACAGAGGAAAGATCGAAAACTCCTGGGTACGGAGAAAACCTGTCACAGGAAGTACACATTGGGTTATGAGTGTGTGTATGCACGAGTGTGTGTGGGTGTTTGCTCGAGGTGTATGATGTATTCCTTGCCGATGGTTTGGTCACTAGCTACCGCATCTTACGTCTGCGTTCTTGTCTTCAGACTCACAGGGGTTACATTGTTCCAGTGTTTCTAGCATAAACACAGTCAGCTACTGGGCTAACACACACACACACACACACACACTTCCATCTGTGCCACATGTCAGTTATGCTGGTAACCATGGAAAAGTTGATCCTTCCAGGTCAGCAGCCCAATCAAATAAACACCACTGTATGTGCTGAGGTCGGATATAAACACAGGACAGGCCGAGACAAAGTGGGACAGGAAAGCACACACACACACACACACACACACACACACACACACACACACTCTTCATTTTTAGGAAATTTGTTTTTGAACGTTTGTTTACTTGACGGGACTAACAACAACATCTGCCATTAATTACAGAGCCGGTTACCCTAGTTTACCGGGGGGGGCAGCTCTGTTCAAAGTGAAAAAATAAACCTACTGAACCTCTAAAGCTGCCTTAATTACCTTAATCAGTTAGATAGTTTTATTAACCCTTTATTTTTAGTTTAGTGGTGAAAAGAGGTTCATTTGCTTTAATAGTACAAATACACAAATCCTGTTTTCCATTTCTTGTGACGCTGAGAAGATAAATGTTCTGGTTGTTCCGATGACATTTAAATTCAAATACTATCTGGAGTAAGTTTCTTCATTAAAATCAGTTTAGATGCAATTCTTTATGCTAAGCTAGGCTAACAACCAGGGTTTGAAGTACGGCGGCGCTCGGCTCTCCTGAAAGAGACACAAGTTCCCCAGAAAGCCAAAAAGAAATTTAGGGGAAGTTTTTGGTGCCACTGTTTTTTTCTGTCTAAAATGTATATATTCCAATAGTAAACAATATTAAAACATTTTGTGTTTTCTCCAATGTTATCAGTTTTCTCACTGTTATCTTACTGTTTCTCGACAGAGCAGTTAAAAGAACATTGCTCGGGTTAATCATTTCTTTATCTTTGCTGTCCCAAGATAAATATTGTCTGTATGAATTGAAATGTATTGACAGTATATCTTTGCACATTCATTCATGTAAGCTTGTGCAGGTATATACAGCCCTCCCACCCCCCAACACCCCAGAATATAGGGCTCCCCTGAAGCCACGGTGTAATCAAACACTTCCAACAACGTCCTGATTTCAGCTTTGTACCTCACTCACAGACATGACACTGACATTGATCTTCTTATCTCACTCTTGTAAAGAAATGTTGAACTATTCCTTTAAGTTAAGAGAAATTAAGAGAAAGATTTTGAGCTGGTACGAGAACAGAAAATGAGTAAGAACGACTCAGTAAGGAAGAAAACGTCTGAGAGAGTATCAGAGCGAGCAGATAGGAAAGGAAGTGAGTGAACAAATGTGCGTTCAAGAACATTTAGATTGCTACCAAGTGTTTTTCTGGCATTACACTGATAAAACTGGTATTGGTTTTGCTTTAATTACTCCCAGCCATCTGTCTCCAGTTTTACCTCAGCTGATCCCATCGAGCTTGGCAGCGCAGGTTTGCTTCTTGTCGTGCCATTAAAGCACAACTGAGCTGAGCTGAGCCAAACTGAGCGAGTGGGCAGCGGTTGTCTCCATCCATCTTTCAAGCTAAATTCAAGCTTAACTTTTGAAATGCTGCAAACGAATATACAGTTAATCAAATGTATTCCCATCAGCTAGATTGAAAAGAATGAAAAAAAAGGGCTTCCTGGATGTCACAAACAAACACACCCAACACAGATTTGATTATGGGATTGATTAGCATTGGGGAAATTAGTTTTTGTTCTTTGGTGTCAGCTGATATTCATATTTCATACTGTGCAACAACCTAAAGAGTACTTTGTAATACTCTAACGTACCAACTATAAGCAGCAACCGCAGATATTTATTTATGGGAATAATATTTATTGGGTAACTTCTTTATTACCAAAAACTTTATCTGCCTCCAGCGAGCATTAAAACTTTTCATTAGATCACGATTTGCATATAAATATAAATACATATACTAATGTATCAAGCAACATGCTGATGAACAGCTACAGTTCAGGCTTTAAACTGAATCCAGACTGAAGTGAAGAGACTGGAAATCTAACAACAAACACAAAACAATCAGTGACAAAATGCTCATTTGAATTAGTTCCCAGTAAAAAAAAAAAACAGCAGAGAAATGAACGTCTTCTAGACTGTGTGGAGACAGCTGAACTCTAAATTTAGACTTGCAATCTGCTGTTGTCAGCCATGCTGCCTACAGAGCTGAGGAGTTGTAACTGACCACACCGACTGGGAAATAAGAATAAAGTTATAAACAGTCATGTTGAGGTGCGAGGTTAGAAACTGTTCCAGTCTACAGATGGTTCGGTGTGTGCGTGGCACGGCTCAGGGCCATAATAATGCCAATATGGCAGCCAGAAAGCATCTTATGTCACCTAACTTGTAACCCAAGTCTGTTGAAACACACACATACAGAGTGTAACCCAGTGGCCTAATGCCCTGCCACTGAACCGGGAACATAGCCTTTACCTGAACCTTTAATCCCATCAGTGGTTCAAGCTGGGCAGACACGGG